ATAGCATCACAACATAAGGACAGGCCCTTCAGTAGTATCATGTATATCATCACAACAAATGGACAGGCCCATCTAGCAAGATGCACCGCTGTCACAACATAAGGACAAGTTTGTGTATGGTATTCTTAGGCAGCAGAAAGGGAGATCCAAGCTATCTACATAAGGACAGGCCCATCCATGGTATTCTCAGGCAGCAGATAAGGGAAAACAAAAACCAGTGTTACAACATAAGATGGGCTGATCTGTCCATTGCAGGATTACAAACCCTTGGCACTGCATAAGACAGGCCAATCTGTCATATCATAGATAGCTCACCACAAATGGACAGGCCTATCCATAATTGGGTTATCCCCCTGTCACAATATAAGATGGGCCCAGGAAGACAAGAAATGAAGAAAGTGGAACCTCTTGCACTATAGAGTATCTGAATTTCCCACTATAAATTGTGTTTCATGTTGGACAATTTGCCTATTTAGTTGGAATCTCAGGTGCTGTCTATGTAGCTGTGAGCCAGGCTCTGCCATTGGAGCAGACAGGAAACATGCAAAACAAATAGCAATGCTATTCCAGAACAACACATCATATTTTTATCTGAGCTTCTGCTTCATATATGCATTCAGGATTATTGACTTGTAGTACCAGTATTGCTGTCATGCCATGGGAATCATTCATAGGCAGGATAAAAAATGCGACATCTGTGTATCTTGTCATCCATCTTTAACCTCTGACTCTTCCACTCTCCAATCACCATCACCACTCTCACTGTCAAACTACTCCATCATCTCGTCATCAGAAACATGACATTGTCATTGTCTTGCAAGCTCTTCAAGAAATTGCCTGAGCTTGATGTTGTGGCCAACTGCATCCTTCAAATTTACTTCAAGGATATCGTGGAAAGCAGCAAGCTGGGAAAGGCAGACAAGATTGTGAAGTGGAGAGGTGCCATCAAGGCAATAAATGATGAACTAGTGCATCATAGCATCATCACATTTTTTTCACTAACTGATGCATTCAGGACACTGTATGCAACCTCATCACTAGGATGGATGAGATTCTGATGACCCTCATTGGCATCAACATGTTCTTAAAGTGGCATGAAGACCTCAGCTCAATCAAGCACCCATGGCCTGAGTGGAAGACTGCCCTATCCCCTTCCAAAACCGATGTCACCAACCACAAGTGGCTCAACATCATCAGGCATCAATATGACTACCACCAGTTGGGCCTCCCTATGCCCCACATTGTGCCAACACCAACACCACCCACTCAAGAGACCAAAATGCCTATGAGCAATGAAGGAAAATGGAAAGTGACTGAGGCAGAGGTGGAGCACATGATAGTGGATAGCTTGCATAGGATGGAGGTGGATGATGAGGGTGAAGATGAGGTGCCAGAGAAGGAGGATGATGAGGAAGAACCAGTGTGAGGCAGGCAGAAGTGCAAAGCTGCTGTGAAAATGACATCCCATTGATCCAGACATTGATCCCACTCTAGGAAGGCAACAGCAGAAACTGACAATGATGAAGACATTCCCACTCAAGGCCAATCAAAATGCAAGCCTTGTCCACCATCAGATGAACTATATGGTTGTGCTGCCATAGCTGCCAGAAGGATGCCTTCCCCTGACCCCCATTCCTGCAACTCATGCCACAGACACAAGGTTCGATGCTACAAGAACCCCAGGAAGTCCTGCTTCCCATGCGATGGTTGCAAAATTCGATGTAGCCATGCCAAAGGCAGGATTGCCACTCCAACTTGATGGAATCCATCACGAGCCAGGGGAAAAAAGTGAGCTCAAAGTCTGTCCCTGACAGTGGAGGCCCAAGAATCCCAAAGTCCAAAGGAATGTCCCCCAAAGCAACATGTTTCGATGGCTTCCAAAGCCATCAACACTGGGGTTGGGCCCTCCAACCAGGGAGAGACAATCCCCAAGGGATCTTCACTCAGTATGTTCACAATTTCATGTATTTATGCTGACTCAAATTTTATTTAGAGATTTGTATTCCTGCATTCAAATGCAGGGATTCCCACCCAATCCCAGCTGCTGTACGAGCAGATTCGATTGTTGAGGCTGGCCCATCCGTTGCGCAGGAGGTAGAGGGATCTACAGCAGCAGGTACATTTAATCAATCTACATTTATGCTAATTATCATGGTTAACCCTTGTATTCAAAGCAGACACCCACCCATTGACAACAGCAGCACCCATCCAACTCGCAACCACTGCAACTCCCAGTGCACCATCACCTGTCTGTGCCCCAATCACTGAGGTGTCACAAACATCCAACACAATCAAAGAGTGAATCAAAGATTTGGAATGTTGACTCTGCAATGCTGAGGCTCACCGCCAATACTATGAGGATCAAATGTATGATTTCCAAATACAACAGGATGAAACCATGCAGATGCTGGACAGGATGGCTCACGAGCTAGAGGCTCTGCATATTCAGGTATATGGACGAGCATTGGGTGACAATCTCATTGATCTCTTAGGGCCTCTGGCAGATGAGACAAGGGTGGATAGGACAGCAGGGTGAATGAGGCCATCTATCATTTTACTCCTCCACAGCACATATGATGTCATTTTGTATTTCCATTTTAATTGACCACTCATGCCACATCGCATATTCAACCTTTATTTAAGAGTAAGAAAAAGACAATAATGGCTAGACAGCCAACAGAATTGCAAAGGATAATCTCATTCTACTAAAACAACTGCTAATGTATCCTGATAGGTGGAAGCTTAGTGAATGCATGGCTTTTTGACATAGAATAGTTAACTTGAAACTTAAAAAATGAGATAGCGGGATGGTCTCATTCTGCTAAAACCAGAGCTGATGGAATCTGATAGACAGAACCTTTGCAAATGAATGGACTGTGCAATATGTGATAGCAACCTGCCATTCAACACAAATGCAATTAATAGTCTGATTTGGCCAACACATCTGAGTCTGCTAATATGGCTGCTGATGAATCCAAATAGATGGACACCTGGTGAATGAGCGGGCTATCCAAACATTTTAGCTGCACCCTCAAAGTCATCTGTGGTTGGCCCCCACATGTCAAATGCCATATGAACAAAATCTGGGTAATCGTGAGTTGCATAGTCATCAGGGTCAGTGCTCATCAGGACATCTTCTAAGCATGTTCGGTGTTGAGAGTTACAAATGTTCAAGCTCAAAGGTTGGAGAGACTTGTGAAGGCAGACTAAGTTATTGACCCAGGTATTGCACCCAGAGGATGGCTGGCTCATGTGCATTGTGACAGTGCTGTGACTCTAGAAGCTGCCTTTACCACAACTTGGACAGCAGAGCATACTCTAGATGGTCAGGCAGGCTGATTCTGTGTTATGTGATTATCACCTCAGTGCAAATCAAGATGTTGTTCGGATCATTATGGAGTGTATTTCTCATATACTACCCAATCACATCCCATTCATGAACATAGTCACTCATGTCCATTTATAACCTCAATCACACACACCTTCATGCTGGATCAACCATGCCCATGGTTGAGCATTGCCTGGGCAGCAAAGGACTGCCTCATAACCCTCGTGATGGCAGGTTCTCTTCCTGCAACAGTCCCTCTAGCAGTGCCAAGGTCAAAGTGGAGACAACTGGTGTCTTAGCTGAGATGTATGGAATATTGGAGTCATCCACTCACACAGTAAGTTCTTTTTTTCCTTTCTAATAACTGCTCATTGATAGGTTTCCAATCTGCAGCATGAATCAAAGAGTCAGCTGAATCACAAGGCACTTCTCCTTCTTGATGTAGCATGTGCACAATGCAAAGTCTTTCATGTGGAACAAGCTCTGGCCACATGCATCACCCACAAATATGAATCAATGGCCAAGTTGTACAAGTACAAGGTGGGCAGCAGCAAGGTGAGAGTCCACAAAAAAGATATGGAGGTTGGCTCATTACATGTAGCAATGAAAAAATGCAGACTGGGGGAGCCTATTTTCAATGTTAGTGTTCTGGCCAGTGAGCTGCAGCCATCTCTCAAGTCTGATGGTATGGTATGCTTGCTCTTTTCTTTTGAGCCACTATTTTACTTATGCCAGATCTTGATAGGCACAGTTATTGAGCATGCTGGTAGTCAAATACTTGCCATTTGTCTAGACTAGTACTATCCATTACTTTCCTGTACTTATCAAAAAATGCTGTATGTTATGTCTGTGTGTTGTTGCCTTCATGCATAGGAACAAAGTTAGATCTACCAAGTTCTCTACTACAGTGGGAACCTAGGTTGCTGTATTAGCTAGGTGTGTCTGTTCCCTTGTATGCTAGGTAGCTATTGGTCTTTGGATTGCTGGTATCACTGGTGTGGCTTACTCAGGTGCTATGAGTTGCTTGGATGCTGGCCACTACTTTGGGCAAGTCTAGTGTAGTCTACTCTGGCACTATGAGTTGCTAGGATGCTTGACATTGCTTTGGACTAATATGGAATTGTGCAAATACTATGGGCAGCTATGAGTTACTAACACATTTTTGTGTTTTGCTGATGTAAGATGTCCCTACGAAGCTTTAGGCTCGCAAGCGTTGGTTAGTGCTGTTGTGAACACTGGTCGCATCTGGGAAGCCGATCTTTGCAGAGACATGCCACAGCATTTTCAAACGCTGAGGAACGGGCTGGCAAAGTCAAGGCAAGTAGAAAAGGGCCTTTGTATAACAGGCAGTTGATACTTTAAAAAGGATGTGCCTTTCCTCGTTGAGGACAAGATCAAAAGCCTTGGGGGTATTTATGGGGCTGCGGAACCGTGATAGGTAAGTATTTTAACTTCAATGCTAAGCCCTTCATGTGGGCGTCAGCAGCCCGAGGTCTCGTTTTCGGAAATGCAATCGCCGGCCAAAATCCGGCATCTGCACGCGGTGTTGCAGAGGCCATCTTAAAAGAATCTCCACAAGGTGTGAAAACGCCTTTCAAGGGAGTGCTTTGCTGTTATGCCCAGTCTTCTGTTTGAAACGTGAACGTCTCTGCTAGCTCGATGTTAGTTCCGGGCCGATAAGAAGCCCCTGAAACACGGCTCAAGTCATTGTATTTGGCATGCGGGTGGCCATGAGTGCATAAGTACAAGCTTTTCTGGGGGGAGAATGGGATCAAACGTAGGCGACGCTCATTTGCCACCCCTTCTTTAAGGTGAAGCCATCCAGGGCCTCTTTTGCCACCGAAGCCAACTCAGCAGACTCGAAAAATACTTGCGCCATCTTGACCTTCGCGCCAGCAGCATTTGGTGTTTGGGCCTGTGTGACATGCGTCGATTGGAATCCACGGTACCTGTTGGAGCATGGTAGCGATACAGCGCCAATGGCGTTTCAAGTATTACGTACTGCTGAAAGAGGACTGAAAGCACGTCGTCAGTGACTTCTTGTGGTAAGTTGGTGCACAATAAGCGTGGAGATGGCTGTTGGATAGGCGCGGGCATGGCAACTGGAAAGACACGTCGTAAGAGTCCTCTCAGACATGTTCTTACGACAGCTACATACCTGGCGCCCGACTCCGTTGTTCCTTATCTTCGTCTTCGTCTATTTCCATCTCCTCCCCTTCACTGTCGTCTTCCGATTTCTCCCTCTTGGATTGGGGTTCGTCGGGCGTAGAATCATCCGTTCGCAGGCGTTTGTCGAGGGAAGAAACAGTGACTTTTCCGATCGTGGAAACTTCTGGACGTGCATGCACAGAGGTTGGAGGTACAAAGTCAGGATCCTCCCTACGCGAAGTTGCGTAGGACTTTGTTTTGGCGTAACTGACGCGCTGAACAATCCATCATGCATCACTGGATATTTGTGCCGCTGTGCTCGGATAAGACTCACCATTGGCTTATCGTAGAACATCATACCTTCGCAAGCCCTCATTGCTGTCGTTGCTGAAGCAAGATCTGTGAATACGAGAAATGCCTGCCCCTTCATTTTAGGTCCTTTGGATGCGATGATGTCGATGACTTTGCCATAGGTGGTGAAAAGCGCATACAGCTGTAAGCGCAACTCCTCTTTCTTGACCTTGTCATTAAGATTATTGATATACAATGTCGTGTTCGGTTGTGAGGTCGAGGACATGGCAAGTGCATGCGTACAGTGGACTGGCCTCCATGGGCCAGTGGGTACTCAACCCCCAATTAGGAAGGTCAGTCGCACGGGCCACCTTTACCACCCCCTGCAAGTTAAAAATGAATTACAGACTGGTGTTGAACCTACACTACACCGTTTGGTTCCGTCAACCTTCTCGACACCAAACCCCGAAACTGACGCGCCCATTCGACCGTCTATCCATTTTATTCGCTCTTGGTCGTGTTTTGACGCCAAAGAACGTGACTGGACAAAACAAGCGCAAAATTACAGCCGAAACGAACACACGGTTGTCCTTCTGTCCATGAAATTTTGACGACTTGATACATATCATTCCAATGAATACCCCGCAGGCCGCAGAATGGCTCCCGTCCTTCCTCGTTCCATTCTTTACGCTCTCGTATCCGACGGAAAAACCTATCTATACCGACTCTTTCCACGACTCCGCGTACTTTAGCACGGGTCTCTTGGACGGATGTCTGATTATATCATACATTGCCATCATGGCGATACTACGTGACTTCACGCGCATCTATGTTTTGGAACCGTTTGCCAGGTGGAAACTCACTCGGGATTGGGAGAGATCTCTACGGCCTACAATCGACGGAACCGGTACACCCAACGGGTCAGCCGCAAACGGATGCACAGTGCATACCGGCAAGGAAGACGCGTCCCCATCCATGTCCAAAAAGCAAGCACGGAAAATGCATAGGAGCGTGCTGAGATTCGCCGAACAGGGTTGGTCAGCCATATACTATTCCATTCAATTTTCGTATGGTCTGGTCAGTATTTTTCGTGTGTCCTCGTCGCGTGTTGTTGACGACTCCCTGGGACATTTAGTATGTGCACTGCCAACTTCCCACCCGCGTCCTGAATCCTACGGCCCTCTGGTTGAATTACCCCCATGCTCCTCTTGCCGGACCCCTTAAGCTGTACTACATAACTCAGACTGCGTTCTATTCGCACCAGATGTTCATTCTCAATGCAGAGGCTCGCAGAAAAGACCACGGGCAAATGATGACGCACCATGTCATCACAGTTTTTCTCTTAGTTGCAAGCTACTTTACTAACTACACCCGTATCGGATGTCTCATTGCCGTTATAATGGATTTCAGTGACATTCTCTTACCTGTGCGTGGCATCCCTTGTTATCACTGAATGAATGTCGACGCTGAATTTCACCCCCAGATCGCCAAAATGTTCCGATACATCGGCTTGTATACCCTATGTGACATAACGTTTGGCTCGTTCCTTGTCTCTTGGCTCATCACTCGGCATGTGCTGTTTGTGATCGCTATCAAGTCAGCATGGTTTGACTCCGTTCGGCTCGTACCAGAGAATTCGTGGGCGCCGGAGCGGGGCGCGTACTTCTCCGAAATTACGAACAATACTTTCGTCAGCTTGCTGGTATTCTTGGAGGTAAAGCTAAATCGCCAATCCTACACGTGACACTTTACTGAATATAACTGGAAGATACTTCAAGTTGTATGGTTCTGGATGATATGTCGGGTGGCATGGCGCGTTTTGACCGGTCAAGGTGCGTCAGACCACCGTAGCGACGAAGAGGAGTGAGTATCTTTTTTTTAAAAATCTTTGGGAACGGATCTGATATCGATACCCCGGCAGCATTGTAGAGGACAAGGGCGATTGATCTGAGCACAGTAGACTATCCATTTAATTTTCAGACCTGGTGGCAGTTACACATTTCACTACATACCATAATTCAGTGCAAATGGACATACCTATGATACCATATTAATGTGGGATGGGGACATGGCAGAGGGGCGTGATTTCCTTTTCTGGCTACCAGTGTAGTCCAGCGTCTGACCGCAGCCTCGTCCCAGCCGGAGATCTCTCACCTTGGCCCTTGCTCTTTGTTCTGACCCACCACATCCACCTGCGAGTCAATATGATGTCTTCCATCATGTCGTACTTTGGGGGGAGGCGAGATAATAAGCAGGCTGCTCGAGATGCAATCGTGGGGTTGAGACAGCAGCTGCAAATGATAGAGAAGAAAGAAGAGTACCTCCAGAAGAAAATCGACGAAGAACTCAAGAAAGCCAAGGCGAATGCGGTATCGAACAAGGCTGGTGCGTTAGCAATTCTTCGTTCTCCTGGTATCCCTGATGCAATCAGGCTGGTCGCACCACAGTCGCAACCCAAGCACTGCGCAGGAAGAAGGCTAGCGAGACCGAGATGGACAGATTAGCTGGACAGCGACTGCAGCTGGAAATGCAAATCAATACGTTGGAATCTGCCAACTTGAACGTAGAGACAATGCAAGCTTTGAAGAAGGCGTCCGACGTGCTCTCCTCTATCCACGGCTATATGTTTGTTTTTGAGTCCTGTGTCGACATGGCAGTATATCTAACGATCTATCCAGGACCATGGACAAGGTTGATTCCACCCTATCAAAGATTACGGAACAGAGGGAGATTGCAAACGAGATTGCAGATGCAATATCAGCTCCAACAGGAATGGAAGGGGCAGACGAGGTAACTATAGCACCCGTTCGCCAAGGTTATCTGACACTCAGTATCTCTTGTAGGAGGAGCTCAAGACGGAACTCGAGCAACTCGAGCAGGAGCACTTGGACGAACGTCTAGCTGGCGCAGAACATGTCCCGGCGCATGTCCCAACCGGCGCACGGAGAGTGGAAGAACGTAAGCTCAGTTCATGCTGTTTTCTTGTGTGATGTATTCATACAACCGTAGGTCCTCGCCCTGCAATAGAAGACGACGAGGATGCGCAGCTCAAGGAGTTGCAGGCTGCACTTGCCATGTAATACCGGGACGATGCTTGGCCGTTATTGATGTATGGCTTTCTGTTACGACTCATTGTTCACATCCCAATCAATTTACGTGTATATCCTGCTTCCTCCATCTTAATTGCACTGCACACTTTGTGCCATTTGCTGACTTGTAGGGATGTTGTGAAATCGATAATGTACAGGATAAGCAGTATTAAATTATGCAACGATGATGTTCAGTACTGTACTGTGGTGGTGCCGGTGAACTTGGGTGGGAGCGGGACGTGAATGCAAGTTTGAGAACGGCGCAAAGCTTCGTAATGAATGATGGAGACAACATCCTAACAGTATCAATGGTGGTTGTGAATTACCAGAGTTCCGAAGTGAATGGACTATGAAGAGAATCCTCGAAGGCCCAACACGCTGCGAACGTCAGAAGTGAAGCGCAGGGAGTCGAGGATCGGTAACAGGTCAAGCAAGGCTTCGTCGGATGGATCATGGGTCCAGCCTTCTATGGGTATGCCGTTTGCTGTGGAAAAGATGTCAACGATGAAGATAAAAAGGGACCAAACGAGGAAAACAGTACCCTCATTCACACGATAGCTTATGGGCGAGTTATCGATGAGGCAAATGCGGGCAAGGTCTTGCTCTACGATTGATAGATCCTTGGTGTAGGATCCGTTTGGAAGGAGGGTGCAGGACTGTAGGCGAACGCTTAGGAAAGAATAAAGAGGAAAAGAAGGAAAGACGTACCTCACGAAAGAATCTACGGGTAAGAATGCCGCGCCCAGCGTCTAACCAGTCAATGACGGGATCGGCATATTCTTCCATGGAAGCTGTGAAGACGACCAACGTATACCATCCGGACACCTAAGGAGACGTGGCTGTCAAGGACTGTCCAGAGACGTTCGCGATAATGATTACCTTGCGTAGGAAATAATCTACAAAAGGTCTCTTATAGACATGATACAAAGTGTGACGACCGCCCAGGATAACTTCGACTGTATGACCTTTATTACGTCTTCCGAGAGCGAGAAGACCGAGAGGTCCGGATGAATGGGACAGAGGCTTTGAGGTGGAGTGAATGAGGGTTTCGTCGAGGTCAAGGACCAGCGTCTTCGGGAAATGAAAGGGGGTTTTGTGTGCATTTGTGGGGGTAGGAACACGAGAAGTTGTGTCTGCAGGGGGAGAAGGGAGGGACGGTTGTTGGGCAAGACATTCGGGGGTAGGAGGAGGGGTAGGGAGTGGTTGTACAGCTGATCTTGCAAGTCTATGAGGTGGGTCGCTGGGGGTATCTGGAGCGGGAGGGCGGGGAATGGATGGCAATGCAGAAGGAGTGGCATCGAAGTGGGATTCGTAGTCTGGATGGAGAGCATTTTCTCGCATGGAGACGTTGGGGACATTTCCGGCCTTGGGCTCGATTTCTGCGGGAAACCAGGAGATCCAGGTGGCACAGAGGGTGTTCCATACGAATACGAAGACGCGAAGGAGGGAGACACGCCTCCATGCGCTTCTAAATCTGAGCCTTAACTTTGGCTTTGGTGGAATGATGCGATCGACCGGGGCGCCTGACGGAGATGAGGGCTGTGACGGTGATTGGGGCGACGGAGGAAAGAAGGCAGAGGGAATGGAATACGAGCGTTTAGGACGAGAGGACGAAGGGCCTTCTGGCGGGGATGGGGATGGGGATGGGGAGAAGGACTTGTCTGACCACGTCTTTGTACGTTTGAGCGAGCTGGAATCAGAGCTGCGTCGTCTGTGCCAGTGGAATGGCGGACACTCGCTGGCTGGGGTGGACGGGGGAGTGCGGGGCGAGCTCGAAAGTAGGACATCGAACTTGCGGGAGACGTACGCGAGCGAGTTCATCGGACAGGACAGTTGGTGGACGACAGCGAACCCGTCACTGCGACTGCTTGCTCGTCGTCACTAATAGCTGCACTCTTCCAACACACAACACGTGTCTTTATATCGGCCCCATATACATCTCATAATTCATCCTGTCATATCGGAAGCCATTCATACACATATTGCCTGTCATGTAGTATAAATATTATATGTATTGGTGGCCAGTGAAATATCGCCGTATACATATGATGCCAACCTAGTACACAGTCACCCTCCGTGACACGTGACAAGAACTAGCATTCAAGCTGCCAATTATCAGCTCAGTCTGGTCGGACAGATTTCATTGCCGTACACTTCTAACCTCCACTTTACAATGGACAAGCAGATTCAGCAGCTTGTGGAGATGGTAACTCCAACTCCGTCCACCTGATAACAGCGCCACTCACCCCAAGTCCTGTTAGGGTGCAACCGTGCCCCAGGCCTGTGCAGCACTGCACAAGTACAAGGATGTCATGCAGGCCGCTGAGCGTATCTTCGATGGAGAGTTTGCTCACGTGCACGATGAGGGCGAGGGTGTGCGTATGCAGCCCGACACGTCCTCCATCCTTACCCCATCGCGCACCCCTCACGCATCCGTAAGGGGTCATGCATATACCTGTTCCCTCATCATGTTTAATTTAGTTTTCGTTAGACTCCGGAGGACGTGGTGCAAGACCATGACATGATGGATGACGATATCGAAGATGACGGTAGATACTCCGACATGTGGGCGTGTCCGACGTTGGCTGACATTCGTTCGTTTAGTCGAGGATTATGTGGACTACGAGTCAGACTTTGAAATCCAGCCAATGGCAAGAGAAGTGGACCCGTATGCAGGCAAGTGTGTGTGTTAAACCCGCCTCCTATTTTCTTCATCGTCCAGTAGGAATATTCTTTTCGAAGGATCGTCGCGAAGATGTCATCGAAGTCGAGGAGGAAGCGGAATTCGTCAGCTTACCAGAATCCAAAGAACCCATCAAACTCATGACGCAAGGCGAATGGATGAAAGGTTGTCCCGAAGGCAATGAGCAATCCTTCCTTTTCGCTCTGTATGACTATCTGTGCAGTGGTAGCTGCCCCTGTCCGCAACGTTGCGGGTTCAAGGTTCCCAGGAAGAAATATGACTTTTTCTCACTATTTGTGAGTCTTACATGGCCATCGTAATTGATTTCCCCCTCTGATACAGCGTTCAGCCCGAGTTTCCGTCATATATCGAACATCTACAGGCAATTATCAAGCAGTCGTGTCCAACCTGTAAAATCGAATTCTGTTTTGCATGTGGCGAAATGGTGAACTCTGCCAACAATCATCCATCTGCATCCAGCGGTAATGCCAGCCTCTTTCATTGTTCGAACATGCAAGGGGTTATACTTGGCGTTGGACTTGCAATGCTTGAAGCCACTTTCGCCGAACAAAGGCAGCAGCCCATTGGTAATGGTAACCAGGGACCTCAAAGATCGAAATCTAACAAGAAACGGAAGCTCCATGCACACTCGACCCCAACTGGTGATGACGAAGAGAGCGACAGTTACTACACCCCATTCCCCATGGGACGGAAGGCGAAAGGAGGCACTGGTTATGCCGGAGATCAGCGCGAGGACGTGAGTATGACGACCTCGCCCCCTCCCGTAGCTCTGACGATAAGCAGACCTCGGGTCAACTCGAGGCTCAGGCTCAGCAGCGTGTAAAGGATGAGAAAATTGGCTTTATGCTATCTCAAATACGTGTCTACCTCCCATCCCTTCGCAGACATGGAGGCGCTCTTACCAGCGACTACATGGTCCATCCTACAGCCCTGGCTCACCTTCGAAGACGCTTCAACTACTTGTGCTCAACTCTCCTACGAAATGATTCTTTGACGGACATGTCTGAGCGCTCGGTTCTCTACTTCAAATTATTCGAGTGGCTGGAGGTAACCCGCAGGTTTGCTAGAAATGTCCATCTCACTATTGTTTCCTACATTCCAGACTATCTCAAATCACGAAGCACTGGCCAGTATGATGGCAATGCCCATTATGGTTATTTCATCTGTCAAGTCTGTAGCGCCGAAGAAGGCTGTTCATAGCAAGGCGATCATCCGCGAACGCGCAATTATCTATGAAGGTAGTGCTGGTCCTCGCGAGCTACTCGAAGCCATCGTCATTCAAGCGCGAGCTGCTATCAAGGGCTTGGAAGGAATGAAGTCTTCTGATCCCGAACAGGAGATGACCGAAGAACAGAAGCGGATGACGGCGAAAGGCAAGGGTAAGGCAAAAGAATCCTCACCACCACCGAACGACGAAAACGAAAAGTTACTGGCCTTCTGTAATCGGATCCTTGCTACTGCGAGTGCCATTGACCGCTCCCTCAGGGAAACCAAGGGTGACGCTTTCGTCGACCGTCTACACGCATCCCTCCCTAAAATCTTGACGTCGTCGACATTTGACCATATTTCTGTGAGAACTGGGGAGACAGAGGAAGAAAGAAAGAAAGGATATCTCGATTGGGCAATGCAAGTGCGCTTCGAGTACTGTGATCTTACTGTTGCCTCTCCAGCCACCGATCCCAACCCGTCCGTTCCTCATTATAAATTTTATTTCAACAACGAAGCTCGGATGATAGCAAATTCAGACTTCCCGAAGCGGTCTCTGGCCATCGCGAAGGAGGTACGTGTACTCCGCTGCTCTATCGCGAGCCACGGCTGTGATGTTCCACAGTTGGCCGTCCTCACTACAAACCTTCCTGTGTCATGGGATTCTTCGGTATTTCTGAAAGTGGACGAGAACCGAGTGGATATCATAAAAGCGTTGATCATCGGCCCAGAAGGAACACCGTAAGTTTGGTTCGGCATCCTGACCTCGCTACTGACGCTCTTGATCAGGTATCAGGACGGATGGTACGTGTGCTCGGTAATGTTATGGAGGCTTGACTGAGCTACCGCAGTTTCTTGTTTGACATATTCCTCGGGCCAACCTACAACCACACACCTCCGAGCGTGAAATACATGACGGTAACATGGCCCATTTTGGATTGCATACTGAGCTGACCTTTGTGAGAAGACCAATGGCGGGAGATATCGTTTCAATCCCAATCTGTATGCTGTAAGTTGCGTAAGGCTCTGTCTGTTGGCAGTCACCTGTAGTCCTCGCAGGATGGCAAAGTTTGTCTGTCTCTCCTAGGAACGTGGTCTGGTCCAGGTTGGATCTCTGGTCGATCTACATTGTTACAGGTCGGACGACAACGAGCGAAGTAAATCAGTCATCTCACGATATCCGTACCCAGGTCCTCGTTTCCATTCAATCTATGATCTTGTGCGATGAGCCGTACCTCAACGAACCAGGATGGGCAAACGCAGGCGGGACGCCACAATCCAAAGCCTGTAAGCTAATCGGATTGCTGTCTTTCGCTTCCTCTACTAACTTGGGCAGATTCAGCGAATGTCCGGCGCATGGTCGTTAAGACTGCAGTAAGATCCCTCCGAGTCCCCCCGAGCCTAGCTAAACCCCAAAGTAGATGCTTGGGAATTTGAAGACCCCTCCGGAACCGTTTAGCGATGTGATTCGCACACATTACCGACTGAAGGCGGATGTTATCATCACCCAGTTAGATAGATGGCTTGCCCTAGATGACGGACGACAAACCACTGGTGACAGTGCACAGACCTCGGGAAGATGTGATGCTACCTCAAGTTCCAATGGATTTAAGAAGGATGTAGAGGAGATGCAGAGTTTACTCCGGCAACTGAAAGACGGTACATTTCAGTACTGAACGGTTGACCAGTATGCATTACCGAAACGCAGAACCAATATCAAATGACATTTCATGCATTTACAACTTGGACGTAGCTAGTAAATCATTCGTTTAGTATCCTACAGCTGAATTCTGCGTGGGGCATTTGTCACATCCTTTACCGGTATTTGTGGAGTTGGACCTCAAGCTTCAACATGTGATAAACTTTGTCCATGCAGTTTTTACGGTGCATGCCTCCTTCCTTGACGCAGAATTTGTCGTGTACCACTAACCACAGTGCAGTATGAGCGATTCCGCGATTCACGCTCTTGCCGGAGCCGTAGGCGGGGTAGTGGCCATGACGGCGACGTAGTAAGCACCTCGATTATTGCTGCATATTTTACTAGAATCTGGCATGTTAGCCCCCTCGTGGTCCTGTCCACCCGTGCAGCGGTTGAAACGAAGAACCACTCCAAGGTCAGGTGGTGTAGCAAGTGAGCCGATGTCAGTCGACAGGCTAACACAGATTCATTGCAGACGGTCGTGGAATCAGTCCTAGACATCGTCAAGCGGGAAGGCCCGCGGGCCTTTTACAGTGGTCTGAGCTCAAGTTTGGTTGGGATAGCAGTTACTAACGGGTATGTTCACCTCCTATTGGCACAGACTGATGCGACGAGACCGCTAGCGTATACTACTACTTCTATGAGCGCTCGCGAGGTATAATACTGAATTCGCGGGAGGGAACCAAGGCGTTGAGTACCTTGGAGTCTATTCTGGCTGGTCTTATAGCAGGTGCTTTGGGGTATTTCTCAACAATGCGTTGCGCTGAGCACCCGATGCATGAGCAGGGTCTGCGACAACTATCATCAGCAATCCAATATGGGTTATCCAGACTTCGCAAGTAGTCCACAAGTCGGAATCCGACTCTCGGGAGGTAGAGAGCGTGCCGAAGACACTTGGGGTGTTGGAAACTATCAACCAGATACTTGCCAAGGATGGTATTGGAGGTTTCTGGCGGGGAATTGGTCCAGCCCTCGTCTTGGTCACCAACCCGGTCATTCAGTACACCGTCTTCGAACAGCTGAAGAATATCCTCATCGGGAGCCGCACGGCGAAGCTGCGCACACGCGGATCCAAGGGTGCCGCCGTGCTTCGTGACTGGGATTACTTTCTCCTAGGAGCGTTGTCAAAGTTGGGTGCGTTTGTGTCGAATGTATAGATCGTTGCGTACAGGATCTCACGCGCCGACAGTTGCGACTGCATTGACGTATCCCTATATGTGGGTCGTCGAGTACTTAACGTATTACTGTCTCTCTGATGTCCCTCTCTTTCTAGAGTCGTCAAAAGCCGGCTTCAGGTCGGCCAGAGCCAAGCATCGCAGTACAAGTCTTCTCTGCACGGCCTTACATTGATTTTGAAAGAAGAAGGCATACAAGGCTTGTATAAAGGTATCGGGAGCAAACTCCTCCAGAGCGTACTTACTGCTGCTATGTTATTTGCTGGACAAAGAAGGATATACGAACTTACAAAGCAGGTAAGTTCGCGTGCTTGGACAGATGTGCAGAGCTTTGTTTCGAGGACATTGACCCTTGGCAGGCAGTCGCATCGGCTTCCGGGCCAGCTGCATTGAAGTAGTAGTTGTTGGCCGTTGTGTAAATAAGAATTGCAGAGTAACCACTGACCACGGTTGTGCTTACATTGGACGGAACATTAGAATCCGCTCTGAACAAATTACCTTACTAATCACGTCTTCCCATTCCCTTCACCTCATCCCTCTCCATGCCTCAGCCCCCCCGCCTAAATGCTGTCGCTTTGATTTCACCCCAAAACCATCCAATACTCATCCGTACGTTCCAAAAAGGAGACGAATTGAAGTACCATTATGTCGCGCATACGAGCTTGGATGTCATTGAAGAGCGCAGTTAGCATCCACTCTTTTATCGCATATGAGTATTCGCGGTTGTGTTGAATGACACCCCTAGCCAGCGGAAAGACGAAACCGACAGAATGCTATCTAGGGCTTCTCTATGTTATGGACGACGTTGCAGCTTACGGTTACATCACCCCATTGAAAGTGAAAATTGTCATCGCCCTTGCACTCACAGATTCTGTTGTGCGAGATGCTGATGTCGTTATGGTCGGTGGCGTCTGAATATCGTGGATACTGGTAGGATGATCTTGATCGTTTGCCAACAGATCTTTAAAGCCCTGCACATGGCATTCTACGAAGCAGTCTCGAATCCATTTCTGAAATTGGATGGCGTTTCCGAGTCTACAGCTGACTATTCACCATACCAAGCCGTCGGAAGCGTGAAATGGAAGCGACTACGGCAGGCAGTGGATGAAATTCACAGAGCGTTATGTGCCTATGCGCCGTAGATGTTTTTGTGCAAGTGCAGTGATCCAGTAAAACAGGTTCGCGAGCTCACCGTGGTTTGCAGGCTTCGGCCGTACCCACTTTCTGCGGTCTGCTGCTTGTCCTTAAAAAGGGCCCTACCGAACCAAAAGAAATGTTTCCTTCTAATGACTCAGGTGTATTAAGCTCTCTATGCCTGAGACAGATACGGGGAGCACATGACTATGGTCGTTTGTCAATGCCTCATACCATTTCAAGATTTGTAAACTACTCGATGCCTAACATTGTTTTCATTAATTGGTTGATGCTTTCGTCCGCCTCCCTCGCCATCGCACGGGTGATACCGTCTTCGTCTGCGGAAGAGGCATAGCCGAGGGTGGCTTTTGCCCTCCTAAGAAAAGATATTGAAGGTAATTCGGCCAGCGACTCTTCATACATCGCTTGTGTGACAGTCCGCATGAGTAAAGTTAAGAAGTGCAATGCAGATCGTCGGAGCGATGGGAGCTTGGGATCAACGGCAGTAGGCGTGGAGTCGATTTCGGGGTCAGGTCTCAGAGTTTCGTTAGCTTCCATTGATTCCTTAGTGTGTCCGACGTTGTCGTTAGCAGAAGGGACTCCCGACGGGACCACCATCTCAACTTGAAGAAGATCAATCATAGCAGCTGATAACTGACTGGTGTACCCAGCTACTGCCGCGAAACTTGTCTTGACACATTGAGTAAGCAACGCGACGGCAGAAGCACGAAGCACAACCGGAGCTTGGCGAGCACGGAAGACTGAGACCAACCGTGGCATGATCACGTCAACTGCCCATGGAGGAGTGGTCACACTGATGATATAACAAGAAATGGCTCAGCACGCACCGTGCATGCCTAGTGTATCTCCACATCGCCTGATGACTTGCCCCAGTGCCTCGCCAACGCGAACCCTTGTGTCTACTTCTTGTTTCGTTAAATAGCCGCCATGAACTGAAGTCAAGTTATGTGTGTAAGTCTCAAGCAGACTGTTGAGAACTCCCTTCCCAAAAGTGTCAACCATTCCGACAAGACCCTGCACAGCATTGAGAAAGATATATGAATCATCTTCTTGCACGGCTTGCATGAATATAGACAAAATAGCAGGCACCAGAGCCTCTCCCGCGGAGGCGACGTCAGATGAAGAGCGACTGTATTGCGCCACCAGCTGCCGTAGAAGGAGTAGCCCATGAGCACGGACGGGTAAGATAGGATCTTGCAGTAACTTGAGGGCTTTCTGATAAACCTCTTGCGAGCTCTCCCCTTTCGCTTGTGGCTGATTCCACACCGCGGACGCAGATGCCAATCTGGCTGTCATCACCATCCTGGCCTCCCGCACTGCACCTCTTATTGATGGAGATGAACTGCTGGCATATGGGTCCAGCAATGCGAATACATCACCGAGGATTGGAGTATCGCGTGCTGATAAATTTGGGTTTGCTGGAAATACACCTCAGTCTCTTCAAACCTCTGAGGGACGATCCTGGACGTTACGTTCACGCACCTTCGAGAGTGGCAAGCAGCAAGTTAATCGCGATTTCTGGCATGTCTTCATCCGGATTACTATCTATTCCCTCAGGTCCTTCGTCGTCGCTGTCGCTATCTCCAGGAATACTAGGTTCGTCTTCTGGAATAATTCTCAGATCTGCAAGTCCTAGACTTTGTCCGGAATTAGACTGCAATTTCGTGGAAGAAGGCTCCAGTGCATGTTTGACAAATTGTAAAACATATTCCGGTTTCTTGAGGATGCTCTGAGGGGACGAATCTCCTGCTAATTGTTCCTGCATCTGCATGATTATTTGGAGGTACAATAGCACCCTAATGCACATGGACGTGGTCAGGCAAGGTGGGTAGCTCCATTTTACTACCTACCTCATAGGGTTGCTTTCTCTATCAGACTTTGCAGATCGGTACTCCTCCAATAGCCGGACAAAGAGTTCGCAACTTATATCTGAACGATTGAGAGACTTGATGTACCGTACAAAATGTGTGGGATTGGGATAAAGATCGAAGGCATCGTCATATACATCGTACTCCTTTCCTCGCAAACGTTCTGGGCTTAGCAAAGCAAGTTTTTCCATTTGAGATCTATGTAGTCACGTCAGCTTCCGCCGAAAAGTGGAGAGGGAAGACACTGGCTCTGTTACTGTGCACACCACCTCACCGGTGTCATCAGTCCACCAACTTACGCGTTGGCCATGCAAAACCAACCATAACTGTTCAATACCCTCCTGACACTCCACCACTCTTCCCCAGGTGGTCAGTAATACCTTGACCAAGTCCCTGACTACCGGATCCGATGTCCTGGTCTTGTCGAGGTAATACAGAAGGGCATAGAGGTAGGGTGATATTGGGGACAAGATCAACGCTATGAAGACAGGGGAAGGATCTGAATTAAGGAGGAGAGTACGTATGGTTAACAGGGCTTGACTCGGTCTTAAGCTTCCATCCGAGGTTGCCGTACTATGCGGGGATTGTAATGCTGCCGTTCCTTGGGGGATGGAGGGTCTCAGTGGATGATGAAGAATTGGCAGCATCTGCGCAGTAACATATTTTTTATGAGGGAATTCGGGATCCAACATTCGGGCGATGGAAAACGAAGCAGCTCGCTTATACGTTGCAGGAACGTCCTCCGATAGAATCCGTAGAATTCCAGGGATAACAGTCGCGAAGTATGCCTGTGAAACGGTGTTAAGATATGAAGAGAAGGGGGAATCGAATCTAACCTCTGGTGCCATGCCTGCCGGTATGGACTTTAGAATTCGACCAACATGTTCATATTTCTCCAAGGAAGGTTCTTCGGGTGCATCCCCTTCTCCGAAGACCACCGTAAGAAGGGCGTTCACACCTCGCTCACGCAATAGACTTTTGCTCAGTAGATTCGAGCATATTCTGCGGACGTGAGCGGGTGGTGGTTCTCCGGATAGTATTGCACCGAGATCAGCAACTACCTGGGATAAAGAAACACTTTAACAATTTGATCAGGAACAATGCTGTAGCCTCTGATCACATATCTCACGCACGACTCGAGCAGACGCAGCACAACTGGCCGTAAATCATCTATAGCAAGAGCGTCTGTAGACGAAAGCGATTTTGGGAGCCATCCTAAGGTAATTGATGCCCTCGTAAAGTCTACAAAGTGCCGATCCAATATCGCGGTAGTGATTGGTGTATGCGGGAGGCGACCGCGCGGCCCACAAGGCAGAAGGATTGCAGCCAAACGCAATAATAACGAGGACAGCGAGTGGTAGTCTTCGGGAGTCCCGAGTTCGACAACCCTGGTTCCAACCTGTCGAGAGTGATTACTGGGCAAAGCATGCGATACTCGAGCGAGAAGTGGGTCGATACTCCAGCGAAAAACTATGGATAGTAATGTTCTCAGCTGCGTAAGATCGCGAGAACCGATGACAGGTGCATCATCGTCTTGCATATCATGGGCTCCGGGAGCTGCGGCCGCGGAAGTAGAAACGTTTGCGTCCAGTAAGCGGTTGACTTGTTCTACGGTTTCGAGGGCGCATTGCGCAGTTTCGAGGCGAAGACCTTCGACGGTGTCTCCCACCGAGAACGGCCTGTCTTTGCTTAGCGAGGCGTAAAAGTTGTCTAGCCTGGTATTCAGAACACTTTTGAGATTGCGGTCTTGACCAGCCTCTGAGTCCAGGAGATGGGAGGCAGCCCGAAGTATGTCAGAGACTTGGCGTTGTCTGGTGGACATGGTCATGGTCAGGCTTGTATTTGGTAGTACATGCTTGGTCACGAGATCCGATCCTTCTATGACTTATCAGCAAATTTATTCACTAACTTAGCGATCTGCTCCTTCATCCCTTCGTCTGATAAGTGTGATCACCGACGATGAGCAAGCTAAACGCAGGAGCTTTTGAATTCGTGCCCGGTCGCCCATTCAGCATTACTCAACAGAATGTAGGCCAGAATTCTCCTCAACCCCCTGCTCCAATCGAGCGTCCCCCTCAAACAGAGGCACCCGCTCCACCACCAACAATCACTCTCAATATCGGTGCACCGAAGCCCCCCGCCAGTGCTCCGGCTCCTCCCCCAGCTCCCGCTTCTTCCGTTTCTATTCCCTCGACCACTGCTGCAGTTGTTGCCGCCCCTGCACACTCGGTCTCGGCCTCAGGAAATTCATCCCCCGCTCCTCCACCTTCAAACAAAGTCTTCACAACCGCAAAATCGAAAACCGATACCACTTCCATCGCTCGCGAAGTCCAAGCTGTTGCCGACCAGGAGATACTCAAGGATCTGTATGGTGACAGTGAGTTAAACCTGCTGCGTTTTTCGAGACGCCATGATAGGAAATTTCGTTCAGTCAAGGAACATCTCAATATAGTCTTTGTGGGACACGTGGATGCCGGAAAAAGTACCCTAGGAGGAAACCTCCTTTATATCACTGGTGTCGTGGATAAACGGACCATGGAAAAGTATGAACGCGAAGCCAAGGATGCTGGAAGAGAAACTTGGTACCTCAGTTGGGCCCTTGACTCCACCCCACAGGAGCGCAGCAAGGGTAAGACCGTCGAGGTTGGTCGCGCTTACTTCGAAACTAGCAGCCGCCGCTACACCGTCCTTGACGCTCCCGGTCACAAAACTTATGTTCCATCCATGATATCTGGTGCTGCTCAAGCAGACGTCGCGCTCCTTGTCATTTCGGCACGCAGGGGCGAATTTGAGACAGGATTCGAGAAAGGCGGCCAAACACGGGAGCACGTTATGCTGGTCAAGACGGTTGGGGTATCCAAGATTATCGCAGTTATCAACAAAATGGACGATCCGACCGTAGAGTGGGATCAAGCACGTTTCAACGAAATCAAGGAAAAGATTTCCCCGTTCATCAGGGCCGCTGGCTTTAACCTAAAGACAGACGTTACATTCATACCTGTTTCTGCCTTCACTGGCTTAAACCTGAAGGATCGCGTCCCAAAGTCTACGTGCCCCTGGTGGAGGTCAGTTTTGCACATTCCCGTAGATCTCGAAGTTCCTCATGCACATCCAGTGGCCCTTCTCTTTTGGAACACTTGGACCATATGCCGATGGTCGACCGCAAAATGAACGGACCCCTCATGATGCCGGTATCAGAAAAGTACAAGGATATGGGTACAATTGTAGTTGGCAAGATCGAGTCTGGACATATGCGTAAAGGGGATAACCTCCTACTCATGCCCAACAGGGACTCCGTCGAGGTCTCTGCCATCTACAACGAACTTGAGGCGGAGATCCCTTCTGCAATATGTGGAGATAATGTTCGGGTCCGTTTGCGTGGCGTGGAAGACGAGGACATTAGCCCAGGTTTTGTACTGACCAGCCCGAAGAATCCTGTGCATGCTGTGCGGCAGTTCGAAGCCCAACTAGCCATTTTAGAACACAAAAATATCATCTGCGCCGGATACTCTGCCGTTATGCACGTCCATACGCTAGGAGAAGAGGTCACACTCTCCGTGCGTCCTATCTGTGTGAAAATAGCAATTCATATCGCATTGATATTTTTTTAACTAGGCCCTTCTCCATTACTTTGACAAAGCAACTGGGCGCAAATCAAGGAAACCACCCCAGTTTGCGAAGAAAGGCAAGCTTATGAGCTTTTCCTTACTTCCTCAGTAACATATGTTAAGGACAAAAAATCGTTGCGCTTATCGAGACTGCGCTCCCCGTGTGTGTGGAAAGATTTGTTGATCATCCTCAACTAGGACGGTTTACCTTGCGGGATGAAGGTATGTCTACATCGGTGATCGTGAATGACGTGATGTTGAAAATTCTATACCCAGGGCGAACAGTTGCGATAGGAAAAGTGAACTTTCTTGGGCATGCGAGCGCTTAGGGTTTCTGATTACATCCACCAGATCACAAAGCTAGTTGACGATCGCATCGACGACATCACGGAAGGCGTCTCCAATGTTATGGTCGCGCCATCCGACCCTTCAGTTTGAAGCAGATTTACGGATGGTTAACATACAGATAGCTCAATAGTACGTCAAATACGCCCTGTAAGAACAGCGACCATTTATGTTAGATGTGACTACGACCATGGTCCACCGAATGAGTCACAAGTAAGACTCTGTACGTGTCGAGCACAACATCCAGTACACTCTTGAATGATCTGAAGCACCAGCTCTACATAGTACGTTAATGTAGTTCTCGAAGTCCAGATCAACTAGCAAGCAAGTCTGTTTGAAACTCCGACAAAGAAGTCTGGCACCAGCAGGGGTCTCTGATACTCCTACCAGTAACCGTAGCTATGGCATTGAGGCTCAAGCGAGCTAGCAGTTCACCGTCGCCGTTCTCTTGGGAGTCACTTTCGCCCCCAAGGCCATCTACACCCCTCTCGGATACGCAGATCGCAGAACTGTCATCTCCACCAACGTCATGGCTTTCTGCGCGTGACATGAAAATCTTCGGTGCTGAACCACTCAGACTAGACATCGGGGTGGTTCGGTGTAGTGAATGTGAAAAGCCGGTGTTACGCAGTGCCATATCTGATCATACTGGTGAGTGTGCCGTGGGTCTTTGTAGTTCTCAGTCTGAACAACCCCTCAACAAGTCAACTGCAGCGACATTAAATCGGGGAAGAAGTGGGTAAAGAGTAAGAGCGCAGATGGCGAAGGTACGGTTATTTTCTACCAGCAGACGTTTCACACGACCATTACGGGTGGCAGTGGAATTAAAGAAGGGCAAGAAGCGTGCAGCTGACGGTGACGAGGTTGACGATCCCTCTGAACCCAGCAAGAAGAAGGCAAAGGTGACGAAGGGAAGGACGAAGGGACCTGTCGATTACGACAAGCAATGTGGTGTCATAAATGATAAAGGTCTTCCTTGCTCCCGTTCGCTTACGTGCAAAGCGCACTCCATGGGTGCGAAACGCGCTGTTCAGGGACGATCAAAACCGTACGACGAACTTCACCTCGAATGGAATCGCGCTAACAATCCTAATTGGGTGGAGCCCGTAAAGAAGGAAACAAAGGCGGAGAAAAAGGAGAAGAGAGAAAAGGAAAAGGCTGAGAAGAAGAGAATGGCTATGGAGGCTGCTATTGCATCTGGTTTGGATCCTAAAAGCGCAGGCACAAAGAAAACAATGAAGAAACCCGCGGTTTCAACTGCATCTTACCGGTTGGAGGGCGATGATGGCACAGAGAATTACGATGATATTGACTCTGAAGCAGAGGTTGATGCTCTAGTGAAAGCCGTCCAAGCTGCCCAGACAAGAGGTATCATTGGGATTCCCCTGGCAGTTCCAACGTCGGAGAGCTTGTGGTTTGTTGCTAGACGAGAACGGCTACGAAATTGTCGCAATCACCTGGCGAACGCACTTGGTCGCAACGGAATGGCTAGTGGAGTGTCAGTAAATGGCATGGCTATTCTCTAGGGTACACTTCTTTGTTATCAAGACCCTTGTCAATGTATTTTAGCATCAATGTGTTGTAGGTAGGTACTTAGTAGTAGTATATACTTGTCCAGGCGTTCGATACTCACCCAATTCAGTTTCCCGTGGCGGTGCCGTTAGCTGTACTTCACTATCACTAGCCGGCATACTAGTCACTATTGCAAGGCATTGAAGATATGGTACACATACGGATCAACGAAAAGACAGCAAATCCTAATCCCTACGTCAACTTCGTTTCCGTACTACCGGTGGGCGATGCGACGACGGAGGATCAGGCTCGTCAGATCTTGCAAGCACTCGCGGCGCAGGTGAAGCCCATAATGAAGGAACATGGATTTACAGTGAACAGTCTCGAAGAGGCGCGCATGGAACATTCGAGGTTCAACTTCAGTGACTGATGCTTGCAAAACAGTACGAATTCAACCACGTCTTTAGCGGGAGAAACTGGAATAACGGTGAAACCATCGGTAAGTTCGCATGTGGCAATGGCGTCGACGCGTCGTCTGTGCTTATGATTTTTGACTCTGGGAGAACTTGTTCTTCGAGGGGCGAATGGTTCATTCCTACCGGTCCACTGGTTAATGAGTACCCTATGCCACGAGGTATCACTTCCTCCGGCCCGCTAGACAAAGCTTTGCTTTCTAACCATATCTAATCGCAAGTAGCTTGCTCACATCAAGGTTCGTCGGAACTCAGAGTGTAGTACCTATGAAACTCTAACTCTTCGCTGATACATTGATAGCATATGAATCATGGTCCTGCATTCCAGAATCTTTGGCGGTGGCTGCGTCAGGAGGTCCGGGACCTCCAGAATCGGGGATATTTCGGGGACGGTGGGCCGTAATTGACATAGTGTCTCCCGAGTCTCATTTGAACGCAGGATATTGGTCGGCTGGAAGAAGATTGGCGGACTCTGCTGAAGTTGCCGGGCAAGGTATTCAAGCGGGAAATCTACCGGAGTATATGGTGAGGAGTTGCCTCTGCTGTACTACCGCATGTTTTAACACTACATTAGTGCGGTGGTGCCCACTCCAGAGTCCGTCCAGTGCGAGGTTACCGATCGGTCGCGGTCGCTGGTCCTTCTCTCCACACAGGTGCACAAACAACCAGGAAACGCAAGACGGGATCTCGAGTCACAAGTTCGAGTGCGTTCCCGTCTACCGGGAAAGTACTGAACGATGACCTTGCCCACGAGATGAAGGCCGTCGGAACTGGTTTCCGAAAGCAAGCCGCAAGGTACCGTAGTCGAGTTTTAGCTGCTTTCTCTCCTGAATATCGAACTTCAGTAAACGTGCGCGAGAGGAACGAGCTTTGGCTGCCGAAAAGCGAGTGCGTTCTCTTCGAGGTATGTGTTTGCTTGTAGCAAAATACGTGTATTTATTTCGTCAAAAAGCACCTGCTGCCTCAATATTGCCGCCCACAGTGAAGAGAGCTTCTGAGTTTGAGGAAGAGGAGATTCCCGCTGAGACAGACGAGGACCGGCGTCGGACCCTGTTGGAATCGGCAGACCAGCAAGAGCTGGACTCGTTGAAAGCGACCAACTATGATTTTTCAGATGGTTTCCTGCTGCCGCGTGATACGTCAGAAGATCGGCGCGCTTGCCAAACTCACACCATTGGCCCCAGCACTGCGAGCGACGACCGGACGCATTCGTCTTTCGAACATGGCAATAGGAAGAAACGGTCGTTAAATGACGTTCCTTCACCCTTGTCTCATAAGAAGCAGAGAACACTGAACGCTGAGAGCCCAAATTTTCCTCCCACTACAAAGAGGCCAGAGGACGATCCTTGGAATTGTCTGGTGTGCACGCTGTAAGTTACGCTGCGAAATCATGTGTGTTGTACGATGAACCGACAGTTGCTTGCATTTGGAAAGAACAAATGAGCCGGGTCACTTGGCCTGTTCAACCTGCGCAACACCCCGGGGTGACTCTGAATGGATTAGGGGAAAGCAATAAATGATGGAAGTATATACGTGTTTAGCCTGTGGATACTTTGGATCATGACGACGGGAATGAGTAGTTCCATGAGATGCAGGTCACGTGTCAACCACTGCCCGCAACATACACTGGTCACTGGGCCGCCTAAGGTTACATTCACATTTACCCTTTCTCCGACCTTGAGTTGATACCTACCGCCATAGCGGAGCTATTGCAGCAGCAACTTCTTCCGCAGTCACCCTGACTGCTCCGCCATAGCAACGTCGCAGGTCATGGCAGAATCCGTAGAGGAGTATCTAGCAGTCCTTAAGGTTGCGTACGACTACGAGCCACAATCCGAGGATGAGGTTGCTATTAAGGAGAACCAGATCGTCTTTCTGCTCGAGAAGACGGATGACGAGTTAGTGCTTTGCCAGTTGTTTGTCATATGTCATTGATCATCACGCAGCTGGTGGAAGGTGAGGTCCAGAAGTGACTCGCAGAGTGGGGAGGCACCTTCAGGACTTGTTCCAGCCGCCTATGTTGAACCGGTACGCGCTCTTCTTTATGGGTGGTTCCGTCGGCTTAATTAGATCCTGCACTTAGGCACCCCACACTTTCGTCGTCAAAGCCTTGTATGACTACGATGCATCAGCGCCAGGTGAACTCAGTATTAAGGAGGACGAACATCTCCTGGTTTTCGATCGCGAGGACGACTGGATTCTAGTACAGAGTCAGAAAGAAGGCGGAAGAGCTGGTTTCGTTCCGGGAAATTACGTAGAAGAGGTATTACCCAGACTTATGCCTTTCCTTCTCTACTAATGGTTTCAAAGTACTCCGGCGAGGAGCAAGAACCACCGTCTCGAACGTCCGCCGACTCAGTGCGTTCCTCTTAGTTGTTTTGCTTTATCGTTCGAGCTTGTCAGCGGTCGCAGGTTTCCAGCCGTCCCGCGAGCGTATACGTTGATCCAGCAGATCTTGTTGCGCAGACTTCCGTTAAAGCGCAAGCGGACGACATCAAGACATGGGCAGTCTCCGAGGTGGATGGTAAGGGGAAGAAAAAGAAAGGTACTCTTGGCATCGGAAATGGGTCGATCTTTTTCGCTAGCGAGTCAGATAAGGTGTGGTTTGCGATTCTCTTCTCATCATTCATCTGACTGTCCCACTCGAGACGCCCGTACGACAATGGAAAACTGCGGACGTCGAAGATGTTACAATTGAGAAACAGAAACATCTCCTTATCAACATCGGAGGTGTCGGCCCTACGAGGTTACATTTCGCAGTTGGCAGTAAACAAATTTCCGACGCCATCATCGACAAACTGGAGTCGTCTAAAGGCATCCACACCGCTGCCATTGCAGAGGGACGTGCTGGTACACTTACCCCCCCGGCACGTAATGTAGAAACTGCGAGCCCCTCCAAGAAGAATGGAGTCTCTGTTCGCTTTACGGATGAATCCCCTGAGATTATCCCTCCTCGGGAATCGTCGGAAGAAGGCGAAGAAGAAATCGCAGAAGGCGAGAGTGCTATTGAAGAAGGCGACGTTACCGGCGAACTTGCGGTCGTGCTGTACGATTTTCAAGGTACCAGCGTCGACGAGCTATCTGCTCAAGAAGGGGAGCAGCTCTGGATCATTGAAAAAGAAGGTGCAGAATGGTGGAAGTGCAGGAATGAAGAAGGACTTGAAGGAGTGGTACCTGCATCTTACCTTGAGGTGAGTCATGGAATGCAATGTTTACATCAGTATTGGAATTATGGTCATTTCGAGTCTGCATTTACTACGTCCCCCGATGTGATCGGTGCTGCCGCCCAAACGGAGGAAGCTCGTCCTCGAGTAGAGCCAGAGGAACGCGATCATGAACCTCTAGCCAAAGAGACTCAGAAGCGCCTTGAGTCAGAACATAGGAAGGCATCGCGGGCGAGGGTTGAAGAAGAACAACGTAGAGCTGCTGCAGCAGAGACAAAGCGGGAAGCGGAAGCGGACAAGAAACGCCGAGAGATGGAGGTCACAGCAGCTGAGTTTCAGAGAAAGCGACGGCAGGAAGCTGCAAGGCGTGCCCAACAGAAAGACTGAGAGAGGGCAGAGTGCTTCTCCGTAGGTCTCATTTGCCGATCTGAATTTTATTCCTCAACGAAGTCTATCATAGCCGCGCAGTTTCGCCACAAAGCAAGCCATTAAAGGAGTCGAGTCGGAAATCCAGTGATTCTGTTAAGAGTGCGTTGTTATCTTTTTACCCGAGGGTAATGGTCACGGGGAATGTAATGCTACTACACACAGATGGCCCACCACCGGAATCCACGCGTACTTGGCATGATCGTACGGGGCAATTCCGTGTCGATGCGGCACTCCTCGGATACAGCAATGGAAAGCTCAGACTTCATAAAGTCAACGGTGTCATTATTGAGGTTCCATCGGAAAAGATGTCACTAGAGGACATACGCTACGTGGAAAAGCTGACGTCGAAGAAGTCCTCCGGTGCTGTGTCACGGTCTGCTGTTGATGACGACGATCAACCACTTGCCCTCAAGCGACAAACTGAGGCTGTCAACAGGGCACCAACACAAACGAAGCGGGGACCGCAAGTGGATTGGTTTGAATTTTTCTTATCGGCAGGTTGTGAGGTCGACGACTGCACTCGTTACGCCTCAGCTTTTGAGAGGGATAAGATCGACGAAGTTATACTTCCTGATATCACGGAATCGACTATGCGTTCACTCGGTCTACGCGAAGGTGATATCATACGTGTAAGCAAGGTCATTCAACAGAAGTACAAGAAACCAGTTCAAGAACAGATTTCCCGGGACGAGGAACTTACACGAAAGCTGCAAGAAGAAGAGAACGGCAAGAAGTCGTCTACACCGAGTCCGGCATCTAACCTCTTCTCTGGTCCCGGAGGGGTACTTAAGAACAGTACTCAGCGACGAGGGAGACCCCAACCTAGCAGGAGTCTTCCTCCAACTAACGTCGAGATGGGTGCCATCGGTTCTGCCTCGGAACAAATTAAACGGACGGGATCACCTCTAGTCACAACCAACAGCCCTACTCTTGTGGCTCCCGAGAGACCAGGCTCCGCGGCGACACCAGCAAACTCGGGTTTCGACGATGATGCATGGACAAACCGTCCGGGTGCTAAATCATCTGCTTCTGCGACTGCACCACCGACGGCAGCACGCGCGCCATCTGCTCCCCCAACAACACAACCACTTACTACCGCGCCATCACCACCCGCTTCTGCCCTTGAGGCTCGATCCCAAGAGAGGTAAGGGCGGATTGGCTAAGACTGATGCCGACATTTTCGACCAACTTGCACGCCTTAGTCAATTGAAGACTGAACGTGCAGTCCCTTCACCAAGCCCGGCACAGGCTACGGCTGCCACTGCCGCTCCCTTGCCGCCACACGGTTACAGTAGTGGTCTAGGCGTGGGTTCATCACCACTTCCGCTCTCACAGCATCTTCAGAATCAACAGTCAGGGGTATATACCCCTCAACGGGATAGTCCCCGCGGCCCCTTCGCACCCGTCCCTGCAAACCAGGGTTTGTTGCAGCCTCTGATTCCAACAACGACCGGGTTCAATAGCTTTGTTCCTACCCGTGCTGCAAGCGTGCCCGCACAACCATCACTTCACCCACAAATCACAGGATTCCCTGGGCCTTCCCAACCCCTGGTGTCGCAAATGACAAGTTTTCCGGCTTCGGGTCCCATAATCACACAACCTACCGGCGCCCCTGCGGGCGCTTTTAGCACATTCACGTTACCACCCTTCCCTAGCTCGACCTCTGCACCGATATCAGCGAGTAAATCAATCCGTTATACGTAGGGTCTTCTGTCACTCACATGCACCCCCAAGATTTAACAGGTCTTCATTCTCTCGGACAGTCGCCATTCAATAGTGTGATGTCGACACCACCTCCCGCAGCTACCATGGCTTATTCTCAGCCACCAAATAGTTCCAATCCTAGTACCTCGCCCGCTAATATATTTGCTCAGATGAAGTCCGGCACCTTTGCCACGGACAGTGATCACTCTGCGCCTCAGCAGCCCGGTGAGTGCTCGTTGACCACTCTACTTTCTTCCTGATTAACGACTTATCAGAGAAATATGATTCGCTACGGGTCAATGGTAAAGTGACCGGACTAGTAACTGCACAATCCACGACTAATGTTGATGCTATGTCAGCCCACGCGAACTTCGTACCACAGCCCACAGGTTGGGGCTACCAGCCAACAAATGGGTATGCAGGAGGCTACATGGGATACTAGCACATCGTTCCTCCACTATCATTACCAGACCACTTTAACTGACTGAATGGAATTACGTATGTATGAAACCATCTATCAAGTTGCAAAATCATGGAGCCTCCATAATACCTTGTGTATACCCCACTCGCTCAAAGTACTTTTTCAAGCCTAGCCGTACTTCTGGAGCAACGTCACGAGCTAGAAGGTTCGTGCAAAGTGGGTAAACAACAGGCAAGTACTTCGCAAACTGATGACTCTGAGTCAGCGACAGCATTTCATTTTCCACGACCGTCTGTTGATAACTTACCGCCTTGCTATCGAAGCGGCAGAAGCCATCAATGATCTCTGTAACAACAGGTGTCCAAGCTGCTATGTTTTTGGCCTGTGTGTCTGCGCGTAGTTTCGCGTAATCCGACAAGACATTCAAGGACAGTCTGCATTTTCGTATCAGTTATCATTGCCATTTCCCGATAGTAAATCCTGCCTTACGGGAGGAGACGCTCTGCGATTTGTGGTCGTGCCAATTGATGCTCGGGCCGCTCATCAAAGTACATCTGCAATAAGACGTGAACCAAGGTGGCAGCACTGCTAGACTCTTGTTTGAGGAGGTTTGGCAGATGCTTCATGAATCCTATGCGCTGTCGAATATATTATTATTACACGAAGTACCTTACACTCACCGACTTTCCAGAGACCAGTGCGAAGTTCCTTGTCGTCATTAAACATGCGAGCGAATTGATAACTATGATCCAAAACTCCCATCAGTCTGAGTAACTGGTCTGGGGGTATCGTGGTGTAGACGGCATCATTTCGTAACAAATCGTTAGTCATTTCAATAAGGAGCAGCTGCAGTACACATTTGACGATAATTTGCTTGAAGATTCTGCGACGATCGCTGGCCGAGAATTTTCCCTCGCTCGAGCCTTGTTCGCTTGTAGTAGGGGTAAGAGGCGCAGGTAAAATTGTTTGCCCCTGTGAGTCTTTCAGGGAGATCAGTAGATCCGCTGGAACATACATTTAAACCTTACCATTCGCATCCGTGACTTCCGGAGTGCTACCGTCGATCTCGACACGCAAACTCTCGTCAAACAACTGATGCGGAGTCGTCGTTCGAAACAACTTGACGAAGGTAGAAACTACACGCTCCCATCGAGTAGCATCGAGTTTTTGCACGTTATTTTCAAGGAACTGTTGTAGGCACGAGGTCCCGATCCTAGCAAGTGTGTCGTTTTCTTCGCCATGGGTGTCAGGAGTTACAAAGTATGAAATAAAGCGCCACAAACCTTGGCATATGCAAACACACAGAAGATCCAATAGGCCATCGAGGAAGCGTTCTAGCATGTCGTAATAGAAAGTATAGAGGTCAATGAGATCACGTAGCGCTTGAATCATCGTCGTTGAAAGCCAAACACTCATGTCTTCCTGCGTGCTGAATCGCGACAAATCTCGACTGGACTTCAAAACCGCGAATATCGGGAACAGTAACTCTCGACAAATGGTATCCCAGAATTCTACCGGAAAGGATGTCCCATGCGTTTTTAGCGTCGTGAACAAAGAATCGAGAGCTCTAAACGGATAATGCATAAGCTACCTTCAAGAGCATATGGAAGGGGTGTCCTCACAGGCGCCGCACTTCGAGATCTTCACCGTTCATGATGATATCATAGAAACCAAATAAAACCGGGAACCAGAACCGTATCATGCCGTCTTCGCCAGCTGGTTGACTTTCCGCGTTAAGCCCACACTCGGGACACGTGAGCATTACGGATACCACCCCGCGCAGCATTGCGATCGCGAGTAAACTAAGCTTTTGGTACTTGCTGACTTTGCAGAATTCCGTGATGCAAACTGTGAGGTCAGCAAAGGCACCGTGGCGGACAATCGCTGTAAAATGGTCTTTATTAACTTTGGTAACGATCTCGAACGCGGAGTTCGCTATGCGCTCTGAAGGGATGACTTCAGTATATTCACGATTGACTAGCCTTTGAACATACCCGTGAGCACCCTAGAGGCAGCGGCGAATACGCCAAGCATTGTCCGCCAACCGGACCTCATGTTCTGCACCCGGGCCTGTATCATTTGCTGAAGGCACTGCAGGACCTGAGAATATAATCAATAAGAGCCCCACCTTCGTTTGGATTGAGGCAAATACGCACCATATCACGCATATCAGGATTGGGATTGTGTATCATCGTGTGTTCAAAAGGCTTCAAAAAGTCTTTCTGGAATTTAAAATGTGGCAATTCCTCCTTTTCTAAAAATCGCATAGACAGTTGTCGTAGAGAATCTAGGGCAAAGAACCCAACATGAGGATTACTGTGGCAACAAACCTGGAATAGGTGAGTAAAAGGTTATACAAAATAGGAGCGCATACTTGATTAAAGTGTTCTCCTAGAATATCCCATAGATTAGACCATTCTAAACGAATCCGGTTCATGTTGTAGTAGGAAATTTCGACGAGCTTCTGAAGACTGAACAACCGTGGATGCTGTGAGAGGCCGGAGGATTGTATCTCGTCCCAAGACACATCACAGAGTGAGCGTACGAAGTCGGTAATAGCCGTCTGTATTGTATCGTGATTAGTGGCGATGGGGAGGAATAAAGGCACCTACTCCTGAAAGGTACTGGCTGAAGGAAAAGACCATATCAGCAGCAACTGTGATGTGGGTTGATCGACTCTCATTAGCAAGTTCTTCGGCTGGGAGCTTGCGGGTTCGGCTGCCAAAATCTGAATTATGTCCTCCCGCTCATTGTGTCAGACGTACCCTTTCTTTATGTCAGAAACTTCGACGCCACTAGTGATAAGCTGCATATGTTCCAATTGACTGACACAGGAAAGTACATCTCGCCAAGACCCTTTGAGGTTGTTGCCTTCGCTGACTGCCACATCCAGCAGTGTTTTTATAGCCTCCATGTTCTTTGCCTTCATCTCCCCCAAATTGTTTAGGAAGGTGAATTTCGCCAATGTCGTCACAAAAGCATTGCGTTGCAACTCCAAGTCGAAAAAACAGGCGAGGCGAATGGCGTTTTTGAAACCATCGAGACAAAGACCCACAACTTCCAGATCATCAGTGTTTTGCGGGGGTCCTGATAATCCTGCAAGGAAGGATATCCAAGCGACCTCGAACATAGGCCGCACGTGAACGAAGTGAGAGGCGCTGACAAACTGCTCGGCAGCGCGGGATCTGCGTTGTGAACGCATCAAAGTCCTGAAAAGTGCCTGAAGGTATATGAGAAACCAGCGCGCCATCTAGGAAATCAACAACCTCTGTCTTATTGGCCATCCCACTTGACTGCAGTATGTATGCCTCTTTCTGGAGATCCCTTCCGACATTAGCAAGTGCGTTTGCTATACCAGCCCCTGTTACCGGAAGGTTCACTGAATCTACTTCGTCTTTCATCCTAATCTCGTTGTTCAATATCTGGTCGAATATAGCTGATAGAAGTTCCTCCGGCAGATCCTCTCCATCATTGATGCCTCGGTTATTTCGAATGAAGTCACTCTTTGTCATGCGGTGCTTGATTTGCGGATTGTGGGCATCCGTGTTAAGCAAGATAGTGGAATACGCGAGGACGTAAGCCGTGCCTGTCATGGATTTCAGAAGTATTCGCTAGAGAAAACGAGTCCGTGCCAACCTGCATTCTTGAAAGGGGTATGAGAATTGCCCGCAATATACCTCTCCGCGAATTTCAACATAAAGCGATCGATCTTTTGCGCTTCGCCGGGAAGACGGAAGGCTTGCAAAAACAACCGAAGCGCGGCGAGGAAATCCAAATTCCGAAAGTCCAACAAATCGACAAATGCATGCATGACAGCCACGTTCACTTCGTCGCTATGCATATCTGTCAACGACAAAACAGCGCAGGGGCTGTTGAATTATCATACCCTTCTCCTAGATATTCACCTATCATAGTCTTGCTCAAGCCGTCCGCAGTCAACAGGAAGCGCGCGATGTCAGATGGGGAGGAGCTCGGGATGAACCCTGCTCCAACTAGGTACTGGATACCCTGTCCAACACCATGAGAATTTACAACTTCCAAAAAATAGCGGCTAGTTACACGCTTGGGTTTAAAGTTGAACTTTTTAATGCCCTCTGACAAAGCCATTTTCTTTTGCTTGGCATTCTCAAACCTTGTAGGATCATCCGCAGTATCAGGGGTGGGTTGACGGAAGGTCTCAGGATTCCCGGAAGCACCAGCAACTCGGTCTACGGAAGGATCTGAAGACATAGCTTCGTGCTCATCTCCCGTTTGAACACGCGTTGTATCCAAAATGCTGCTGTCAGTCGATACCTTACCCATATTCGTTCCCCAAGCGACTAGTGACCTCAATACACTAACAAGGCACTCAAGACCTTGTCTCTTTAGTTGTCCCTCGGAAAGTCCGATTGTGGATGTATCTACCATCCCTGGTACAGATATAGCACCGGAGGCATGGATGGCTGAATGCTGGACTTTAGTCTGCGGGGTAACCACAGGACTGGTTGGATCGTTGCTTTTGCTTTGCGACATTGCGTAGGGAAGAGTCGCAACTTTCGAAGTTACGGTCATTAAGCTAACAAACAAATTCAGCGTAATGTCATTAATCAGTTGCAGAACAATTACTGTTCGTAGATGTTGTCAACTGCGTCACTGTCGCAGTCGTAGTTGAGATACATTTCAACTAATGCTTGCGGATCTTGGCAGAGTTTAGACAACATGGCAAGAACGACAGCCTTCTGTTTCAGTGTGGATGTTCGCATCTCCATAATTGGAATGAAGATTTCGTGAAGTAACACCTCTATTTCTTTCTGCCGCTCAGTGTCAGATAAGATAGAAAAGAAGATCAATAAGTGGCCACCTTCAACTTCGTTCGCATGCCCGAAAGGACTCGCCAGAATATCTCCACGCTGACTTCAAACACCTGCGGCACTGGGCTTACTGCGTTTCTGCTTAGACAGAGACACAGATGCTGGTTAATGGCTTGAACGAACGTCATCGCATCATGCGACGAAGTTGAATAAATGATTGCCGTAGGATCAACGATTAATTGCATATGTGAATTCAAAACAGTCAAGACCAGGTGCAGGGACAAGAGCTTCGATCTCATGGCAGGTGACTTCAGGTCATGTTCACTGCGGAAAGGTTTCCGGAACCGTGGGTGGATAATTCAACGACGACTTACCTTTCGCTGTTCAGGGGCTTCATTGTCAACTTGCAGAGCGAGCGAAAGACCAAAAATGCGTCTTTAACGAACATGTCGTGGGTTGTGAGAACTCTATGTAGATGACCATTTACTGGTGGAGCAGAAACCGACGTAGGCTGTTCGACGTAGGGATCAACAGTCTCCGACCTGAAATCAAATCAGGCCGTGTTCCTACGAGTTTACAAGAGGCTCACGTTTCTATTGCAGGTTGAAGTCCGTTAGTGAAAACAGCGTTTACAACTCCCTCTTGCGATGAAGTATCATTCTGGTCTGACGAGCGTAAAGCGTCACGCTCCTGGGTGGCTTCGGAGAGAGGTTGCAAAGATTTCGATGAATTGCCAGGTTCTGGCTGACCAGGGACCAGGGAAGAACGGCGAGATTCTGATCTGGGGGTTACATGCGCAGAGGTAGACGATGTGTCGGAGCCAATAGATGGTCCAAGGCTTGACCTCTCCGCCACGTCGTCGAGTTTACTGGTTCCACAACGCGCGAATATGTGGTGCACCATTTGGGTGAGTCCACCTTGAGCGACCATTTGATTAACTGGATCCGTGCTCAAGAGAAAGACATTGTAGACCGTGCGAACAGCCTTCAGGAGGGAAGAATGATGCACATAGATGGTTGGAGATAGCACTAAAGCGAGTAATCCCTTGACGACCTGCAAAGACACAGCTTCTGGTGTTGTTTCGCAATGACAGCTCGTAATGGTGTGGACTACGAGATCCACCAGGGACATTTGAGAATTGCTACTCAGCGACGCACCGATAGACCTCCGGGGATGCAATGCAGGAGATGGTGGAGGAGAAGAGAGAGGCAAGTTGGAAGACTCCCCAGCAAAGAAAGAATATGATATCAGCTTGGATATGCAGTCTAAGCTTGCAATCATCAATTTCTCGCTCCGAGTTTCGCATGCCAGACGAAGCGGCTCGAAAATTTCACGTGGTTTATCACCACCCTGACCAGCACGGATCATGCCCAAAGCTGCCTGGGCGGAATCATGGAGCGGAGCAGAGCGTTTTGCCTCTTTGGAAGCCAAGATTATCTCCAGTGCTGAGGATATCAGTACCACGGAGACCGTGTGACCACGAGAAACGGTGAACGAGCGTTTGTGTAGTGTCGAAAGCGGCGGGTCGACACCGGATGGTGTTTGCGGCCTTCCACCCTCACTGCCAACCGTTTCCGTAGACCGTGTTTGCATAACGGGAGACGAAGAGTGCGGGTGATCTGCGACACCTTTAGGTGGAATTGGCGGGGGAGATGATTTGGACTGATCATGCTCGTCTCGCGCACTCGTGAGGGTTGCCGACTTTGTTGCACCATCTGACTCAAGACCAGCAGTTACAGGGCTAGTCTCGACTTGCACAGGAGCCAACGGGGCAGTTATTTCGAACTCTTCCTCTCGAGCAGGGGCACCGAGGGTTCCCTGGACGTGCTCCGCAGCGGGAGTGACAGAATGATTATCGTGAGGGGAGCCAGTTGCAGGACTACGAGGCCGGGTGCCTTCCATAGCGCTTCTACTTGGTGCTAGAAATGAACTGCGCTGCCCAGAAAAATACTGTCGCGCTCGTCAGTGAGGTGTAAGTATACCGTCAGTGTAAATGTCTACACGGCCTTAGTTACCCGCCGACAGGTAAGTTTAGCGTACTAAGAAAGTTGCTAACAAGCGCCAAATAGTACCGACAAGTCCGGAATCGGCCGATTATAGAGATCTAATCTATTACTGTAAGAGCTTAACATACAACTTGCTTCAAGACTCAAGTACTCTCGATTCACGACAATATTGTAAGTACACGTTGAGTGGAACCCGGCACCATATATACGAATCTAGGATGTCTCAGGTACCCCGGGAAGCAGCAGAAGCCATCCTACAACCTTCATTCCCTGTCCCCGAATCTGCCATTTCCGTAGAAGGACCAGATTTTGAAACCGACCTTTCTCTGCAGCAACTCCTCCAGAGTTATGAACGCATCGGGTTCCAGGCAAACAGCTTGGGGAAAGCCATCGATATCGTAAATCGCATGGTAGTGTCCATTACCTTTTTCGCGGACCCCAGAGATCTTATACCTCCATTCAGCGAAAGTGGCGGTTATCTGACGAGCCCATATCTCCTGACGAATCTGATGAATACATGGATCATAATATCAGGGAACGAACACGCTGCAACATCTTTCTCGGGTATACTTCTAATCTCATCTCTTCCGGTCTGCGCGACATCATAAAGTATCTCGTCAAACACAAGCATGTTACCACAATAGTGACCACAGCGGGTGGTGTCGAGGAGGATTTCATCAAGTGTCTTGGAAAAACATACTTGGCCGATTTCAAAATGGATGGCGCAGACCTCCGCAAAAAAGGCATGAATCGCATAGGTAACCTCATCGTCCCGAACGACAACTACTGCAGATTCGAGGACTGGCTCCTACCAATACTGGATACCATGTTGGCAGAACAGAAAACTACCGGCGAAGTATGGACTCCAAGTTCTTTTATCCGCAGACTTGGAAAGGAGATTAACAACGAAGAGTCAGTGTACTACTGGGCTTACAAAGTGAATTGGCAAGATTTTCCGCTCCCGCGCTTACGCCTACAACTCATCTTCCCAGAATGACATTCCAGTCTTCTGCCCTGCACTCACTGACGGATCGCTTGGGGACATGATATATTTCCATTCATTCCGCTCCCCAGGGTTGATAATTGATATCGTCGGTGATATTCGTGCTCTAAACGAGCTTTCCCGCAAGTCTAAGAAAGCAGGTATGATTATTCTTGGAGGCGGAGTATGCAAACACCAAATTGCCAATGCTATGCTAATTGTAGGACAGTCCTTCATATTTTCGTTTCCATCCCTTACGGCTTGCTTATAGCGAAACGGCGCTGATTTCGCGGTCTACATGGTAAGATCCCCCAAGATATATTTTAGGAGCTTTTGAATCATATTACTTAGAATACGGGTCAAGAATTCGATGGTTCCGACTCAGGCGCGCAACCGGACGAGGCAGTCTCGTGGGGGAAAATCCGTGCGGGAGCTGAGTCTGTTAAGGTTGTTCAACTTCGAAGTAGGCCGAAAGGCACTGATCCCCGTTGGTATCCCAGGTTTTTGCTGATGCTACCTTGGTTTTTCCGCTCTTGGTTGCCGCTACGTTTGCACGGAAACAGTTGTCGTAACTGCTACACTGAGAACTCTACCTGCTTACCCACAAGACGACGGATATGTGTATAACATGAAGCCCATTTTACATGGATGGAGGAAGGATCATAGGTACTTATTCCACCTTTAGACTCGTGAGTGCAGCAGGATGTGTAGTGGAGGATACAGGACATGTCCATGACTACTTATTAGGAGGACACTCCATACCTACAATATTGGGACCAGCCGGCATCCTTGAGCCTGCTTCATGACTGAAGTGATGCTGATGAGACATACCTCGCTGCATCTCACCCGACCAAATTACGAGGTCGTCCCTCAGAAGCTGGAGGATCATCATTGAGTCTCGCATGGCCTGGAGTGATGCCTCATCATCATGATCCAAACAGGCGACGGCTTCGTCGAATGCGTGCTTTCCAAGATGGCAAGCGCGTTCGGGACTCTTCCGGACGTCATGATAATATACTGCAAAATTCAATGCCAATCCTAATCTTGTTGGATGCGTAGGTTCAAGCGAAGCCAAAGCGTGCTTATATGCAAACTTGTACGCAGCAAGTGAGAGGTCGGAGAAGTGACCTCTCTCCTGCTGGTGCGCAAACTCCGCGAGGTAGCGGTAATAATCACCTTTCCTATAAGGAGACTTGACCATGAGCAGGTGCTCATCAACCCAAGGGGTCAGAAAGGCTTACATCTTGTAATAAAATACGGTTTCCTCCCCAACGGCCACAATGGGCATCAAGCGATCGTCCAAGAGCCGTATGACATCCTTACAGACATCCGTAAGCTCTCGCTCAATCTTACTCCGTTGCTGTCGTGTCAATGCCAATTGGCGTTGAGTGCGGCCGGTAGGGTGACTCGATTCTAGTTTCTCCAGAGAATCGACAACTCTCCAGCTGCTGCGGAGAGCATTGGTTATGTTCTTGTATGCGACGGAGAGAAGGTTGCGCTCCTCGATTGTCAGGGCGCCATACGTCTGGATCAAACCCTTGATTTGCATGACTAAATCTGAAATTACAGGTTGACACATAACAGTCCCTCTCGCTAGAACGTGTTCGAGACAAGTACCTTCGTAGCGCTCCGCCTCTTCTGCAACCTTGGCTAAAAGGAGGTACTCCTCCCTCGAAATGATCCTTGCCTGGAAAATGGTCAGTGGCCTCATGGGATAGAACACTGCACCTACGGGTGACATTGTACTAAGGTTCGAATCAGAGAGGGGGACGATTTTTCCCTACGAAATTTGTTACGCTTAAATAGGCTCTCTGGCAACGGAGTGTGTTGCTGTCCACGTTGAACAGGCAAGTAGCACACGAGGGTTCAGGTCCTCCTATCATGCATGTGGTGTCCTGGGCAAAGGGGACTCCAGCGAGGACCAGTGAGGTATTAGGGCTGAGGGTCACAGTATCAAGGAAGCACGGCGCCTCATGGTGAAGATACCTGTAAGTTCAGAAATTTTACCATTACTGACTGCCATTTGAAGTTAAGTAATGGATTCGCATTCATAATGGTGCGGCAATCGATGGCAACATGAAACGTCAGTGGGCGCTCGCAGCCTTGACGTAATGGGGGCCAGGCACAGCTGCTCAAGCGTAATTGACGGACCTCGAATACCCTATACGATTGTCACCACGGATTCATTCTCAAAAAATTCACCGATGATCCGACCAAAAATTGTGACAGCTTCTTTCATGTCTGGGAACTGACAGGCACCTCGGAAACATACCCAAGGACGCGAAGTGAACCTATGAACCTCAGCGTTGCTGAAACGAATCTGAAAGCGTCCTGCATCGTCTTTGCCAGTTACCCTCGTCGCAGTCGCGGAGAATACCCATCACTAAGCTGGCGGTTGAAAAGAAGGAACCCTATCCAAACAAACATCCCAGACCGTAGCCACAAAGCTAAACATCGCGACACCCTCTAATCCTCCCCTCTTCTTTGTGATCGCTCCTGCCGACCGAAAAAATTCATTCCTCCCAACCACCAGATGTACCTGTCATATTTCCAGCGCAGGAGGATGTTGGCAATGAACTGAGTGGAGGTCCGTTGGGCTAGAGATATGCTGGCGGTCCCCAACGATTGCCTGCAGTCATATTGCATGTGAAATCTGGCTACCTCTACCCTAATTTACCTGTCCAAAACCGCAAGGTGTCCGTGTTATTGTCTTTCCGTGCCGTTCTAGCCTTGCAGCAAACACAGGGTTACATATGAACCACCCAAATTGACTAGCAGGCGCTATTATCTAGACTGCGATGATAGTGCACCGAGTTCACGACAAAATCGAAAGCCAAACCTTCGAGAGTGATCGACCCTCGCCGTCGAACCTGTGGCACTTGGGATCAATGTTAATGGAAACAGGGGACTGATGTGTGACTGTACTTCAAGAAACCTAGTGAGAGACCAGAGATGAAACGATTCCTGCCATCCGACTGGGCAGAATCTGAGCACTTGTGTTTGGGAAGGTATTCCCCAAACTGAGGGAAGTAATGTGGATCGTCTTCCACACATCTATCCTTCATGTCGCCTTGCATTCACAGTGGAATTTTCGGAAAACTCCTGGCCACACTTAACACAAGTTTCGTACACCTCTCTTTTCCGCCAAGCGTCCACCCACTGGAGCACCAGGAGACATGGATTGGTATTTAGTGAACATCCTCGTTCCACCCGGAAAGAACTCTCTCAAGATCGTCGCTCCTTATCCTCTGGCTGTCAATAGCAATCGAGACAAGTTATTGGCGGGATCGCAGATGGGTAAGTCCACTCCACTGAAATAACAGCGTCACCTGGGTTACAGAAACAAAATGTTCTAGGAAGGTTTTCAGTTGTGTCCGTGCCATCATTGGATCATAATGAAGAAAAGAAACCAAACTAATGTCTTCCGAGATATCCGAGTATTCCGGTTAGGAACGCTATCCGTCCTCCCCTTCGCAGAGCTGAACAGTTTCGATAGCCACGAGAACGTGGACTCTTGGGCTGGCCCGACCGAGAAGGACTCGGGGACTAGCGTATTCACTGCGATGTGTAATAATGGAAAGTATGCAGGATTTGGTGCGCCTGTTCCGTCAAGAGGCGTGCGAAATTCTCCGCTGGAGTTGATATCGGGAGTACTAACCTCCAGCAAGTGAAAGAACGTTAGACGAAAAGTACTTCTGTAACCCTTTCAGTGGAGACGTGGTACGAACTTTGGTAGAGTTAGACAGATATTGATGTCAGAGGTCAATCGTGCCATTTCGCTTCTGGGCGTCTATTCGAAGAGGAGAAGAGAATGGCAAGGACAGTGCTGTCTCTCACAGCATGAACTATCCAGGGGGATCAGCCACAGACATGTGTGTGGACGAGATACACATTCACCTGAGTTTGGGATCGGGTGCATGGATCTGCCATGACATTACATGTAGATTACACTAGTGCAGTGATCACTAGGCGGTGCCGGTCACCTGCTGGAGAAGGAGAAGCTTGCTCCTGGTTAAGGGAGAACTCACGAGTCTATTTCCGAAAGGAAACAGCATGTGCCGGTTAACAATTAATGGTCACTTCATGTCCTGGGTGGTTGCCATCAGCATTGAGTTCCAATTTCGGACGTCGTGTTGAACGCGTTGACCTTATTGAACTTATAATGTAAATGTACGTTTTTTCTTATCTTCTCTTATGGCTATAGTTGAAGTTGTTTCCAATTTTCCATACGTGCAACTTCTTGGAGTTTATGTACTGGGAAGATTATCATTGAAGCTCTTCGGAACAACTCAGCGCTCATGCAATCATTGGTTGTGTCAACTTTGCGCAAAGCGAGTCGAATTTATGTGCATATGTGCATGCAATGCGAACAGTCCATATCTGCGAGACTTGTAACTATCCATAATCACCCTAGGTTACATGTGCCAGCTTTGAGCACGATCAGATGCAATTAACCTTCAAGTATACTTAAACGGATACGGCGCAGGAAGGAGAGTTCAGTTGGATATTACAGCACGGAAGGAACGACAGTCTGTGCACACAATCGATTTTCAGCCTAGAGACAAGCGAGAGACCGCTCAGTGACTCACCTTCAGACGGTGTCGGACCCCATCACATACGATGAGCCGTTCTTAGGTCGCTCGTACGACGCTTGTTGTGAGGATGGGGAACGGTGTCGCGAGAGAATTTGTGGTTCTAAGTCGATGGAGGAAGATTTTGAGGCACCGCAGAAGTTGGCAAAGAAACGTGGACAAACCTGACGGGAAGCCGCTCTGCACCCTCACAAGAAGCGCGATGGACGCCAGCGAGCGAAGGTCGGCTAGCCGCTGGGAGGTGGGACCTGGCCCTGGTCAAGGATCATAAATGACAAAGTACGGCCTACAGCCTACCTGAATATGACAATCTGCAGACGGGGGTTGTGGGTCCCAGTTGAACGATGATCGCCTAGACGTGGTTTATATGAGTTCGGAGGCGCTGCATCATCACGTCCCATATCTAGAAAAAAACACAAGGTCAGCCAAGAATGTTGCCCGGCTATCGATAAGGCGGAGCTGAATGTTTGAGATACAAATAAACGAGCGAAAAAAAGGGCTGGTCACGCTGGATATGGATGGAAGTCCATCATGATCTTGGGGTGCTAGTAGGTGCTCGGAGGGACTGAAAGAGGCTACGTCAGAGGTGGCTGGACTGTGGACTCTACCCATTTCCCCCCCGTGTCCAATGTTTCTTTTACAGGTAATGCGACGATCTCGAATTTGAATGATTCCGATGCTCGATGCTCGGGAACAGGGTACGATTGGCTGACTCTACCAACGATTACTAGGTAGATGGTCTAATAAATTTAAATTTGATTTGACGTGATCTGTTGCCGCTTCAGGGCAGGCGGCCAGTGTAGGGGGAGATGCATGACATTGCTCCGCTCAATATTGGGGCCAGTCGACACTCATTATCATCACCCTCGTCTCGTCAAGTCGGAGGTGGGAAGTAAAGTATTGCGGTTAGTCGGAAGCGGGAAGTGAAGAGGTTTGTTTGATCTGTTTTTCCTTGCCTATCCCTGTCTAATCTTTTTCTCTTGGAGTGTTGTAGATATGGCCTACCAGTTTTCTCGGAAGGGGTGCTTTAAATGTGGAGATTGCAAGTGATTTACTTCCTGGAGTTAACATGTGTTTTATAACAACCGCGTCGTGGTGCAGTGGGCCATATAGCTGAGAATTGCTCTTCGGAGCAACGCCTCTGTTATAATTGCCGTCAACCGGGACACGAGTCCTCGGCCTGTCCTTCACCTCGTTCCGTGGCCGCAAAGCAGTGTTACTCATGCGGCGGTGTCGGACATATTCAAGCGGAATGCCCTAGCTTAAGGGTTCAGGGCGGATCTGGAAATCAAAAGTGCTACGTAAGCTGATTCATCGTCACTCAAACTGATCTCTCAGTTCATATCTCAATGTTGCCAGAACTGCGGCCGTTTTGGACACGTTGCCCGAGTTTGCCCTGGCAGCGGCGCTGGTCTCGGGCTAGGCTTTCGTGCCCCACCCCCGGGACGTGGTCTGAATATGTCAGCCTTGCCCCCTGTCAAATGTTATCGTTGTGGAGGGCCAAATCATATGGCAAGGTAAACGTGCCGCAGGGGAAATTCATTCTCGGAACTCAAATAACAAATCTAATACAGGGATTGTCTCGCAACCCTTGGAACCACAGTTGCGGACGGGGTACCCACCGGGACCAATGCCAATGCCAATAAGAACAAGACCTGTTACAAGTGCGGGCAAGAAGGACACGTGAGCCCTATGGTTGTTTTGATCGTACCATCATCTGATCATATCCGTCAGATCGCAAGAGAATGCAGTGACAATGCAGAGTTTACTGGGTGATAGTTCTTCCTGCGTATCAGTCTTTCCTCTTTTTAAAGAGAATTGTACTTGCGAAGAAGCCGATGAAAATCCACACCGGCTGTCTACACAACAGTTAAATTATTCAAATGATATTGGCCACGGTACAAACTTCAATTTTTGGCGTGCCAAACAGAAGTCTGGGCTCTGATCAGACATCGACCGACGTCATGTTTATAACGTTGCAAAGATCGTCTGACACCCGAAGGGTGGGTTGCACTGAGTTCTGATCAAACAGAATATCCCAGCTATACGTAAGCGGATCAGCGCAAAAACTGACACCTGATCAACACGGTTGAGTGGTGCGCAGCAGTTAATATTGTTTTGAACGCCGTTTTCGAACTACTGGTACCTGTTCTACGTATCGCTAAAGCCCATCTTACCCCGGGCATGCCGGGTACTCGTTTACAGAGCGCTGTGAGGTCTTGGTCTTGGTGAACGGCGCTGCCAATTAGTATTCACCCTGGATTTTACCACACAATCCAGGCGCCAGTTGTGCACGTGGATGAATACTCACCTCATGATGTTCCAGCCTCTCCGGCGGGGTGCCCTCGTTTCTGCTTATCGCAGTTCTTGCTACCGTAGGGCATTCTTTTCTCTTCCAAATATATCACCCGATAGTCCAGAGACGCAGATATACCATGAGCGTAAAATTCTTCCGTGTGTTCATTGGCTACTCATTGAACGTCAGGACTGGTCCTCATCTTCTGTTTATTTTAGTTACCGGTCGAGCGACTTGTATCAAATTCGTCGCTGACGTCGAATCCTATCCCAATTTCTTGCCCTACTGCACTGGTTCGAGGGTGTCCAACCGCAGTGAACGTGAAGATGGAGTGATACTCATGCACGCGGAACTCACTATCGCCTTCCTGACCTTCCGAGAAAGCTACGTGAGCTCCGTAACATGCAAACCTTACGAATCAGTTCAGGTAGGTTGTAACATTCACTTCCTTTGGTGCATTCAGTGACAGGGCGTTCCTAGGCAATAGCATCTTCGTCTACGTTATTTAAGACGCTTAATTCGGTTTGGAGGTTTCAACCCGTGTCTCCAAACTCTCCGCATCCGTCCAAGACTCCGCTCAGTCATACTGCTGGAACGTCACCCGACGACGGTCCTACGTTGGTCACTTTGGATATTGAGTATGCGTTTGCGAATCCTATGCATGCTGTTGTGTCCGCCAAGGTTTTCGGTCAAGTATCTCAATTATTGGTCAAATCGTTTGAAGCACGGTGCTTAGCAGTTTACGGGCCTGGATGCAGATGACGTGGTCAACGTTTCATCTCACGAAACCCATCCATCGACGGCAGGGAACTTGATAGACCATTTGTTGAAGTGTGGATATGCGGAGCTAATATTAATGACATGGTGCAAAGTGGAAAGGACAGGTTAGCTTCCAGTCTAGTGAGCGTCCACGAAGACCGATGGAAGCACTGGAATGTGGCGAGCACTCCTCACTGAACCTGCGCTTCGAATTCGTTTTTCCATTCGTACGCGGAGTGCGGCCGATACCAGAACTACCGGTGTCCCCGGAGCGTCGGAGTTTTCTTGCCGACAAAAGGCGTACAAGCTGAAACTGCCACGTGTAATAATAGATACGGCCATGAGCGAGCCAAAAACATTTTGGGATTTCAACTTTCCCAACCATGCAGCAGTTACCAGGGGTTACGGTCATTGTCATCCGCATCCGCAGTAACTTGAAGAAGTGCGGGTCGGGACACATTAATATGCTAATAATTATTTTCAAGGTGTTTTTATGTATTTATTTATCGGCGACGTACACCAATTCGGGGTCCGTTCAATGCAAGTCGTCAGAACGAAGGTGAACTCGACGAGCTAATACTTAGTCTGCAAGACAGAGGTGAAAGTTGCATTGACATCAAGAAACGGTGTGTACGACCAGCTTCATAACGTGCCTTCCGAGAAGAAACGGAGATAGTTTTCTTGCGGTGTCGGGGGTCCTGGTTTGGCAGTGTATAACACATCGCCACTTTGGCATCGCATTCTGTACAAATCCGCGACCTTGAGGGCTTTGTGTTCGTTCACAACCCTCTCTTGAGTTCGTCCTACCGAGCTCAACCGCCCACGCTTTTCTGGGTTTCTCTGCAGGATCATTGTCCAGTTTTTTCTCTCCATCTTTTCAGCCGTCTCGTGCAGACATGGCTTCCCAGGATGAGCATTACGGCGACCCATTCGCTGACCGTCCGCGCCACACTCACTTCCAAGAGCCTGCGCGTACTTATGACCACCCCCAGGGCTCTCCTTTCGAGAGTACCACTACCCTTCCTCGCGAATTTGGTACCAATTATCCCGACGACGATTACTCGGAAAAACTTCCTTTGACAGGTGGTGAACCCTACAATGCTGGTGGTTTCTACCCTCCTGGGTAAGTCGCGTTTTTTTATATATATATAAGTGTTTTGGGCCCTTCGGATCTTGATATACTTCAATGTTTCTCCAGTCCTGTTGATCCCTCAGCCTATGGCGACCCTTATGTCCGTCCTCCGTCGGCCCAGTCGACGGGTGCAGAGACGGCTTGGAGACGTCGTCAGACCATCAAACGGGGGGTTACTCGCAAGGTTAAACTGACGAAGGGTAACTTCATCACCGAATACCCTGTTCCTACTCCCGTCTACAACGCGATCGAGGCAAAATACTCCAAGACCAATACCACTGAGTTCTCGTGAGTATTTGATGGAGTCATTGTGGTCTACTATTCTTGGCGCTCATGTCTGCGCTTAGTCACATGCGGTACAGCGCAGCTACTGTTGACCCGGATGATTTTTCCGAGGCTAACGGGTGGTCTTTACGCACAAAGATTTATGGCCGACAAACAGATTTGCTCATCGCCGTAACATCCTACAATGAGGACAAGACGCTGTATGCCCGTACATTACACGGTGTCATGTTGAACATTCGCGACATCTGTAGGACAAAGCAGTCCAAGTATTGGAGGCGCGTTGCCGAAGAGGGCATGCCTGGCTGGCAGAGAATCGTCGTTGCTTTGATTGTCGATGGTCTGGAACCGATGGACAAGAGTGTGCTTGATATCCTTGCAACTGTGGGTGTTTACCAAGATGGTGTGATGAAAAAGCAAGTCGATGGGAAGGATACCGTGGCACACATTTTTGAGGTCCGTTGCGTCTAGCCTTCTACATTTTGGGACTGACCCCCTGGTAATAGTACACGACTCAACTTTCTGTTGACGCCACTCCTCAACTGGTGTTGCCTCACGACAACGATCCCAACAACCTTGTTCCGGTCCAAATTATCCTCGTCTTAAAAGCCAAGAACCAGAAGAAGATCAACTCGCACCGTTGGCTGTTCAATGCCATTGGCAGGATGATCAATGTAAGTGTGGATGAAGCACGTTCTTACGATGCGTTCACACAGTCTGTTAGCCCGAGACTTGTGTTCTTATCGATGCGGGAACAAAACCCGGTCACAAGTCAATTTATTATCTTTGGGAGGCCTTCTATAACGATCCTCATCTCGGTGGTTGTTGCGGTGAAATTCACGCGATGATTGAAGGGGGAAGGAAGCTTCTCAACCCTTTGGTGGCTGCTCAGAATTTCGAGTATAAGATGTCCAACATCCTTGGTATGTAGTTTTTTTTTTTGTACTTCCGCCTGGTGCTCATAATTTCTTTTAGATAAGCCACTGGAGAGCAGCTTTGGTTACGTGTCTGTGCTGCCCGGTGCGTTCTCTGCATACCGGTACCGTGCAATCCTGGGCCGCCCTCTGGAGCAGTATTTCCATGGCGATCACTCTCTGGCCGACCGCCTTGGCTCTAAGGGTATTTATGGCATGAATATCTTCACAAAGAATATGTTCTTGGCTGAAGACCGAATCCTCTGTTTTGAGTTGGTCGCCAAGGCTGGTGACCGATGGACTCTGACATACGTCAAGCCGTCGAAGGCTGAAACCGACGTGCCTGAATCTGCTGCCGAATTGATTGGGCAGCGTCGCCGTTGGCTCAATGGTTCGTTTGCTGCTTCGGTTGTGAGTGTACCGTTTACAAACAGCACAACCCAACTGAGAACGTTATCCGCAGTACGCCCTCGTCGGCTTTTTCCAGTTGTATCGTTCTGGCCATGGAATCATCCGGATGTTCTTCTTCCACATCCAGGCACTGGTATGTCTCCTGTTTGTTGATACTAGCCTTACGTGCCAACGAATGCATAGTATAACATCTTTTCGTTAATCTTTTCCTGGTTCGCTTTGGCCAACATCTGGTTGACGTTCAGTATTATCATCGATCTCTTGCCATCCCAGAACATCATCATCTTCGGGACTGCAACAATCGTGCGTGTTATGGTTGCTTTGGTGCCATAGACCGGCGCCTAATCCCTCTATAGACACATTGGGTAAATCTGGCATTGAAATGGATATATCTTGCCTTCCTTGCATTGCAGGTGAGTCCCTATCGGTGCACTCTGGTGTTGTTGACTCATGCGTAACCCAAGTTTGTCCTTGCTCTTGGCAATAGGCCCAAGGGAGAGCGAACTGCCTACTCAATAACCTTATGGTAAGGGGTAGGGATCCAGACTGATCGATGTTTGTTAACGAAGTGCAAGGGTGTATGCAGTACTTGCAGTGTACTTGCTGATATGCTCATTCTGGTTGACCATAGTGGCCTTTGCAGTGAGCATCAATTTCACGTGGTTCAACTGATGCGGATCACCGACCATGTATTAGAACATACCCTCCGAGTTGCAAAACAAGACGACCACCGAAGTCATTTTAACGTTCTTTACTCCTCCTGTCGGCGCTCTTATCGCTGCCATGGTATCTACCTTTGGTATGTCGACCAAATCGCTATTCCTACGTTGTTCTGACTATCTGTTTTCACCAGGTATATATTTCATCGCGTCATTCCTTTATGTGAGTCCTCCAGTGGTACTAAAAGGCTGTGGCTGAGCAACCCACAGCGCGATCCTTGGCACATGTTCTCGAGTTTCTTCCAGTACTTGTGCTTGGCCCCAAGTTTCACAAACGTACTTAACGTCTATGCCTTCTGTAACTTGCATGACGTGAGTGAATGATCCAGCGACTCCAACACTTGCGACTCAACTGTTACCAGGTCTCGTGGGGTACCAAAGGTAGTGACAAGGCGGAAGCACTTCCATCGGTTTCCTCGTCAAAGGCCAAAGATGCCGACGCTCCTGTTGTGGAAGATATCCATCGTATCCAAGAGGACGTTGACGCTGCGTTCAAGGAGACAGTTACCCGTGCCGTGACCAAGATTGAAGTCCAGGAAGTTGTCGAGAAACCGACGATGGACGATCAAAATAAGACTTTCCGTACTCGCCTTGTCGCGTTTTGGATGCTTACCAATGCTGGCCTTGCTGTTACCATCGAGAACATTAATGGTCTGGAAACCGCAGAAAATGCTGTCGAGGACCAGAATGAGCTCCGCAACAAGCAAAACATTTATTTCGCCGTCATTTTGTATTCGACCTTTGCTCTTGCCGCTGTGCGGTTCATGGGGGTGAGTACACAACTGAGCATTCACCGATCGTGTGGTTAACCAGATTCACAGTGCTTGTGGTATTGGTTTAAGCGCAACTTCTTTAGGTGCTGCAGGAGGAATTAAGAGGTGGTCTCTTGGGTGTGGACACTGAATTTCACTTAGTTATCTACTTTCTTCCTTATTGACATCGCATTGGCATCTTGGACATCTATGAATACCTTCTGATGACATTCCTTCTCTACGGGTAACCTCCCCGCACCGCAGGGGTAGATAGCTGTTATTCGATATACCACAAATAGGTACTCCTAATGACTCCTGAGAAAAGCTCACGAGTACAAACCCTCTGGAGGCCCATTCTGCCTTCGAGATTGATTAATATTCAAACCTGTAAAGACTGAGATTTGATATCGATAGAGGAATAGAGGTAAGGTCAGCACCTCGGACGCTTATACCAGAGTCCGCGATGTGTGAAAGAAACCAGTCGCTCGCCGTTGGCCGGGACTCGCTTTCGCGGCGTTCCGCGTCCGGTAATAGTGGTCTTCGGCAATTTGGACAAGACGCATGCTGTTGGGAGAATCAACTGCAAATCAGATATGCACGTTTTAAAACCTACCCCCTCCGAAATCCATCTCATGATGCTATCGCGATAAATCAGTTACACCATCAAGGCCAGGAGGCAGAGCTTGCTCAACTCCTTGCGACAGAACATATGTCCACATGTCTTTTGCAATCTCGTCACACCTAACTCCTCCGCAGGACGAGCAGGTGAATCCATGGTCCTCGCTGTCTCCTCCTCTGCGAGGACGGCAACGAAGGCATTGAAACATATGGGACAGGCCGCATCTGAATCCTCTGAATATAAATCATAGAGAGCAAGGTGGATTGAACCTCACCATGTTTCCCGTCTGCTGTTAATTCTGCTTCGGTGATGCTAGGCAGTTCACGAAAGAACTTTTGCATCTGCCTGAGTGGGGTGAGCGCGGGGCAAGAAACGAGACATGTGCTGACTGATGTGAGAGTCGCCGATCTGAGGTGCGCAACCTGAACTGCGAAACAAGATCATCGATCTCTTCGGCACTGAGAGCCATGTCAATTGGGCCAAATTCATTGTGTTGCTCTGACATGACAGCTAGATTATGAGCGAGAGAGCAAAGGTCGTTCCCTGAGCTGACGGGTGCAGTGCTTTACGTGGGAAACAAAGTGACTTCGATACAGAAAACACAATCAGAGACAAAAAGGATACCCACATACAGAGACACGTAGTACAGGACAACATTTAGCGAGACAACCAACGAGCAATAATACGACGACAGATAATGGAAGGGAGGGAATCGAAGCGCTAGCTCTTACACAACAACGTCTGCCATCAGAAAGATGTTTATCTTGGCTTAGAACGGATTTTCTTCTTCGTCTGTTGGTACAGTTGATGCTGCGGTTGTCTTTGCTTTCGAGAGTTCCAAAGAGTCTGTAGACTCGGCATCGCTCTCGCTTGCCCGTTCCTCGGAGGATCGCTCCTTGGAGCCAAAAAGGTCGCCAATGGGTTTCACCTCCCTGCAAGAGGCCATAAGGTGCAATGGGAAACGGATTTTCCTAGCGCTTACTTCACGAAGTGCTTTTGCTTTGCAGCGGTCAACTTTTTAGTAACTGGGGTGAGCAAGTTATCCGTGGGTGACACAAATTGCGGGTGGCTAAAGCAAGTCAGTTCTCTCGGAGGGAGATGGTTGATTTGGGGACCCACCTGCCCTTCGCCATCCTCTTCGCCAGTAGAGCCTTAGCCCCCAACCCGTTCGTGGCCCCGTTCGTGGCGTTACCCAGTGGTCCTTGTGGGACCACGATATGGGCTGCTTGTGAAGGATTGTGCATCGGCTGGATTGGGGCAGGAGAGTCACCGGGAGTTGAAGGCGTGGACATCGTCGATATGCACTATCTGTGTGTGCTTGACAGGTGCAGTAGCGGTGTATCAAGGACTGGTTCAAAAGTCAACTGGAAACCAAGCTAGAAACGCGTCGAGGGTCACGTGCCTGTTCCAGTCACGATCACGTGGTCAGGATGGAAATGATTTCACATGCAGGTACACAGACAGCGGTCGATATCCCCGAACCAGGGAGATTGGTTGACGCTCATATCACACCCCAGAGCACAGTAGGTATGTACGTACTTGTGTACATACAACTGCCAGCTCGAATTCTTAGTGTGAAACCATCACCGCACTTCTGCCCCGAAATGTTCCAATTACTTACGCATATGCATAGTATGGGTACGTTATCTGGGTACCCGTGACAACAAGCTGGGACATAATCTAACCTTGTTAATCAACTACTTGGGGATGGGCCAATGCAGCAAGCTGCGAGTTGAATGAAGGCAGAATGCAATACGAACACCCGCAGGTATAGAGATAGGGCCGTAACCATCCCGGTAGCCTGGACTCCACACGAGTGGGCAAGATACGCCAGTACTGCCATCCTTTGGTGGGCAGTAAGTTCCCGCGGGTTTCACAGGGGGTGCGTCATTTCGGACAGGGTTGGATGAAACTCTCCGTATCTACGAAACTGGGTTTCCAAAAGAGTCTGCAACCGTGGCCTTGCGTAGGTAGGACACGTTTTACTGTATTTGTATGGGTCAGACTTGGAGAGGTATGCAAGGACACTTACAGCATCAAGCAGCGGCAATCCACTGGAGACCACACCACTGTGCGTACGATGCAGTGCTCTCACCTGCTTATCGTGCGAGACAACAGACGTCAGAATAGGAACAGTTGGGTCTTACCTCAGGGGATTCCACACAGGTATATGGTGACGATCGTGCGGAAACAAAAAACGGGAAGGATGTTGAAGCGAGGATGGCAGATGGAGATATACCATACAGCCGAGATGGTCGGGCCGGGGCCAGCGCATCACAAGACCACGGGGTCGACTCCAGCGACGTTATAGATGCCAGTGCAATTACTCTCGTTGACGGGCGAGACCGTCCCAGACACCTGGGAAACCGTGGCTGTCGAACTGCTGTAAAATTTTCCTTGATAAATCAGCAAAGCCCCGCTGGCACAAGTTAGACGCCACTGAGTGTATTAGTTACCCGCCTACTGTTCCGCTGTCCCTTATATACCCTGTCAGCCTGCCATCCCTCTGCCTTTTGTCGCTTTTTTTCACCCGTTCACTCCCGGTGGCTGGCTATCTGTTACAGTCTTGTTACGCCAGTAACGGGCGACGTTTGGCTCATTGATCTGGGGTCTTGCCAACCATAATTGCTCCGCCACGACCCCTCTAGTATCGCCAGCTCTTTCCTTGTCCTTCTCTTCTTTCTCCCTTCTTTTACTCTAGCTTTCATCTCCATACATAATGGCAGCCAGCTCGACAAAGAAGAGAAAGATTGCGGTACTCGGGTCGCGCTCAGTCGGTGAGTCCCCCCTCACAACTCAGCACTTCGTTCACCCTAATACCCTCTCCAGGCAAGTCCTCGCTTGTCGTACAGTTCATAGAAAACCACTTTGTGGATTCATACTATCCTACCATTGAGAATACGTTCTCTAAAGTCGTCGCCTACAAGGGGGTAGAGTACGATTGTGACATCATCGACACCGCTGGCCAGGTCTGTCCGCTTCCTGACTCCGTTTCTTGCCCCCAACCCCAACACTTTCGTCAGGATGAATATTCCATTCTCAACTCCAAACACGCCATCGGTATACACGGCTATGTCCTCGTATACTCCATCGCCTCAAGACGGTCCTTTGACATGGTCAAGATCGTCTACGACAAGATCATCGATTTCTGTGGTAAAAATGAAATTCCCTGTGTAATTGTCGGTGCAAAGAGCGACTTGCAGTCAAGGTACGTTCTTTCAGTACCATTCCTGCACTATTGCGTGTCGCGTTGTCGACGGTTATTTTGGTTCTTTGCCTCACAGTTCGGCTAGTAGACAGGTTCAGCCTGGGGAAGCCGAGGAACTCGCCAAAACGAAACAAGCCGCATGGGTAGAAACCAGTGCGAAGAATAATGTCAATGTCGGTAAGTGCACTATATCCCAATCACGCCAGAAGCAGAGTTTGATCCCACCCAAGGCAAAGTGTTCGAACTATGTCTTGCGGAGATCGAGAAGCGCTCGCCCCGCAGCCAAGCCGACCAGCCCGAGCCTGGCAAATGCATCATTATGTGATCGTTATTCTCTTCAGCATTTCTGGTTGGCTGGCCCTCAGTTATGTCGTCACAAGCTTCTGAGTCACTTTGCTCCCTATATCCTAGCTCCCAAACCTTCAACCAAGGTTGCTGCCTCTGGCCTCGTGGTGATCTTACAACCTGCATTATGAGTATTTACTGCTATTTCCTCACAATCTCCCCATTGGCAGCCCTCAGATAGGCCAGGCCCCCTTCTCCCAACCCCTTAGACTGTTACGTTTAATCCTCCACATTGCATTCCTGTCTCGCAGACCTTTGCTGTAGTCTGTAAATTAACTAGGTTTTTTCCTTGCCTCTCAGGGATTCTTGCTGATTACAAATTGTAGCGTATATTCCCCTACGGTTAATAATACATTCTCGTCAGTCACGAAATGACCTCCACATCGTTCAGGAGTCCTATCGAACCTGGTATCATCACGTTTACCGGAGGGCTGTACTGCACCATGTGTACGGCGGACCAGAAGGATAAGGTTACCAGTTTATTCCCTAATCAAATTGCGCTTCAGTTTTGCGTTTGACTATTTTTGGTTACCTATGCTAACAGCTATGTCATGTGTTTCTACCTCGATGGCTCCGTGAAAACATGGTAGTGTAAAGGAATAAGTGGAGATCCAAGAAGTTGAACATGAGACGCATGAAGTAGTAGGTGGGACGAGGAAAGACAAAGCCTAGCGTGAGAGAACGCTGCGCGGCGACCACGGAGATAGCTTCCCAGATACGGACAGTGAAATAGACCGAAAGGAAGTGAGCAAGAGTGTGGGCGATAAAACTGTGGCTCGCTACGTCATCCGCTCGCCTTCATGATGAGCTATCGCCTAGGAATCGCACTTTGACCTCACGGCCCCCGAGCCCTACAGCCTTAACGATTTGGGGATCCCCTGGAAAAAGATCGATCGCCTGGTCGCTCCACTTGACGTCGTCGCCCTCGACGTCCAGCACGATACCTTTAACTGGCACCCGAGCGGCAAGTTCAACGGATTCACCGTCACTGCCGATCGTTATACTCAATCCCAAATCTTTGACAGAAGGGAAATGAATAAATTTATAAGGTTCCGGCCTGGGACGGTCAGTCAGTTACAGGGCTTTGGGTTGGTTCCTTGCTCAACTGACCAGTTCGAGAGCCGCCCTAGAACAACCCCGGCCTCGTCCAACAAGCGAGCAGAAACGATAATCGTTCGGGGAACCTCGCTGAGTTTGGTACGTACGGGTTGACCAGGTAGTTGATCGAAGAATAATTCGGTGCTTGAGTTTGGAGCCATGACGGCCTCCATTGAGATCTTATCTGACCAATTCGTATCAAGCTCAAAAAAAGTCAACTCAAGTCTGGCCTTCTTCTCCGCCACGGTACTGTTAGTCCCCCAAACCTCCAAGATCGTTTCAATGATAAACGAGGACGCCGAGAGCTCGTTTGTGAATGTTTTCTTTTCCTTACGTGTTATCCCCACGGCGAAAGGTACCAATTCGCGCGAAATCGCGAAATAGGCAGGTTTGGGCCGTAGAAAGTAATCAACGATCGCCCACGAAGTAGTCGGCCAGCAGTCATTCATCTTTCCAACCCGAGTTTAGTCGACCTGCAAGTGATATGAAACGATACGCAACACCGACCTGCCATACTAAGGCACCAGCGGTGTACTCCCTACCCTTTCCACGCCAGTTACGCCGCCAGAGGCGATAGGCAGTTGCAAGGGCCTCGGCCTGCATGATTTGGGTATAATACACATAGCTGTGTCAAGATTATCAAACACGTGCTATGCGTTATCGAGAGGTTATCCACCTATCCATATCGAAAGTGTGTCTGAAGTTCTCCACGAGGTAGAGCTGGGATAATTGTTGATCGCCGGGCATAATAACATGAAATTCACCCTTACCTCCAATCGGCCTTCACACCCTGCTGCTTTGTTATGCTGGTTATTAAAACTTTATGGATCTACGTGAGCGCCTCTGCTCACTCAAGAAAGTCTACACGCACCGCGATTGAGGAAAACGTTCGTCCGTTCGACCATTGAGCCAGTGATCAATCGTCTTAACGTTAGGGTATCCCTGCCTGTGGGGGATGACGTGGTCAGTACTTCTGACCTACAGGTTGCGTGTATGGCATACATTCCAAATTCAGAAACGAAGCGCCCAGATAGAGTATCCCAATTTTGCCACGGTTGCTGGGAGCCGTGCCAAACGTTCCCTACGAGAAGTTGGTCGGTACATGTGATGACTCGAACGAGCTGTTACCATGTACACTGGTGCAAGTCCCCTAATGTCGGATCCGTTGTTGGCACCCCTGGTGCGCTATACGGCGAAGCCCTTGTGATAATGAATATCACACAATTCGCTGACGATGGACGGCAGGAGGCTCTCGTAAATACGCCGGGCAGGAAACTTGGTTTCCGGGCATTCGGAAGTTTGACCACTATATTCTATGAGGTTCAGAGATTCAGCTAGTTGGTAATCTTCATTGTTTCCAGCTACAGTTTTCCTGATCAGCAAGAACACCTGCGAGTTAACAGGGAAGAAACCTAATATCACGACGGAGGGGTGATTACGAAGTCGCTTGACGTTCTGCCTAGCTTCGACCTCGACAAGCTTGAGGAAAGAATCATATGCCGGATACTGAGAAAGAACAGTGAGGTGAACAGCACGTTATTGTGTGGTACAAACCTGTCCGCAGCCAAACATAAAATCTTGCCATACAAGAACTTCATGGAGAGTGCACGTTCAGCAGTCAAGTAATCATCGTGCACTGCGAATGAACTCACTGCCAAGCTCTGGCCAAAACAATCAGTTGGGCTGTCCGACGAGGTACAGTTCAGTATTTACCATCACAGATATTATAAAAAATGTCCGCTTCGTAAATGCCACCCCCCCAAACTCGGACCATATTTTGGTTACCGTCGACCACTAATCGAAGCCAGTCGCGATACCTCTGCGGATTCAATCTGCAATCGCATTTTTTGATAATAAAACCTAGCTTCAAATGGTCGAACAATTCCTTACAGAGTAAGGAAGGAATCGGCAGGTATCCAATTCGACCCTGCACAGAATATTCTGATATTATTGATTTCAAACAAGAAAGTCTTCCCCGGTTGGTCGATAAGCGGTTCCTCGAGGACTTGAACGCGGCGAAAGGCGACCTTCTCGTGCCTGGAATCCATGACACGACCGTCCTGAACACACTGATAGTAAGTACTTTCATGCTATAACAGGAGTCGACCCTACAACATCCTTCACCACAACTTCGATTGTATAAAGAGGTTGTTTCCCGTAATGCACGGGATACCACAGCTCCGCTTCTCCTGAGGAAAAATAGAATTTCGTGCTTGCTCTTCCAGTCTCGGTGGCGAGAGCGTCTTGATAACGAGCAACGCTGCCATGTGGGTCCCTGAGCAGTACAGATGCTGATCCAGGGCTGTCCTTGGAAAGGGCCAGGTCTACGGTGATGTCTACATCCAATGCTTCAGCGACCCTGCACCTTATGTCAACATCCATAATGCGCAGGTCATAAGTATGTAGGAAAATAGGTTTCCATGGCCCGATAGTCATAAGTACGGGGCCCCAATCCCAGCCATAACTGTAATGACTTGCGTAAGCTTGGTCAAAGTCCTTGTACGATACTGCGTACTTGTACTGTGCTTTCCTTACGTGCAGCCGACTGGAATCTCCATTCCACAGATGGAATTTACCATATTCTTTCTCGAGTTCCCTTCCCTTATTTTCACGCTTCAGTGACACGGACTGTGATCCTGGTACTGACTTGCCTTCCTAAATGCGCTTGTAAAGGTTATTGCCAGTTCATTGGAACCTGGTTGCAGGTGCTGCTTCGCAGAAACCCTATGAGTCACGAACTGATTCTCTGTGCTGCCACGAGCATTAGACCTCGTTGAGATCCCTGGGAGAGCAATGTGACGGACCCCAGTATCTCCCTATCGTTCTTGGGATTCGATCAGCTACAACCTTGAAACCATAAATCTGATTGCAGACTGACGAGGGTGACAGTCGCATAAGTATCGAGACCCTCAAAGATGAGGTCGACATGGCACGCAGCCAACTCGGCATTTGTAATAGTGAAATTGTTCTTAAATGTCCAGTCTGATTCTCCAACCCCTAGTACGGAACGGTCCGTCTTGAGATTGGAGCAAGCTCGATAACCCACGAATACACTCACATTGCACCTCCCACTCATTCATGCCCAGGAACTTGACAAGTTTAGCAGAGATGGCAGAATAACATGCAAGTAATTCAATGGGCTCACTGGATCTGGTATTCTCTTCAACTTCAACAGCTCAACGTGAACAGTGGTCGGAAATTCGGTTACTGGGAGCCATTCTCCACATCTCGTTCCCTGACCCCCACCCACTTGCGTGAAAACCCAGTCGCTGTGGAGAAACTTGATGGCACTCATGGGGTTGGCTGGTCGAGTCACATGTACTTCTGGTTCGCTGGCGACTCGCATCACCGGACCAGGCTGATAGTTGGGCGAACGTCGGAGATTACGAGCTCCTGTACAGAGCATCGTCGAACGACAGCACCAGTGAAAGTTAACTGTTCGGTCCAGCCACAGCAGACTAATTAATATTGGTGTTCCTGAGTGTATGTAGGCTTTGGGGCCCCAAGCTTCACGTCTTACAGCTCACCAACGGTAGTACCCTGGCAAGAAAAGGAATGACATGCCTTCCGCCTTTGGTCAAGGTCTGCCTGGAACATCCACATATTTGGCAGTAGCGCTTCTAGCGATTCTAGTCGGCCCGCCTAAGGCTAACCAGGCCTGATATACATGGGGATCACAGGGAGCTTGGATGAAGAACCGTACGTTGGGTTTTATCTTCATCATGTTACATATCTGAACCCAGTTGGTAAATCTAGAGCACGTTCCTTCATCTCCGCCTTCTTGTTGAGGTTGATCAGGTGCAATCGGTACACCCATAACATGTAAATGGATATCGCGGCCATCAGGGTGCAAATCAAGAACGAGTCCACGTATGATGGACCCCATTTGGCTGGCCATATATAACTGCATTGGGATTATGGATCATTCGGATCCTACGTCAACATGATAAGAACTTACGATGCCCCAATGTTTCCAAGACCTGCAAGTGTATTGGCAGTGGCTATGGCGACTGCTCGCTTGGATGAAGATTCTGGTACTGAATTGCTCACCCACGCCAACAGAACAATGTATGCGACCGTAGCTTGGGTCATAAAAAATCTGGCCAGAGGATAAGAAAGACCCCTTTGGCGACTGGATGTATCATGCAACTCACAACGACAGGTAGCGGGCAAGAGTATCCATCGACATACTGGCCAATACAAAGCCAATTATGCCCATCGAGATTGGACCAGCAATATGCCAGAAGCGGTCCCCAGTTCTGTCAGAGTGGCTGGAAGCAGAGGGGCATCAGTAGGTCAATTATAGCGTCAACTATCATTGGACAGACCCCATGACGAAAAACGAAGTAAGAAGCCCCACGATCCATGGTGGGGCACAAAGTAAAAGGGTAATTGTTGGACTGTACCCCATAGCGGCCGCCAACGTAGGAAAGAAGAAAGAAAATGACAACGCAATATTCAAAAGGGCCAGTGCAACAGCAAGCCACCACACTTTCCAATCAGTTAATGCTTGAGCAAGGCCAGATCTTTCCACACCCTTCATCGCATGGTGATCAATTCCGCACACATCTTCTTCCATCCTCTTTTGGGCGAGTATTTGCTCTTCACTTGTGAGCCAGAAAGCCGGCGTGGTAGGGAAATCGGGAACTATGAAAAACGCGGCAGCAGCAATCACACATGTCAACCCTCCTTCACAAAAAAATAGCCATCTGTACACCGATGTTATCGTAAGTTACCAAAAACCTATTCATTAGCGCTTACCTCCAAGCCTGATATCCTAACTTTCCGTCCGTGGTGGCAAGGACACCAGACGCGATAAGTGACCCAAAAGCATTGGCGACCGAGCTGCCACCAGTAAAGTATGCCATCCTCAAGCCGAGCTCGTCACGTTTGTACCTTAAACGCCAGTGTGTAAGCAGACGAAGCTTGACAAGAAAACCAGGAGGACCATCTCGAGAGCATGAATAATACCCCAGGATAATATACTGCTTCGGAGAAGCCGAGGAAGAACCGAGATACAAGGGCCGCACGAAAACTATGATTAAAGATGAGCTATCATTCAGTGCAAAGGCGCCGTTATGGAGACATACCTCTGAGCAGCACCTAGGAAGTTTGTCATCAGTATAATCTGCAACAAGTACTTTACCACGCAGGGGCTCACTGACCGGTGCCTATGGAAATTATCCCCCACAGAAAGATGCAACAGGAGAGGTACAGGGACGGTCTTCTAATCCGACTGAGATATGTGTTTCTGGGATAATATGAACACCAGCGCCGCACAGCACGGAAGGCGGGACGCATACGAGGGAATTTGCATAAGAACATAGCCAATAAATAGGACGCTGATCAAAGTGTTGAATTCCTGTCCGGTCAGGCGAAGATCTTCTTCCAGGCCATTTAGTCGTGCGGCGCTTGCCAGATGTTACAATTAATTGATATATGAAGTGGTAAAGGCCTTCATACTTACGCCATATTATTCCTGTCCATCTCGGACCACAAGTGAGCTTCCGCCATGATTTTGAAAAGATACTGAGAGAACTTACATAGTTCATGATATAAACGAGAACAAGAAACGCAACTCTCAAGTCTAACTTTCGAAGTAACTTCTTCTCGACTTCCGTCCGCCTGTCGAGTTCAAGACTAGTGTCCATAAGTGCAGATATGCGATTCTCGACATCTAGGTGTGTCTCGTCGGTGTCGACCAACCGCTGATACCCCGTTGCTGGCTGCGACATTGTCACCGGCGATGGTGTGAACGAACGGATAGTGAGAAGCGTCAGGGATGCTGAGTCTGGGTGACTGTCGGAAGGGTACGTTAGTAGTACGTAACTATACGATGATTGCTCGTAGCCTCGTCCCCTTGGAGGTCATGCATTTCACCCAGGGCCTTCGAGGGTGGCACTGTATCTTAGCTATTTACAGGGGCGACGCCTAGCATGCTGGACAGCACTCAGCCCGAGGTGTACAATCGTAGCAAGCCAGCAAAATTCATGATTCACTGTACCTCATGCGTTCAACTTAAACACAGCGATTCGAATCTTTCTGAAAGGCACAAACATACGAATAAATAGAGCGAGTATACCCCCCAAAACATTGGCCCGGAACAAAGAAAAGTATAAAAAAAAGGGTAGTTCGGCGCAGGTGCGACGAAGTAGCTGTTCTAGACGCAAGGTTGTACTCAGTCAAGGTAACATTAGCACGTGAGATAGATTGAAGAAATGTTCAAGCGGGGAGAATACAGTAGGACGTACGCACGCAATGGCCCCCGTCAGACCAGCCAAACGAGGCAGCCACCTTGCGGCGCTGGTTGCATAGCACTCAGGGCTTGGGCAAAGGAGGCAGACTCTCGTGTTCGTCTCTGTCATAACCCAGCGGATACGAGGATAAGTCACTCATAAGGGCTAGTGTATCCAGACTAGCCCGCTGGCGCTCCTGCAAGTTTGACGAAGGCATGCTGCCTTCCGTACCTCCATGGTCAATCTGGAATGGAAAGTTCCCTAGCCCAGATGAAGCCGTGGATAGTTCTGAAGCAGTGGACATCCCCAGCATGCGACGACTTGGTGGTGGTGTCAGAGGAAGTAACGTAGATTCGTGCTCCTCAACGGCAGCAGACGGCTGTGAGATGGTAAGAGAGGACGCTGGTACTGGCGGTGGCACTTCCGACTGTGCAGTTGCACTGGAAGCTTGTTGATAGAGAGGCGAACGAGGCGGCGACCGAACGGGGCGAGAAGCAATAGGGGAAGGAGGAACAAAAGGAAAAGACTCTAGGATTGAATCCGCGCGTGTAGAAGTTGTTGATACGACCGAGGTTCCGGACACCCTTCTGGCCTTTTCGAGACCATGAGCACGAGCTTGAGCTTGAGCGTGTGCCAAAGCCATCTGTTGCTGCTGATCCAAAGATGCAGATTGTCCAGTAGTTGGAACGGAACCAGAGGAAACTAGTTTTCCCATAGTAGTCCTATAGGGTGATTTTTGGTCAAGCCTACCCGCAAGACCGACGTTCACTCTAGTGGCACTGCTAATGTCGACAATAGATCCTGATTGAGTGCTCACGCTATCCGGACGACTTGACGTATCTCTCTTGGCCCAGGGTAGATTGGGAGCTTCCAGGGAAATCCCACTTGCAGGTCGAGATTTGTTAGAAATTTCCAACGGTCCCCGAGAAATAGGATGGTGGTGATCGTCGAAGGGATCGCTACGGTTCGCTTCGTTGTCCTCCTCAGCCTCTTCGACGACGTCAGCAGGACCAAAAGAAGTCGCTGCCAAGGGTGAACGGATAGATGGCCGCGAGGCGGCGGATGGCGGTTTCAAACTATCCAGGGAAGTAGGTGTAGAGGGACCCGATGTCTGTATAACCTCTGCCTTGACTTTACCGAGAACTTGCCGAACGGCACCCTGCCCCTGCGTCACGATCATCGGAGCTTCATTTAAGAGCTCGCTCGAATAACTTGCGCCAGACATACACGACACGTGGGAAGAACCAGAGCGCTGGGACTGAGCGTACCGGGGGGAAGGCTCGCGCAAGGATTCGGGAGATTGGGAACCATCCAGCGAGAGGTCAGAAGGGCGTGCAGGACGAACTGGTGATGATGGTGCCAAGATCCCCGACTCAGACCGGGGAGCACCGGAGGTAGATACAGATGGAGCGAGGGCGATGGGTATGACATTGGTACCGTTGGTATGTGTGGTGACAGTTTGTATAGACTGAACGTCGTCGAAAGGATTGGCGGAGGGATGTCTCTCGGGTGCGGGGTGATTTTCACAGTTCCCAGAAGCGTGTACAGACTGCGGGGAAACGTCGATAACGCTTGCGACAGGGGACTGCGGACGATCGGCCTCAGGCTTGCAAGGCGACTTCTCAATCGGATCCGGTCGATTAAGGACTGCTGCCGCCGGTGCTGGCACGTCTGGTTTGGATTGTACCGCTGTGTTGCCAGTGCGGCGAGCACGCTGACGACGACGATATAGGAAAAATACCAAAAGAGCGCCAACGAGAGTGAGGAGCACGGCAACAATCGCACCAGCAAGGACACCTGCACTTATGCCGCTATCGCTGCTTCCACTGGCGCTTGTTGACGCACTTGCGCGGCAAGTGAAGGTGGGACATGCGTTGCACGACCTGACGGGAAAACAAGGCGTGTTGGCCAGGGTAGGGTTAGCGCGGAAAGGAGACACGAACTGGCTTATTAGAATGCAACTCTGTTGGGCAGAACAAGTACAGGCTGGTGGTTGTGCCGGGCATGAAACACACTGCCTTGGAAGCAGATCCACGTGCATGATGGGTTGATACCGTTGATAAACAGAGAAGAAAAAAGGCAAAGGAGTGTGTGATTTGATGATATACGTTTGAAGTGGTCAGCGAGAGCGCTGTCGTCCGCAAGCAGCCCCGTCGGTAAAGGGTTGAGACGATGCTGGACGACGAGGGCTGGGTATGCCGGGTCAGCACTACTGATTCGGTTCTCAGAGCAACGCTTCCCACGCCGGGATACTCTGTGTCACACGTGTGACAGAAGTTACTTTTCTTTCGTTCATTCAGTGAAGTCGGCAATAACTAGCGCCTCCGAAGATCTTACTTCACACATCTGTTAGCTGTTAAGAGTCTTGCCGTTCTCTTCTTACTACGGATATATGGACCTAGTTACTTCCTATTTTCCATCACAGCTAGGCCGAGCATGCACGAATACGCAATTTCTGTAGATGGGCTAACATACTCTCATAACCCCGGATCCCCTCCGTCTCTTTTAAATATATCCCTTCATCTCCCCCCGGGCTCCCGTACCCTCTTGGTCGGCGCAAATGGCGGTGAGTCGTTGTTGTGCCTTTCGTGCGTCGATATGAACCATCCTACTCCACAGCCGGAAAGTCGACTTTGCTACAGATCCTCGCCGGTAAACGTCTCGTGAAAAATGCGGACGTCCGCGTCAAGGGAAAGGACGTCTTCAGAGACTCACCAGATGGTGTGACGTTCCTCGGGACTGAGTGGTTTGTTTCCTGCCTTCTCCTACAAAACTGGCGATCGACGGCCCGTCCATTTGAAGGGCAATGAATCCTGTCGTAAGGGGTGACATCACTGTTTCTGCATTTCTCGACTCCGTTGGAGGTTATAGACACAAGGAGCGCAGAGATCAACTACTCGATATATTAGACGTAGACCTGGACTGGCGTATGCACGCAATCTCCGACGGGGAGCGCCGTCGGGTCCAGCTTTGCATGGGTCTCATGGCTCCGTGGGACGTTCTGCTTCTCGATGAGGTGCCTTCCTTCTGTCTTCCGTAGATTAAATGATCGTTCTTACTCCTTTCTGTTGCGTAACCAGGTTACCGTGGACCTCGATGTTCTGGTTCGTGATGAATTGCTTACATTCCTTCGAAATGACAGCACCACACGTGGTGCTACTATCCTCTGTATGCATCAATCCTCTCTCGTTCTATCCGATTGACTGGAAGTATCGCATAGATGCGACTCACATCTTCGACGGACTCAACTCCTTTCCAACACACGTGGCTCACATGCACCATGGTTACTTCGTGACGAAACCCATGCCGTGGCCGTGTGTTTCGTCCGCAGATTCCCCATCGATAAACCTCTATCACACGGCTCTATCTTGGCTTAAAGAGGACCGGGAACGCCGCCGTGAATCTGAAAGGATGTTTGACAACAAGACCCGCGGCGCTAGGAGAAACGAGGTTAGCACTACTGGTTGCCCGACCTCCGGCTTCCGCTCATAATATTTTGCAGACTGTCCCTACAGATTCGGAGACATTTTACAGAAAGTACGCCGTTAACCCTCACTTCCCTGTTCCGCAGCACATTAATGACAATTAATTGTTTAGATATGACTATAGTCACTAAGAACGTGTGGGATATCTTCAACTCCAACACAATCACTGCCTTAAATGACTACGGATATGAGTTCTTTTTTCTCTGTACAAAGTTTTGTGCTAGACAAATGACCGATCTGCGCTTTGTCCTATTTCTGTACTCAATTTTGCGAGTTTTCAACACATCTGTATCTACAGATTGGGACAGATCACATGACCCATATCCAAACCACAGCCCTTACATAAACTCAGCGTCTGGCCAAGAAGCGATCGACCTCGCTCGAGGATGGCGGAAATTATTGATTTGACGGCCAACTCTCCAGGACAAACACCAATCGAAATATCCTCCGGGGAGGAGGACGTGTCTACGCCTACTCCCACCCAAGACGTCTCATCCAACGAGAAGGGACGCAGAAATAGAAAAAAGAAAAGATCTAAACGTCCCGTCACCGAACAGGTTGGCTCTTCAACTCACAATTCAGCGGACTGTGCGCAACAGGAAGGGGGAAAACAATGTGACAACACATACTCGGCCCCCCTGCCTGAAGTATCCACCGAGGATTCCCAATTGTTCTACTTCGACGTGGTCGCTGTTCCTGTTCCAGACGTTAACGCTGAATATGTTCAGCGGCCCACCGATGTCCCCTCAGAAGGCTGCAGTCCAGGATAATCCCAAACTTCTCTTACCTTCACATGTCTCTTTACTAGCCCCTGGTGCGAACAGTACTGACCCCATTGAAATCATACCCCCACCTATCGTCGACTCGGATGACGATTGCATAGACTTTCTGGATTATGAGGACCGGAAGGTACGAAGCAGTTATAGCTGTTATCTGTTTACTAATTTCAGCCAAGGCTCCAGGGCTCGTACGGTATTTCGAAGCTGAAGCAGACGGGACGACGCAAGCCAAGCCATCCATCTTCAAGTGTAAGAATTGCGGCGCAGAGGGTGACCACAAAGCCTTTGAATGTCCAGTGTTGATAGTAAGCTTCCTTGTCTGGTGGTTACTTGTTACCGATTGAGTGACAGTGTTTAACTTGCGGTGCTCGTGACGAGCATACCACCCGAAGTTGCCCTATTAGCAAGACATGCTATACTTGTGGCATGAAGGGCCACATCAACAAAGTGAGCGGTCCATAGTGCCCAGTTCGCGTGACTAACGTTCCGTAGACGTGTCCTAATCGATATTCTCGCTCGCTTAATCCAGACTTATACAATGATTGCGACCGATGTGGTTCTAAAGGTCACAGGACGAACGTGCGTTATGGCGTATTTCTGAACCGCGATGGGCGCATCAACCCCCTTCTAGGAATGTCCGACTCTGTGGCGGATATACCAGTATGTCACCGATGAAGAACGAATGCTTATCAAGAAAAATCGAGAAGCAAGGAAACAACTCCGCATCGGGCAGGGTGGTGAGGGTTACATCGGCACAGATGAATGGTGCTACAATTGTGCAAACACTGGGCACCTAGGCGATGTAGGCGGACTTTCTTGCGTGATTGAGAATCCGAACTTTACCTCTTTCTTAGGATTGTGATGAGCTCCCGAGACCTTCTGGAACGCCTTTGGAACCTTCCGCATTTAGTGCCTTCAATCTGATGTCCGGCCCATTCTACGACCCTGCAACAGAGTCCCCCCGTATTCGACGGGGACCACGGGACCTGAGTGAATGCGAGGACTTGACCCGATTACCGGATCTGGACGTTCCTATAGACGTTGGAAAGCGTGGAAGGCACAAAGATCGGGAGAAGCTGGAGAAAAGGTTTAGAGAACAGGAAGATGGTGAACCGAGGGACTGGTTCAACGACATGCAAAACACGAAGAACAGAAGGATGAAGGAACCGCCGTCGCGCGGGAAAACGATGAAGTTTGGGGCGTCACTCAAGGACGGTGGACGCAACTTATCCCCTCCACGGATGAGTGAGAAACCTCGCAGTCTTCTGGCTCGACTAGGTGATGGAGGTGGTGACGAGTACCGAAATGGCAGAGATGATATTCAGGCCCATAGTCTCCGTATACGTGGTGCTGCAGATCATGCGAACGACAACGGTTGGCACCGCTGTCGGCATGATCAGCAGTTTCAGGAGAAGCGTTCGGGAGACAGAGATTCTGGCAGAAGGCCTGACCGGGAACACAGGCCACGCTACAATGGCGGTTACAATAGGTGATACATATGTTCTCAAGATGCATGATGCCAACGACCTTGACAAGAGCACTGAGTTACGTAAATCATGTTAAGACCAGCCTGCGCACTTGCAACCTGCACCTGAATCTGTTGGTTTGTCGATGTCTTCGTTGAGCGGGTTGGTTGCACCTTCGACGAGAAGCTCAGTCGCTGGAAACGCGAAGAACTCGCTTTCTATTTCGAAACCATCGCCCCCATTCATGGTGGACCTATCGAGCGTGTGTGATGCGTCGTCACTCAACCCAACTACCCGTGTGGCACTGTCATTCGAGTATGCATCCCTTCGGTATAATAAGCATTGCCCCTCTGGTATGTACATTACACCTACACCGGACAGTGTCCTCGTGTGGGACGGTGTTCTGTTTGTGCACAAAGGTGTGTCGTTCCGCCCCCACTCCACTTCCGTGCACGACACTCACAGGCTGGCATTCTACAGGATACTATGCAGGGTCCGTCCTCAAGTTCACGATAACATTTCCGGATAAGTATCCAGACATGCCGCCTACCGTGCGATTCCTTACCGACGTGTTCCATCCGCTGGTGGAGACCCAGACAGGATTGTTAAACTTGATGACCCGTTTTCGTCCGTGGAGGTAAACATCCTCTACTCTTCAATCGCCTGTTTAGCATAATATATCTCACAAACGTATCGGATGAAGACCAACGGAGCACCGAGTACATGATATTTTGCATTTCACGAAAGCTTTGTTCAAGGTTACAGTCCTGGATCACATCAACGAACTCGATGTTGTCAACAAAGAAGCATTCAAGTAAGTTGCCCTTCGCACTGCTGACGAACCCCTTAATCGAACCAACTGAATGTTTAGATTGTGAGTGCATAGTGTTGTGCTCGGGGTGTGAAAATTCTGAAATTACGCATCAGATATCAAGAGAACAGGACGTCGTTCGCTGCGCTTGCTCGACAATCCGCTCAGTTTTCGCGATCGCCGAGCGCGCTATATGACGCTCCGAGTTTTAAGAAGGGATATTCACTCCATTTCACGCCTGTATCGCAGGGGCAGGTCAATGAAGTCCTGAAGACACTTCTCATCCAACGACCTCCACACGAAGCTACGGTTGCACGTGACAAGGAGAATGGCAATGCTTAACGTCTGTATCGTAGTATAAAATTACCCCCCTAATTCCTGGAGTATCGTATGTACCATACATCTTCTAGTTTACCCGACCGATGAGGCAAAGTCTACAACAAAAGGCTGATGCACCCGTTATGATTTTCCAAGTTGTATTTCCCGAATTAGTGACGGTGACACCTCCTGGGCTGGATCGTCGCTGCTGCTATCATTGAAGCTAATATGTCGAGGTTGGGGTTGAATCGTTTCAAGTAATGATGTGTCGGTGCCAGTGTCCTCACTCTACGTATTATAACACTGATGTGGTAAGAAAGACACTGAAGTTGACTCACCTCGGTCAATCTCCCAAAATGCTTAGAGAGTTTCTCGATGACCAAACTATACGGTAGATGTTGCGTGAGTTTCCTGTGGTTGGGGTCTCAGAATTACAGCGCGGGGACGGGCATGTCTAATAATTTGGGTTACGAACCTCCTTGGCTGGACATGCAACGAGTGCCGGCCATCTAGAGTGGAATCAAGAACATTCGACGAGTGGGCACCCTCACTCAGAGACAATTTAATCGAGTACTCTTTATCTGAGTTACTACGACCGAAATTCCTCTCGTATAACTCAAATCTGCGGGCAATTTTGAGTGCGGTATGACAGGAAGAACAAGGAATCAATACGAACGTAATATGAGACTGCGGACCAGATCCATCAATGACAAATGCCAATAATATCCAAGTGAGGGAGAACGCACGCAGTAGTCCAATTCGGGTATCCTTCGGTTGGCGATAGGCAATCCAGATTGTAAAACAAGGTTAACGAGGGTATGAATGTGGCTTTCCTTCGTGAAATACAACGTGAGCGCACTGCCTCCGTCGTTACGTGCTGCCTCGAGGTCCTCCACTATGTTCTTCAGTAATGGAAGTGACGTGAGAACTCCTATCTCCTCTCTGATTATGGTGTGAGCATTTTCTGAAGAGAGAGAATGCGATGTCACGCACTTTTCGTCAGGTTCTATGCCATACTCCTGTGGAGCAACCAGGTCAAAGAGGGCTTTTGCGCGGCCATATAACTCGTGTAACTTTCGATCTTGGGTTTGGTTATGATCCTTGCCTTGGCCAGCGTTCTCGTCGAATATAGCGAAGAGGAATTGCCGGTGATGCAGCGCACAGTACTTGATGGTATCGTAGAGTTCTGACACCTACGGAGTGATTGTCCACAAACGATACCTAAACTTCGGAGATTTCAACTCACACGAGAAGGATCAAATTTTCGTTGTTCAACATCACAAAAATCTTCGAATAGCTTTTCCCACCGCTCGCGGAAAAGCCACGGTTCGTCGCCGCAACACCTGTGTCGTGACACTGAGCCGATGAGTCCAGATATATCCAAGGGAACAAACCATTGGTCCTGAATCTTATCGATATCCATCGTTTCGAAGTTTCTCTGCATGATAGCCCGAAAAGAGCTAAGGAGCTCAATCACTTCCTACTCAAGTCATCAGTCCGCGGGCTTTAAACAAGGAATTACATTTGAAGGTACCTTGACAACTTCTACCGGTTCCTTCTTCATACTCTTCGGCCAAGTGAGTTCCGGTCGTTTTTCTGGCTCTCCGGGTCGTAGTAGAATCTTCAGGCGTTTCTTCACGTCATCCATGAGGTCCTTCGCGGCGTTGGAATCATCTAATAAATCCTTGCGAATTATGAGAGCGGGTGGCGTCATCCGCAGATGACAGCCATATCTAGAGTAACCACTTGGTGAACTTGAAGTACCGTCTTGCGAAGACGGCGATGAAGGAGTAGGTGATGATGACACGGAGTAGCTGAAAAGCGGGGGATGATCAATGAGAGCCGCCGCAAATACTTCGGCGGAAGCGATGACACGTCGTTCGGATGAGGTGTAAATCTACGCAACGAGGCTTTAGTATGCCATTGGTTGGTGATCCGGATGGAAAGTACCTTGACATTTTGAAGAGCTTCTTTGTCTGTGTGACAGAAAAATTATGAAATTCGACCCATAGGATATAGGCGACTTACTCATGATGGAAAGGTCTTTCTTCATGTACTCTCCCAGATCTCGGGACTGGTATCTCGCCGAATGTGTGAACTAGATAAGTCCGAATTAATGGTGGAGCTAATTGCAAACTTGGATCACACTACCTCACCGCCCCATTTGAATACTAGGGTCAACTTCGTCAGCCTCCGGGCCTGACCTGCCTGCCGTTTCGAATAGACGGGTTTTAGCTGAGCCTTCGTTCCCGGAAGATCGATCTTGCTAAAAAGGGCGTTGTTGAGCTGGGTCAGTTTCGCAAGATCTTCACCACAAGCCCCAAGAGCTTTGGCCTCCTCTACTGCACGAGCGACCAAATTTAGTTGATCTCTCTCTCTGAGAATAATCTCTTCCTTTTCTCCGTTTAGCAATTTGACGAAGGGTTGGGTCCAGGGGTCGCCAATGGGGAAGTTAAACTTCAGTTTTTGCTTGGGTGTACGATCGGCATGGCGGAAAACAGTCACGTTTGCCTTCAAGCGCCAAGTGAAGGAATCTTGGGGTGCGGTTTCCGCTGCCGGCAGAGGACGACCCGACGACGCGGATACACGCATACAAAGAGAGGCAAGGATCTCAGCAGCCTTATCTGCGGGTGAGGAAATTATCAGTCCGACTGCAGAGCGACAACCAGATTTCTAACCGTAGTAAGATTCGTTTCCTTTGACAAAACTCCAACCATTCACGTCTATCACTTTGCACTTCTTGCCTCTGTCACACCGTAGCATGTCGAACCCGCATACGCTCTGTCCAAATGCTTGACAAATTTTTGCTGCGTAAGACTTCTCCAACTCGCTGAGGTGGGTGATAAACCTGAAGAAACGTTGAGCATGAATGGTCACACGACCTAGATGAACCGTGCCTCATCTCTTTCCCCTCTGTGTTTCGGCGGACGACGCCATCCACAACTGGGGACCTTCGGGTCTCTGCATGAAAGTAGTCAGTGCCCACAGTATACACCTTGATATCCTCCGCGTTGTCGACTTCAATGAATTCCTCGTATATGTAGGAGCCATCAGTTCGGGGGTGGTTCAGGCTGGGATCGAAGTCACTTGACTTGTTCCCGACCTAAACTGGAATGGGTACGGAAATAACAAGGTTTCGGGGAATCACATACCTTCCTGAATAAGCGACGGCCACCGCCGCCAGGGAAGTAAATGTACACGTTGTGGTCTTCACCGCTGACAGGTTTTTCCACAAAAGGCTTTTCCAGGACCTTGCCATCAATGATAATGGCATTCCCGTCCTCACGCAGGGACACCTCAGGGGTCACACGGAAGCCGCCAAGCTCCACGCCGAGTTTACTTTTCATCAGACGCTTCAGTTCTTCATCTACCTGTGGGCCACCGTCCCTCGAGACTTCCAGCCGTTTAGGTGTGGGGATTTGGAGGTGGTCCAGCACGGCGCCGACAAGGCGACGGTCCCACAGCAGGGCCTGAGGGGGCAGGTCGTTGATACAAAACGGGTTGCGCAACTTAACGTAAGAGCTAGCTTTATCGAGGGGGAAATCGGTTGAGAAGAATGAAATGAGCACGTCACAGCGTGGCCAATTCTCGACATCTTAAGCAAGTGGCATGAGTGACTTCAACGACGGAACAAAAAGAGGCACTCTGTGCCTACCTTCGTCCAGAATGACCTTGTCGCCAAACACCTTAACTTGGATTGCGCCGCGAGCCCTCTCTACCAGACGAGTAAGGATCTCTCGCATTGCCTTTGACCTCGCTTTGATGTCCATGGCACAGATTCCGAGAACGACAGGACGCCTCGTGGACTCAAAGGTGTGGGCCGTATCGGAGTAGGAGGCAATCGAGGACCGTGAAGACGATCTTGTAAGAACAGAACTCGAACGTCCCGAGGTTCTCTCTGGGGAGTCGGCGGGGATGGACATCCGCGACGGTCGGTGGACATGATCCTGCAAGCTCTGCATCGAAATCTCGGGGAGAAAGAGAGGGGAAACAGAAACTGGTTGCACGGCAGTGCGACGAACTCCAAGCCTTTGAACGTATTAATACAGCAAGCTGTGGTAAGTGGATCTGGCCGCACGCGAGCAGCCCGTTATACTACATAATTACAATCGGTACGCCGGGATGACAGACATCAAAACCGGCAACTCTCGGTCCGCTTCCCGATTATCCGATGACCGAAGCACAAGCACATTACCCACATGGACACAGCAATTGGCCGTGCGTTATGACTTGCAATCCCTCGGATGCAGGTTCGGAGCACCTTCAGGTCCCGTTGAGAACGTACAAGGGGGGCTCGCACGACACAGGCCAAACTCTGACCGGGACCCCTTATATTCCATTCTAGGCCGAGGAATTCGTGCGCCACCGGACATCATCATCACGTCGGGGTAGAGGCTCATTACGTCTGCCACCACAGTGTTCAAGCGCTCATCCCTGTCGAATCCACACTAGGGACCAGGTGTGTCTCGCCAAGACCTTCGTTCACAACGTTATCTCCGCGTCAGGATACCCTCCCTGCACTTCAGCTGCCTTGGCAACAGCCCACTGCGATCGATATATCCATCGTGCACCACGCAATTAGTGTTCAGCACTATCATCTATCTTTGAGATATTCTATCCTTGCGACGCGACCATTTGATCCGATCCCCTGCGAAAACGGTGCTATAGTAGACGACGTAATCAATCAATCAAATAACAATGACACACCCCTTATAACTAATAGCTGAATGCAGTTGTAGGTGAGTACTGGCCGCACCAGAGGCGGGGATTGCAATATAGAGCGCCCTCCTTCATCTCGTTATCACTTAAACCATGAAGTCTAGCTGTCCTTGATAGATTACAAATTATTGCATTACTGTAGCATACTTTCCGGTACGTATCTGTGTAAGCCCCACCGCCATTGTTATGTTTGCTTATGCTGCTGCAGAAGCTGTTGATCTTTCTTTGCGCGATAAAAGTCCGAGAATGACAATCGAATGCCAAGGAAGCGACAGTCCAAGTCAGGGTGGCTCTGAAGGGTGTGGACAATGGACAAAGCAAGATCACTGAAAGTGGTACTGTATTCCTTAACAAGATTGCGCATCTGAGAAAGTGTCGGCAGACCAATTTGTTGCTGGGTCGGGATGGTGTAGATGCCCTAATTATCCGAGTCAATGAATTTTGAGATGAGAAAGGCACGGAACGTACTCTGTCCGCATCTCTGGTTTGATCCCTCCTTGCAGTTTCGGCAAGACAATAGTGGTAAAAGTTATCCTATGCGGAATCAAGATTCGTGGTAATTGCCGCCACATGCAACGCACCGTAGCCTCACGGAACTGCAAGACGGTGGAGAAAAGCTCTTGAACCTGTGTTAAGAGTGCTTCCTGACACGGAAAAAGTGAACAGGGCAATTTGATTGTAGCTGTAGAACTCACCTCCTTTCCAGATTTCGGGCTCAGAAGCAGGACCTTCCTCACCATCCTATCGAGGTACGAGCGATGAGCCTCGATTATAGCATCGAGATCCCCTTCCGGTTCATGGAAAAACTCCATCAGAGATGTCCACGAACATTCTATCACTTCTATATGACAGTAGGCCAGCATTTGGCGGACAAAGTGGATCATCTCTGCCATAACAATACGAATCTGGTGCCAGTCATACTCAAAGTCTATAACTCCGTGTGTTCAAATATGGCTGATCATCACGACACTTAGGCGTCAACGTACCATGCAACTTCAAAAAAGTCCTAGATGCACCCGCAACGCGCATCCATCCTTGACTAAGAGCACTTTCAACCCTCTTCATCCTCCAAAGGTGACGAAAGAGCTTGAGATACTTGACCATCGAGTCGGGATCTAATATCGTATCGATAGGGGCGTCGACTTTGTACTCCAGAGTGAAAACGTCCCAGCCGATTTCGCCGTGAGAATACTCGAGCATGCGTGCGTCCAAACGTCGCAACACATCCGGGGGGTCGTTTTGTGCATTTGACGTTCGAATAGCGGTTTCAAGTGTTGCAGTGAGGTTGTGACGGTACAGAGTGTTTGCAGGGCGGGTGAGATTCGACCTGCAAGAGGAAGAGTGAGTACGCGTGAATGGCCACGGACAGAAGTTTGTACTGGCCCAAGAGTCTCCATGAGCTGCTCTGCAAAGTCCCCGTGACCGAGTAAGAGGTAATGTTTCAGTGCGAGCAGGTGATCCAGTAGCTTGAATTTTTCAATAAAAATCTCGAAAAGACGTTTGCTGGCCGTCGAGTACGCTGAGTCGATTGAACGCTCCAGTCCGACGATATCGCTATATTTCAGGGCTGTGGGACTCAGTTTCGAGGTGAAATATTAAATGTATCACGCTCACTTCCCCCCGTATTGCTCATCTTCTCCCTTGTTGCAACCCAGTCACTATCATGGCAGCTGTAGCGAATAAAATTCAAGCTTTTTCCGGTGGAAAATATCTGTCAGAGCTGTGAGTTTTTATATCCGCAAGCGCACCATAATTGTCACCTTCTTCCCAAACGCTTCTCCAACGAACAAGGGCAGCATATCCACTCTAAACTGGTACTTCGCCTCCCACAGCCGAAGCCCTCCTTCACGTTCAGTCGACATGTCATCTGTCTCGCCACCGAGTGCACTAAACACGCCATCGACTCCACCAGCCAAAGAGGAGGGGTGGAGGAGGTACTGCACGTGAGCAAGCTCGGGATTGACAGCAACGAAAAATTCATTGTATGGGTCGTAAAGCTCTCCCGAAAACAGCCATTTATGAAGGGTGGAGAAAAAAGGCTGGGACACCTGTAAGGAGTGACAGGGAGCCTAAAAATGGGAGTCATCTCGACGGCACAAAACCCACCTCTTCCAGGAGTTGGTCGGTGAATTTCCGTATGAAAGGGTCACCGTTGTCCGTGTAACTGTGGATGAGATTAACCAAGGCACCCCCATGAGCCTCTGGTGGGAGAATTCAATCCAACTCTGCTGGGTTAAACAATAACCTACCACGAGCACCCTCAACACAAACACTCATCATTCGCATTCGCAGCCTCCACTCGGTGATCCAAACATCCAAACGTTTCAATGTTAGTCCAGTCTCTTCATCCTTGACGCTCTCATGTCCGTCGGCACTGCGGGCCGTGGCAGTGGATATTTGTGACTCCAAAACGGCGATGAGACGGTAGTACTCTGTCAACTGAGCCTGAAGGTGGTGACATAAACTCTGTTCGATCATTCCGACACCAGATCGTCCTTTGCGATCACTAACGAAAGCGTCGACGCGAGAATAAAGGTGGCCAACTTCGGCAAGCCTATGTATCAATGATTTGACTGGCGTCGAAATGACACATCTCTGACCTAGGCTTCAGGAGAGATGAAACAATAAGAAAAGACGGCCCACAGTATCATCTGCAAATATCAACTTGCTTTGGTCGTCTTGATCTGAAGTAGACAGTTGGATGTATTTTCCAGAAATTCCTTGAAGGAGATATAAAGTGTCTTTGATAAGGAAATTCTCTGAAAGATGCGAGTGACCTTGTTTCCATGTGTCAAAGGCGTGACGAACGGGATAGGCAGGGCAATACCTGTGCGCGCACGGTACTCCTGCAAAAGCTCTGCCTTTGACTTCCCTTTTTTGGAGCGTGGAGGCAGCTGAGAATCGGAAATAGGTGAAATAGACCGAACCGTGTTTTGCGGAGGGCGAAGGGAGGCAAGAAAATCGCTAGCTGGCACATGCTGATTCGGACGAGGAGACGATGCAAGGGCAAGTAGAAATACCAATGCATCGTGCTTACGCGTTAGAACCGGCTAAGAAGGAGGTCAGGTGGCTATCCCGCTAGACTTTACATGACATTACTTGATCCAGGAGCCGGGACAATAGGTTGGTAAACCTGAGAGATGCACTATTTGGCGATGCTGACTGAAGAACTATAAGGTGTGGTAAGGGAATGACTCCCTGGCTACAGAATGGGACTGACGCCGTTTCTTTATCAACGCGGAGAGGTGGCCGATGTCATTCTCGTGCGTTTGGCCGATGTGACTGTACGACGCGTCAATAAACACGTTGTGAGGCTGGTCAATGGGCATGAAACCTAATAAGGATTTCCTCGCAATGGACCAGAAGCTCGTCTCTTAGCTTTGGATCATTTCTTGACTGTGGTACTAGCGTTGAAACGAGCGCATCGAGCGAGGAGGAGACGTCCGGCATTATCACTAGGTATGTACTCTGCACATTAATCCGAGGATGCATAGTACCAGTCACGTGCTGGAATTGCTTATATAATCCTATCTAGTGCCCACGTCCTCAGTGACGTCCAAGCTCGCGGCCAGAGACGCCGTCAAATCACAAGTTGCGGCAGTCACACAGGGTCGTTTTTATTTCGTTGACGACTTTTATGAGTTCAGCTACGCCATGGAACGCTCAAATTCGATATCCTCGCTAGCATCCAACGGATCCACGAGATCGAGGGATTCCTCGAGTCCATTCGCATACCAAACACGACTTCTGGAAGGCACTTCACCCAGGAGTAGTTTCGGTGTCCTTTCACGGAACAATTCATTGGCCTCTAGGCCATCTCCTTTGGCGGCAGACGCCGCAGTGTTATCTGGGTCCAGGAGATGGGCACCTTCTCATCGTGCCGGAAGTAGCATTGATACAGTGCGCGGCAAATGGGAGGAGCGTGCAAGAGCTGAAGCTGCTCTTGAAGGGCGTCGGTCGACCAGTCCTAATAAGGAGAGACCGAGAGGCGATTCTTTAGATTCGAGGGTTGCTGCACAACATCACTCAGAATCCGTCCCTTCTTCCAGCAGACCTTCGAGTCAGACGGTCCAACTACCTTCTCAGACCACTCCGACTCATTTGAAACGACATACTCTTTCAACCAACATCGTCACGAAATCGTCGTCGCCTGATGCAACTGGCCCTTCGACACAGAATCCTGAGACACCTACTCAATCCCAGGTATACTCAACCCTCCACCGTGCCCAATTGACCGCTTCTACGCCCGACACCACATGGAACGCCCCTTCACAACGACTTCGTCGCTCTAATACCCTTGATAACTCAGTATCTCCTCATGCTGCAGCGCGACACGCGCTGGACAGAGTGTCCGAGCCGTCTTCCTCGCCCCCAATTACACCACCGAGTATGCAGTCGAGACCGTTCCCCACGCTGTCGCATCGACCTCGACCAGCTTCTCTATACGATTCCCCATACTCAGTATCCTCTCCTCCGGAAAAGGGACGCCATAAGCCTTCAAGTAGTCCGGATCTTAACGTCAGCCCTTCGCGATCACTAGAGCAGTCTTTATTTCGCAACCAGACTTCCGCTGCTTCACCATCGCCGTCTTCGTCTGTGATGTCTCCGCCACCCTACAGGAGTTCATATATGATAAATAAGAAGGCGTCAACCTACGGTCCTCTGGGGGGCAGAAGGAAACTTGGTCGACATCTCCCTCGCATAGCGAGTGGAGACGTGGATGAAAACTTAGAAGAAGAGAACGACAAAGCGAAAGTCTTGGGCGTTGGGCCTGATCCACCAGGACAAACGACCTACCGTCGTCATGATGATCCTCCGCTGTTTCCAACACTACAGGATGGGTCCGTGCAGGGGGTGCCAAGCACAGATGACGTTGCTGGAATTCCCGGTCGTCTGCGGCTATCTAGAGACAAATTACCGAGCACGCCTGCGTCTCCCATGCCGTCCTCGCATCTGACACGCGGCCTTTGGGCAGACACCCAGAGGCACCTCCTGCAGGCTTACGAATATCTTTGTCACATTGGGGAGGCACAACAATGGATAGAGGGGTGTCTCGGCGAAGAGCTTGGGTTTGGAGTGGTGGAGATGGAAGAGAAACTTCGCAATGGGGTGGCACTTGCCAAGCTCGCCAGGGCTTTCCAGGGGGGACGTGTCGTCCGACGTATATATGAGGTATCTTCGTTGCGGATACCTGTTCTGTGTTTTTTACTTACTGCCAAAAGGCTCCCAAATTGGACTTCCGGCATTCAGATAACATCAACTACTTTTTTGCCTTTGTGAGAGAAGTCGCACTTCCCGAAGTAAGTCGACTTATCTCAAGTGTCGAACATCAGGCCAATGTTCTTTCAGTGTTTCATTTTCGAACTCACCGATCTATACGAGAAGAAGAATATCCCGAAAGTCATTTATTGTATACATGCCCTCAGGTAAGGCTGCTGGAGCTTTCCCTGTCCGAACTAATTTTGCGGTAGTCATCTTCTTGCTCGAAGGGGTCTTGCACAACGTATAGGCAACTTAGTGGGGCAGTTGCAATTCTCCGACGACCAGTTGCAGCAGACTCAGAAAGGCCTTAATGACGCCGGCATCACTATGCCCAACTTTGGGGACGTTGGACGCGAACTTGCCAAAGAAATTAATGAAGATCCGGAAGTCGAAATTGAAACGGAGGAAGAACGTTCGTACTGTGCGATGTCCTGGAATCTTCACTTAATTTGGTTCCGACAGGCTGCGATCGGTTGCTGGCGGAAAACGAAGAGTCTATTTGTGCAGTGCAGTGCTTTGCCCGCGGCTTCCTTATCCGCAAAGCATACGCGACACAGTGCGCTCGTGTTCGACTCGCCGAACGGTACGTTCTGAAAGTTCAAGCCCATTGTCGTGGCGTACTCGCTCGCCGGGATGTATCACACATCCGTAAGGCTGCTACGGACCTTACGCCTTGGGTGATTAGCCTGCAATCCCTCGTACGTGGTCACACGAAACGACAACGCTGGCTTAGTTTCTTGTCCCAACTCCGAACACATGTTGGTTACGTCGTTTCCGTTCAAGCACAGGCCCGTGGTGTCCTCCAGCGCAGGCGGTTGTCCTCTCTCAAGATGGCGTTAAGGCGCACGAGCCAAATCTTTATGCAATTCCAGGCTTCGGCCCGTGCCAAGATTACAAGGCAAGGCGTGAAGGAATTGTCAAAGACGTTCGGATCCCCTGAGATAGCACCTTCTGTGATTGCAGTACAAGCAGCCGCCCGTGGACTTCTGCGAAGGGCCACTATATTGAAGCATTTAAGATTGCTAGGTGCCAACGAGCACAGTATTCTCGATCTACAAGCCCAATGCAGGGGTGTACTCGTTCGCAGGCGGATACGAACACAGCTCGCAAAACTAGTCGATGTCTCGTCTACGGTTGTTCGCATACAAGCTGCCGCTAGGACATACATGGCCCGGAAGCGTCTGTTGGCACTCATACGTGGGCTCCGCCGAGCAACACCTGCGATCATAGGTCTTCAGGCTCGGGCTCGAGCAGGCCTCGCGCGTCAATACCATCAGAACGTAAACAAGGCGTTATCGGAGATCAAACTTGTCATCTCTGTTGGCAGTTTCCAGGCTCGGGCTCGTGCTGCCCTTGCACGCAACCGCCACCGGGAGCAGCAGAAATGCCTCGAGTTTGTAGTGCCCGACGTGACAGGTATGCAGGCCGCGACTAGGGGTTACTTGGTGCGGAGGGAATATATCGCATGGCGCACTCATCTTTGGAAGAGCCAACCAGTCGCGACAATGCTTCAGGCTCTATTGCGTGGCGCGCTTCAACGACTGAAGTTCCGTGCTAAAATAGATTACTACCGCTCTCACTTGGACAAAGTTGTGAAGGTGCAATCCTTGTTCCGCGCCAAGGAAACTCGCGAACAATACCGGCAGCTCACGTTGGGCAGGAACGTCACCGTTGGTACCATCAAAAACTTCGTCCATTTATTGGATGATTCAGAGGCAGACTTCCAAGATGAGATTAAGGTTGAAAGGCTGAGGAAGAAGGTGGTTGAAAGCATCCGAGAAAACCAGGCACTTGAGAACGATGTAAGCGACCTGGATGTCAAGATTGCGTTGGTCGTCCAGAATGTCAAGTCATTCGAGGAGCTGGTCAAAGCGCGGCGCAAGTACGGTGCCGATAACGTAGCAGCGCATGCTACTCGTGCTTCCATCTTGGCTGCCCACGGAGACCCATTTGCTGGGCCTAACACACTGGACCATGCTGCCAAGCGGAAGCTCGAACTTTATCAACAACTTTTCTACCTCCTGCAGACGAATGGAGAGTATCTGAGCAGGCTCTTTGTGGAACTCACTAACGACGACTCGGCTGAAAAACACAGGCCGCTGGCGGAACGGGTAGCTTTGACACTTTTTGGGTATGGTCAGGATAGACGGGAGGATTATCTACTCTTGAAATTACTTCAGGTATTCCCGGACTTTTGGGAGTTGTTCGTATTTCTGACATGTTCTTTCTTAGCTATGCATACGTCAAGAAATAGCGTCTGCTCAGACTGTCGAAGATGCCATCCACGGTCACCCAATTTATATAAGCATAGCCGTTCAATACCTTCGTCCCAAACAGGTGCCTTATGTCCGGGAAACAGTGCAACCGATTATACGCGAATTAATTGAAGCAGTAGATCTTGATCTCGAGTCGGATCCTTCGATAGTGCGTCCCGGGCTCTGACTGTGATTACACTCGATCATGGCCTGTTGCAGATACACCGATCTAGGGTAGCCATCGAAGAAATGCGCTCGGGTGTCCCCAGCAACAAACCTAAAGATGTTCCTTTCTACGAAGCATTGGAAGATCCTGATACGAGAGCCGAGTACATCAGACGTACGTCTGGCAAAGACCTTTTCAAGTTTCCGCCCGAATGAATACCTTCATCATCACAGATTTGCAAAAGTTACAGTGGTGGAGCGAAGCTTTCATGTCTGCCATTCTCCAGTCGGCGAAGAGAGTACCATACGGAATGCGTTTCATTGCTCGCGAGACGCTAGCTTCACTACGAGTGCGTAACTTGTGTACTTCCGTCATATGCCTCATGTTGTCGTTAGGAACGATTCCCAGATGCCCGTGACACGGCGTACGCAGCGTGTATTGCCAGACTGGTCTACTACCGGTATCTTAACCCAGCAATCATGTGTGTTACCTTTGATTTGTGCCGCTTAAATACCTGATCCCTCGACTAACTTGACCAAGTGCTCCGGAGACATTCGATATAGTTACCACCACAATTGATGTAGCCACGAGGAAAAATTTGGCCCAAATCTCGCAAGTTCTCACTCAAATCGCTTCTGGCTCTGAGTTTAGTGAGGATTCACCGAGATACTTACCCATCAACGAAATGGTTCGCAAATCTATTTCTCAAATGACTGCATGGATGCTGCAGCGTAAGTGCTTGTTTTCATCACATGGTGGTCTTCACATTTCCTACTGTTGTGTTTCTAGTTGCCGAGGTGCCGGACGCCGAAGCTCACTACCATGCCCACGAATTCCTGGACGTAACCGTACAACCTAAGCCTATCTATATATCCCCCAACGAGGTATACGCCATGCATGGGTTGCTGTCGAAGTATCAGGATCAATTGGTCTGTATTGACTTCGGGACGTGACTGCTTTACTCAATTTCCTTGCTGCAGTCTCCCTCCCGCGAGGATGCACTTCGAGTCATTCTGCAAGAGCTGAATGGCGTCCCTAACATTGAAAATGACGAACTCAAGGATGCCCGAGACAAAGCCATCACACTGGAGCTGACAAATAGATTTGCCCGAGTTCGTGGTCCGTCGGTCTAGTGGTGACGTGATAAAAAAAACCTTCTGATCCCTGTTTTAGATCCCCAAGCAGACGAGAAGGCACTCTGGGTTCAAGCCAAACGTGGAGTCCTGGCTATTCTTCGCGTTCAACCCGCTCAGGATCTGGTCGAATCCCTCATGAAACCTGTCACCGAACCTGAAGAACTCCGCTGGGAGGCGATCATTGCTGACATGGATAACGAGCCCGCTAATCGGCGCATGCCATCTACCTCAGGGGACGCTGGGTATAGGCTGGAGGACATTCGTTTGTGAGTCAAGCCGCTATGGCATTGACGTCCTCCAAGTTTTCCTGAACAAGTTCAGATTGCAATTCAAGGAGGTCAAAGCTCACACAATCTTTTATCTGCTTGAACTTGAAAAGCGGGGCAAAATTATGCGCGACGATGGCTTCCAGGGAATTCTCGATGCCATTGCTAGTGACATACGCAGTAAGCACCGCAAGCGTCTGCAACGTCAACAGGAAGTGGATAGCATGATGGATGCCTTGAAACATCTCAATGAACGCAAGAAGTACTTCCAAGAACAGATCGACAGCTATCACAATTATGTTGAAGGTGCAATGGCAACAATGCAGCGGGGCAAAGGGTAATTAATTGCATTCTTATTTCTATGCCTTAAGATAAGGGACTGATAGCTGATCGTTCAGGAAGAAGCGGTTTGTCTTACCATTCACCAAGCAATATTTCCACCTTCGTGACCTCCAGAAGTCCGGCAAGAGCCCTCAGTTCGGTTCATTCAGATATAGCGCCAAGGACCTGTACGAAAAAGGGATTCTTCTCTCTGTTGACCAGTTCTCTCCCCGTCAATTTGATAAACTAGACGTTATCATCTCGTCAAATAAAGCCGGCATCTTTACTATGGAAGTGATCAACAACGCCTTGGGCATCTCAAACCGCATTGCAACTGCAGACCTCCGCATGGAGGATTTGCTGCAAGCTCAGTTTGAAAACCGGGCATCACTTTCGCTTTTCAATGGAATGGTTAAAGTCAATCTTAGCCTTCTCTTGTACCAGATCAATAAGAAGTGAGTTGACCTGCCAGTTGTTTAGACACTGACGCTCACCCTCACATGGCAACGTCAGATTTTATGTCTGAAGATCTGACCGCCCATCCCGGATCACCGAGGACATCTTGCTCTATCAAATTTCTGTTACTAGGAGTTTCATAATTACTTAGGATATCGTAGCATTGTCTTTGCTTTACCTTTTGCCAACTACTCTGTAACGATAGGTTTTTCGACATGCATCTTAGATTTGCTCGAGTGTAACTTGGCCTCTGGGCACGTGACACGCTCTAATTGACGTTGGTGAGTGCACTGCGAAAGTGATTGAGCACACAACATGGCTAACCTCGGTCCACCTCCGCTGCCTCCTGGTTGGACAGAGCACGTAGGTAGGATGTCAATTGGCCTTCTTGGGACAGATCTTTACACTAAGATTAGGTCCGGGAGGGCAACACTACTATTACCACGCTGCCAGTCAACAATCCACCTACATAAGGCCTCTTCCATCCTTCTCGCCCTTCCCTACGACACCCGCCATAGCCGAAGCAGGGAGGAAAAAGAAGGAAAGGCCACTGGTCAAGACTCTTATCCCCGGAACCGAATGGCTTAGAGTGAAGACCACTGAGGGTAATACCTTTTACACCCATAAGGGGAGAAAGGAAAGCCATTGGGTGGTACCAGAGGAAATTCGGGCCGCTGTGGAAGCCCTTGAACGCGCAGAGTTGCATGGGGCGGAACAAGCACAGTTACAGCAACAATATGTAAGTGGTACAGAAGCTGAGCTTCTCCAGCAAGAGCAGCACACGGAAGTGGAACGCATCAAGGTGGAGTTGGCAGGAACCTTCAAACGGAAACCAGAAGAGCCTACCCCCTTGGAGGAGGTCATCATTACCAAGCGTCCTCGGACAGAGGAAGGGAAGGAATCCGATGATGAGGATGCAGAAGATGAGGATGACCCAGAGGATGAGGAGTGGAGCAAGGAGGGAGCAGTTCATCTGGTTGCTGAAGCTGCGGAGAAAGAGATGATGGAAGCAAGTCCAGCTGTTACGGAGACGGAGGAGATGGGGGCGAAGAAGGTCAGGGGAAAGCCCCAACTCAACATACCGGACCGTGTGGACCTCTCATTGGGCGAGGCAAAGGCGCTTTTTAAAGTGCGTATCACGTATCATCAAAGATATTTGTGGATTCACTGCAAGAACAGACACTGCTTCGAGAGAAAGATATTAACCCGCTCCATCCCTGGGATACATCGCTACCCATTTTTGTATCTGACCCACGCTATGTTCTTCTTCCTTCTGTGTCTGCTCGCCGCGAGGCCTTCGATGAATACTGCCGAGATCGAGCCCGCGAGCTCAGGCAGCAAAACGTTAAGAAAGGGAAAGCGGAAGCCAACCCTAAGGAAGAGTTTGAGAGCTTACTTGCTGAAGAAGTAAAGAGTACTAAATCTTCCTGGACCGATTTTCGACGAGCCTGGAAAAAAGATAGACGTTTCTACGGGTGGGGAAGGGATGATCGAGAACGTGAAAAGAGATTCAAGGAGTTCTTGCGAGAGCTTGGAGAACGTACGTATCTTCACAGGTCACCGTATACTAGGCGCTAAGGGAGGTTAGGGAAACGTGCTGCCGCTGAGAAAGCGGAAGCTGGCTTTTTCTCACTCCTTCGAGAAAGCGGGTTACCTCAACCTGATTCACTTTGGAAGGACGTGAGTATTCCGTTCTCTTTGCTCCAGTCTTGCTCAGCCAGTCAAGGTAAAACGCGAACTCAGTCACGATCCGCGATACGACGCCGTCGGATCGTCTTCGCTGCGAGAAGAACTCTTCAACACCTTCATCAAGGCAAGATTGCCATCCGTTACGGACAAGAAGTCTGATACCAAGGACAACGAAGAGGTGTCGAGAGCCGTTAAGACCAACGAAAAAGAAGCTCAGCTCAGAAGGTCGGAGAGGAAGGAACGTGCACTAAAAGAGCGTGAAGAAAAAGTGCGTGCAGACCGTGGCCGTGTGGAGGCAGAGATAGGGCGTTCGCGTGTCGGTCTGGATAAAGAGGAGGGTGAACGGGAATTTTGGTGAACCAATTCGCGATTCTGTGTTCTGTTTAATGCAAGCACTGAACACTTTATTTCCCCTTTGCAGTACTTTATTGACCGACGCTATCCGTGATCCGCAGGTACGCTAACTTCGTGTACCTGCTACCCGTGTAGATGCTTATGGTCCATCTTCTAGCTGACTTGGGAAGCCGCCCTCCCAGAACTTCAAACCGACCCTCGATTTACTCACTCAACGCTTTCTGCTGACCGGCAATTGCGTATATTTCACTCACATATGAGCCAACTTCGTGCAAAACATCTAAGCAATCTACATGCGTTGTTCGAGTCACATACACCGTCCCTGGCCACCGTTTTCTCTATGCTCCCTGTCGAGTCGTTGAGCAAGGCATTGCCGGCTACGAAACTCGGCCTTGATGTTATCGACCTTGAGAGGGAGTTTGAGAAGTGGCAAAGGGAAAGGACTCATGAAGCTCGAAAAGCTTTTGATGATATGCTTTCAGAAAATGCTTTCGTCGACTTCTGGGGAAGGTTGGGTAAGCTGGGTGGTGAAGGCACCGATGGGGGCGTAAAGGCCGATGATCTCGGTGAAGGAGAAGGCGAGGGTTTTGGCGGGACGGTTGACATGAAAGCCCTGGCAAAGAACGTTGATCTGGGCGAGGTAGTGAAAGTTCTGAAGGTAGATGTCTTTATGACGTGCACTGAAGTTGCTTCTGACGGCATCACGCAGAATGATAAACGATACGTTGTTTTCGATCACGTTCCCGAGAAACGGGAGAGATGGATAAGAGTGAGTTAAGCATGCATCGTTTTTGGACATCCTCACATAGTGCATCCCGTATAGAATTACTTGGCTGAACTGCCGCCGCCCAAACTATCATTTCATGTGTAACTTGTGCAATAATATCTCGTCGACCATGTGTGTGTACATTAACAAGTTGGTAATACAATAAGTACCCTCCAAGTAGTCACATGACCGCTCTTTGACACGTCAGCCTATAAAGCCTCATCTTGAGAGTGCACTTGGTGCATTCGTTGTTAAGTTATACCTATTGTCCTGGAAGTCCAGTAATGCGTCTTCTGCGCCAGCTGGTGCTGACATTCATTGCCATTTTTCCCCTGGCATTCGGCCAGGACGCAAGTACCATCCCTACTATTAAGCATAGTTACCAGGTACGGGCTGCTTCCGACAAAGTACTGCTGTATTAAACTTTCCCTGCTTCCAGAGTGACGTCGTCCGTCTGCGGAAGATTGTTATCAATAGGTTTGCAACTCATTGGTTCTCTCGCGTTCACTCACGCTCAATCGTTTTGTAGTCTCTATTCCAACAGGTACTGTTATATTAGAGTCGCGTTCAATACCCTTATTCATGGAAAGTTAGAGACGTTTTCCTCCGAGAACTCATCTCTAATGCCAATGACGCGCTGGAGAAGCTTCGAATAGTTTCCCTCACGGAGAAGGGGGTGTGGGATGGCACATCACCCTTGAATGTTACTGTCAAAGCCGAACGTGATGTAATTGGAAGGGGAGGGCGCATTATCATAACTGGCAAGTGTGCCGGTGTATACCCTTCATTAGGAAGCTAACGAAGAGCCCCAGACACTGGTATCGGCATGAATGGGGAAGAACTTGCCACCAATCTAGTATGCAATGCCATTTATTTCCACATCGACATCGACGAGTGCTGAACATTTTGTAGGGTACTCTGGCCAAATCAGGAACGTCGGACTTCCTTGCAAGGATGGAGGGAGAGGAGAGTTCCGCTAATAGCAATCTCATTGGTGCTTTTGGAGTCGGCTTTTACAGCAGGTATAGCTACCAGGGTCTGTGGTTCTGCATTTACTTATGCTGATCATATACAGTTTCCTTGTCGCAGACAAAGTCACTGTAGCTTCCCTTCCACCAAAGTCCTCCAGTAACCCAAATCCTGTTCAGAGCGTTTTCAGTTCGACTGCCGACGAGAGTTCCTTCGAAATATACTCTGATCCGCGTGGAAACACTCTTGGACATGGCACAGAGATTACTCTAGAGTTGAAGGCGGACGCTTTAGACTATCTTGCTCCTTCTAATCTCATGAAACTTGTGTTCGAGTTCCTCTTCACTACAATAACCTGATCTTCTGACTTGTAAAACAGCCACCACCACTCTTCCTTTTCGACTGCATTCCCGATTTATATCTGGAATGAAGTCGAGGAGGACGTTCCTGTGGAACAAGACATTGGAGGAGTTGGCGAGGATGGACCACAAGATGAGGGGGAGGCTATCGTTGAGGATGCCATGCCAGCGGATTCAGTGCCCGACACAAAAAAGGTCCTTGTTGGCAGGTGGGAGCACATAAACTCGCAGCCTCCACTTTGGATGCGGTATGTATTAGCAAACTCATGCCGTTAAGGAGAGGCCAATCATGAACTTTGAGTAGTGATCCGAAGACTGTATCGGATGAAGAATACCATCTGTTGTACCAAGCCACGTTCAAGGACTTCCGGAAGCCCCTGGCGTGGAGCCACTTTACTGGTGATTCGGGCTCTGGCGTTTCGTTCCGCGCTATTGTTTATGTCCCTTCCTATCTGTGAGTGAATTTCTGTTGGTGGCTGCTTGAGAACTTAACTGGTGGCAGTGATGAGACTTTCTTCTCTAAACCTTTAGAGTCGAGTTCGAGAGATGTCAAACTATTGGTTAAACATGTGTTCATCACCTCCGACCTTGGTGCATATGGTTTGCCCAAATGGGCCAGCTGGGTCCGCGTTATTATTGATGGTATGTCCACATGTTCCTCACGAGCGACAGAAAGCTGATGCACCTTTAGCGGAAGATCTTCCGTTGAATGTTTCTCGCGAGATGCTACAGTCAAGTGCCTTTCTGAAGCAAATTAGGGGTATCATAATTCGCCGTCTGATTCAACTCTTCACGAAAATATCGGAAGAGGATCCCGAGAAATTTGCTGAGATTTCCAAGGTGTATCGTACTGTCCTCAAACTTGGCGCAGCGGAAGACGAGAAAAACCGCGGAAAGATTGTACCACTTTTGCGCTTCGATAGCAACCAGCGGAATGCGACCTCGTTGGATGATGTAAGTTGTTCTGTCAGAATGAGACTTCAGCAATTTTAATTGTCATTTAGTACATCAAGAACAAGAAACAGGGACAAAAACAGGTAAGCAGACTCTGTCTTGATAAACAATCGTTTATGCGTTCCGTTAGATTTTTTATCTAGCTGACATGGGAAAACCCGTATCCCACCTCGCCGGTAGTGTCTTTGTCGAGAAACTTGATGCCCGCGGTTACGAAGTACTCCTTCTCAACGAACCATTGGACGAGATTTTAGTACAAACGCTTCGCACCTGGAAGTGAGGGGTTCTGTTCTTGAATAGTTTTCTATACGCATCATACTCATTGACCACAGAGCCTTCAAGTTCCAGGACGTTGCGAAGGCTGGTCTCGACTTCGGAGATGGTGAGGACGCTGCAACAAATGAACGCCATTCTCATCCCTTCCCTGACAGATACTGAAGAAGATAAAGAGGCTATGGCAGAATTGCGAGAGAAATATGCGCCTCTACTTGAGTGGCTGAAAGTTGAAGCTCAAGAGGTTGTCAGAGACGGTGAGCCCCAAGATATAGCAACTTTCTACTCAGTGCTTACGTTGGTATAGTCGTTCTGTCGCATAGACTCGTGACTAGGCCCTTGCGCAGTCGTTGCAGATAACAATGGACTTACGGCCAACATTCAGAAGTTGATAAGTGAGTAGTGAGATTACTACACAAGTAACATTAGCTCAGATCTTCAGGTGCTACAAGTCGTGGCGGGGAACGTGAAGATTTGATGCAGGCAATGATGAAAAAGCAGAAGGTTTTGGAAGTCAACCCGCGCTCCCCCCTAATCGAAGGACTCCTCCGCCGCGTTGAAACAACCGCTGGTGATGATGAAGACACGAACCGTGACTTGGAAGAATTGAGAGAAGTGGCATCGATCCTCATTGACAGTGCCCTTGTCCGCTCTGGTTTTGAGGTCGCGGACTCCAACAAGTAAGGCTCTGATTATAGTAAGCTCGCCTTGATCATGTCTGAAGTGTTGACATTAGGTTCCTTTCCCGGGTGGATCGTGTATTGAGGCGTTCATTAGGCGTGTCCGAAACTGCGCCCACAGACGACACAGTAAAGCCAGCTCCCCCTGTTGATCCGGAGATACCAGACTGAGGTTTTGGAAGATCATGGGCAAAAGTTCTTCAGCACGCCAGAATGGCTCGAAGAACAAGGGGTTGAAATAGAAGTAGAGGAAATAGATGACCAGGAGAACGCTGTCCATGACGAGTTGTGATGTACTACAGTAATGCCACTTGTCGATATCCGTAGTGGTGAAACGCCAACTCCTGATTTGGTCTATGTCACGTGCTCAGTCTGAGGGGGTGTATATGGCGCCTAGCCGTTGCTAAGCGCACCTGCTTTCGCCTTCGATCCAAGTTAACAGTCTTTATGCGATTGTAGTCGACACCTTCCTTGGACCAACCTTGTTTGGTACGCCATGGTGAAACCAGCACCGTTTTCTCGCCTTCAACTAGCGGCTGCCTTGATAGGTGAGTACGTTCAACGCCTTATATTTTCCCGGCAGTACTCAAACTTGTCATATAGAGTATGACAACGACCCTTCAAATCCTGAAAGTCCCTGTCGTTTCGCACAGGACAGCGCCATCTTTGCTCATCTCCGACGCAATCCGCGCAGGAGTAAGGACTACCTACGCGTTACTGTACCGAGTGAGGCCGGAAGCGATCCGGCCCAGAAGAAGTTGAGAGGGTCATTGGGTGCTCTCCGGAATCCATTTGAATCGGCGGAAGATGACGATGAGGCCCCTGAGAGCGATGGTTTGGAGGTAGATCTAACCTCCTGGGGACTAGACGCCTTCATAGACCGAGATAAGAAAGGCAAAGGCAAAGGAAAGGCGCGTGCAGAAGGATTGCCTAACCCTCATCCTGCCCAGTCACAAGGACAAACTGGTGAGACCACGAAAAGCAGGGGTGTGCGGTCAATGAGTATGGGTACTCTGAACGACTTCGGCGTGGGTGGCGTGTTTCTGGAAGCCGACCAAGGTGGCGGGCCCGACAGTTTTGGGCGTTTTCGCTCGTCGACGGATCTTGAACGCATAGAATTGGTCCAGCCACCTCCACAACGCCGTCGTGCTTCAGTGCATGCTCTAATTGAGGGCCTGCCTGTCCAACCCCCTCTCCACTCGGTACCTTTCCCATCTACCTCTGTACGGTCGTTATCTCCAGGTCCGGAAGAGGTCTTGAGGCCAGGATCGTCACACTTTGATCTACAGGGTGGACATGTGCGCACCCGTTCCAATGTCAGCTGGGGATCTAAAGCCTTGTCAAAGGACTTCAACGAGGGAACCGTCGAACGTTCACCCTCCCCAGATCGAGCCTCTCGCTTTGGCATTAGAACTGATCACGGTCGGACGGTATCAATTGCGAGTGTCGGAAACATGGCTTCAAACAGCGTTTCTGCAGATGACAATCCGTTTTCTGTCCGCCCACCTTCGCCTTCCCGGTCCTCGAGATTTGATCCGAAGGTTCGTAGTCGCCCAGCATCTACCGAGTTAGCTGGCGCTCAGCTTGTCACCGACGAAGTCGAAGTGGACTCTCGTCGCGATCGGCCTTACTCAACTGTGGAGCTCCTTCGACCGAAGATTCTTGTCATGCCCAGTCCTTTACAGACCACCGCTCCCCGTCAGGCTCCGCAGCCGCAACCGCAACTGCAACCAGTTATGAGACCATGTAACGGATTTGTGACGTCCACGGATGGTCCTCCCCTTCCTCCTGGTGCACGGTCCGTGCGCCCAGCTTCTCAGTTGGACCCAAGCGGCCCTCTCGTTGCCTCCAACTCTTTCACGCCCAACCCCCGCGCAAGTCTATCGTTATCTCAGCTTGCTTTCCGTAATACGCTTGTCGTCGGCGGTCAACGAGACATATCTTTTTCTGATATTGACCGTCACCTCCCGCGGGCAGAACGGGAAGGAGAGCAAGTGAAGTTTGACGATGACCAAGAAGAAGAGAAAGAGTCACCTCCCCCTGCGTCAATACCCTTGCCACCCCCTCCTCCACCGACGGAAATCGAATTGAAACGTCCCGCTGGAAAGCTCTATGGTTGGAGCCTGATTGACAACCTCGAACACCGAAAAACTGAGATGAAACAGAAGGCTCGGTATGTCGCGATTTCATTTCGCCTGTGTCTCGCTTACACTTGGCTGCAGAGTCTTCAGAGGTGACGATCGGCCATCTATGATGATACGAGGACAAATGAGACGGTCGAGCACTTTGATTGACCCGGCGACCCTTGGTAGACCTCCCTCCCAAAATCTAGACGCTGTGACCCGGAGCTTGAACAGGCGCGATTCTAATGGACCATTGGTCAACTTGAATGGTGAGAAATTACCAGCCCTTGGTGCTTCCGCGCCAGAAGGGTATCCGCCGAACACTCGCTCTGTCTTTGGTGTCGACACCATATGGGATCGCGAAATGGCTAAGCTTAAGGAAATTGAGGCGCAGGAACAGGCTGAAGCGGAAGAGAGGAGAGTTCTTGAGCAAGCAAGACACAAGAAAAAAAGTGGCAAGTCGAAAACGATGGATAGCAGTGCCTCGGGCAGCGTTCCTTCGCCCGGCTTCCCGGAATCTACCATATCCACCTTGCCTCCTTCACTTCCTCTCATTCAGAATTCAGCCAGTAGCCGGCCGCCTATCCTTCATGAAGGCGAGAGCGACGCGGAAAGCAACGGCGACGTCCCTCTTGGGCGAGTGCTCGGTCAAACAGAGAAAGCTGCGGATCAGTGGGTGGCAGAGTCATCAGACGAAGAAGATGACGGCCCCAGACGGAGAACTGGAGTGGGGCCACGATACCCAGCCAAAACCAAGCTCATTCGACACGTTCCTGCTGGTAGCGAAGACAGTGAAGAAGACCTCCCCCTTGTCGCCATGGCGGCTAGAGCTGCAAGAAGAACTACTCAGCTACCACCACCAAAGCTACTTGATGATGAGGATGAGGATGAGGATAAACCTCTGTCCTCTGTACTCAGTGAAGGCAAATTACGTCTCCAGTCCTATAGTCTTGACGACCTCGCCGTTGGCGGGAAGCAAGACGACGACGACGATCAGCCTCTTGGCCTCCGGGCATCCCGCGTACCAATCGCACCCCTCATACCCCCTACCTCAACTGGCGATAATGAAGACGATGACAAGCCACTTGCATTCCATCCCGAGCAACAGCGGCGTACCCAATATCAGATGCTAGCGCAAATGCAACAGCAGCAACAAATGGCAATGCAGGCTCGGATGGCCAATAGTATTTATTACGGTGCTCCTACGATGATGGGTTCCGGGTTCTTTGGACCACCGATGGCCCCAATGATGATGGGGACCATGCCGATACCCCCTCCTTCTCCACCGCCGCTTCATGATCCCGCTAAATTCGGCCGCGTCGACAGATGGCGACATGATGTTGCTGTCGAGGGCTCCGAATAGCTTGGTTTCTCTGACATCGTAGTTAAGAACCCGTATATTTGCACACCCTCGTTGCTCGGCTCGCGATGGACTATCCACACTAGTTAGTAATAAGTCACTCATTTTAATGCAAGCAGAAAATACACTGGTACCTACACGCTAAACACAAACGTCCACCATAGATCTACTTGATATATACTGTGACACGTTGGAAGACGGATCTGTGGGAGTGGTATCATTATGGTAATGCAGAATTGCGGTAACTTTACTGTACGATCAGTAAAAAGAGGTAGAAAAAGTGGGAAAAATGATGAACGACTAACTACGATGAAAGAAAGACAGTTGCAAGCAAACAAGGCAGGACAGCAGAAAAAGTGCAATGAGGGGCAATCTAAGAGCAACATAGCGTTCACGAAGGGTTGGTGACCCAAAGTCTACGTTTTGGAACAGTGACAATGGAGACTTCTCGCCGTCCCATCTCTTCTTCAATCTGCCGTTGCCGGGTGTCCTCATCAATGTCCTCGTCATCATCATCAGTTTCCACCGAGCGGGGACCCATAAGTGTCATGGAGAAGTCGTCAGGGGCCGCAGCACGATATGGAGGATGATGGAGGTAAGGACCTCGAGCGTCTGTTGGGAACAGATACTGCTCCGTTCCTGCCATCGAGAGGGGTCGGGATCCGGGTGTACTTGGAGGAATGGCTGCGTGAGATGGCTCGGCGCGAAGACGAGTAACCACTGTCGTAAGAAGCGACCTGGCCGGACGGCCATGCCAGGCTAAAACAAAGAGCATGATATAGAATAGAAGAGTCCATATGAGGAACACGACAAAAAACGACTTGGCGCCACGATACCACAAGGCCACCAATGAAAGAATGCAAAGCGCGAGGACAAGAACGTGGAAAAGTATCCGCAAGCACAGCTCCGGAAAGGACGGGAATTCGCAAGTAGGACGAGAAACTGAAGGCAAAAGCATCCCACCGCTTGGTGCATCTGTGGTAATTGGCGTCGAGCCACTCGAAGCTGCAGGTACTCTTGCACCCTGCGGGGTAGCGTCCGGTGAATTCTAGAATAAAATTATTAAATGAGAACAGAAACGAAGATACGGGGTGAATATCAAGGTGACTTGAAAGTAGAACTTGTGCTTACCGTGGCATTGAGACTACGCCGCTGTGCGAACCAATCTATGTCGCCAAAGCTTCGAGGTGTAACAGGCACCCGCTGGTAAGGCTCCATGTTCAGATGAGTGGCGCCGTTGCTACTAGCCCTACGAGTTCGCGCAGGCCGGTTTAAAACTTCGAAGCCACGCTGATGGCCAGTGGACTGCATAGATCCACTGTCAGTGGAAGTTCTACCTTCCGTGCTACGACTCCCTAGCCAAAAACTGGATCCTCCCCACGAATGCAGCCTTGCCCGGTGGGAAGTAGAGGACGAAAAGGGGCGCTGTGTTTGCTGTACAGAAGCTAGTTTTTCAGCGGTGTCCATGGAATTTGCACGGGATGGGGCAACGACAGAGGTGTCCTTGACACCTTTCTTGCGAAGAATGCACGGAATACAGGCCGCCAGAAGGCATAGAACAGGTACCACAACATAAAGACCGACAAATAGCGCAAGACCAGCGATGCTGTGAGATGTGGGCAGTGTTGGGGTTGATGTGGCACGCTTTGTAACAGACATGGTTGACTTGATGGACGTGAAAGAAACAACAAGCCCGACAACACCAAGTCCATACGCCACCACAGTGATGAAAGAGGATATGTAAATGAAGAGTGATTTGGGCTTAGTCAACCGCATAGATGGGAGCGCCAGACGAGTAAGTAGAACTGCAGGAAGTATGAGAGCGACTGAAAGCGGCGCAAAAAGCTTGTGGACAAAAGAAACATCGTAAACCGGCGAGCCTGGAGAGCTTGGAGAGCTTGGAGAGCTGCTAGTCGGTTCCAAAGGTGCGGGCGACATCGTCGGTGTGATGTTGAATGCGCACTGTGTCATATACTGTACAGTTACTCCGGATCCGTCAGCGTTGATACCCGTCTGGAGGGTGCCAGAGGGAGCACCCCAAGAAGCATTTGAGGAAGTGATGGTACCGTTGTAAGCCCTCAAGATCCAAACCTCGTTCAAATAGTTCCCATTCTCGTCCTCACCTCCGAAGACAATAGTGTCCGCGCCAACTTGACGATTACTGCCGACAAGTGCTTGACTATACGATAGTGCAACTGCTCCTTCACGAGGTGAGGGATAAGTAGGGACGCCAGTGGTTCCTGGATCCCCCGCCGGAAGGATTCTGCTCCAGCCGCCGGTCCCAATATCCAGAATCGCCACCTCGCCCTTCTGGAGACCTCCTTGGTCATCCCATTCGGATGAGTTAAATGTACCGAGTAGAAGGAACACCTGTGTCTGGAAATTGGATGATGTGGAAAGGGGATTGAAGGCCATCGCTGCACCATAACGGGGAGCAGGACAAACGGACAAGTCTATCTCACCAGGTGTAGTACTTGCGGAAATAACATATTCGTTGCGGTTGGCACAGTTGTCGTTCGTACCGGTGGTTGTATTACAGCCACTGACGGAAACGATGGAAGACCCAAGGACAGTAGACGCTTGATTGGCACTGTACCCTGGTGTTGATCCGATGATCTGCGTTGTCCAACTGCCGAAAGTATTGTTGACAAGATTCGAAGAAAGAGTTCCGTTGACAGTGAACTCCCAAACATCGGTGAGGGAGAAGAAGGTTGTACCATCTGTGCCGCCCGCCATGTAGAACGTGGTATTGGACGAGGCCGCGTCTGCTTGAACGCGATAGTCTCTACCACCAGAGGCACTCCACCGCGCTTGAGGACTACCCGGAGACATGTTGACCTCTGACCAGAAATTATTGATGTAGTCGAATTCCTGAAGGAAAAAAAAAAATGAGACGCAGAAACGTAAATTGCGGGTAAAGCTTACCCATGCGTCAGATAAGGCTTGTCCTGAGGCGCCTTTCCCACCAATTACGAGGTGAGCATTTCGACTTTAGAAATGATAAGACGAAGGTGAAGGAAAATAGGAAGAGGAGGCCATACTAGCTAGATGAGAAATCATCACCGCTGAGAGCCATATACCGAGCAGGGGGAGAAGATTGAGGTAAGCCTGGTTGAGCAGATGGAGAGGACCACTGATTTGTGGCAAGATTGAGACTGTTGAGCGGGAAGTTAGCAATGTGAGAGGGAACGAAACGGGGGACATGCAGGAAGGTCTGAGAGGTTGGGATTCCACTGGAAGATTCGCCACCGAAAATGATGAGATTGCGTGAAGAGTCGTCGTAACCAATTGAAGCGTATTTTAGAGGAGGAGGGGAGGAACCCTGGAGCGAACCAGTGATATTGAGCCACTGCAGGGGTGGGACAGGTGTATTGGTGGAAATGGACTGGGCATGAGATCGGGACAACCAAGCCAAAAGATGAAGAAATGCGATGGACTGGAGAGTCTCGAAAGAGAGAAAGGCCATTCTTGTTCGTGAGCGGCGTCGTTCGCCAGCAGGCGCTCGTCGTGAGCGACGTGGACGACGGGTGAGACGACGCCAGCCTAATAGCCGTGACACGGCCAGACCTTCCTTTTTGGGAATATCTGCCTCTTATCTGTCGAAAGGCGCCCTTCTGCTCTGCTGAAAATTGTGTAGTGCTAGTGTACTTGGGTGTATAGTATAGATACCCTTCGCATTGCTCACCTCCGCACACCAACCTGATGTTTTCGATTCCATTGGCTCTGCATCCTTACTTACCAGTATGCTTGGGAAAACTAATCCAGCAGTGGTTAGTGGCTTAGGAGATTTCGATCACGTGCCCGGCGCACAGGGCGGCCCGTAGACTTCTGAGGGTATCAAGATGTCCTCATCGGTGAAACGTACGCTCGCAGAGGAAGAATTCGCGACCAGATGCGCTCCTGAATGGCAGAGAAGTGACGGGTGTGTTCCAGAAACTTTGCTGGGCGGCTTGTACTCTTACATGCTTGCCGCAGCTTGCCTTCCGATCTCGCAGCAAGAATTCGAAATGCATCCATGCGCGGCAGGAAGAGTCAGTCCCATATGTTTGAGTGTGATGGCTCGTTTGACACTTGTTCCTTGCTTGCTCCCGTGCTCTTCGCAGATGTCACGGAAGGCTATCGTAGCCCGTCCCTCCTCCTCAGAGACACCGTATTCAAGTCCCGTGAAAGCCTCCTCATCTTCCACGACAGTTGCTAACAGCCCACCCACTTCCAATGAGGTTCTCCACCAAGTTTTCTCGTCGGCACTAGGAGTATACACACCACTTCCCTCACCAAGTAAGCGTCGGCGTTCAAGAGTGGACCTCGACGACGAAGACTCGGATGTCTCACCTGTTAACGGACAGTCCGAAGACCGGGATGAGGCAATGGAAGAAATAAGTAGTGACGAAGAGGAGATGGAAGTGGAGAGGCCTGTAAAACCCCTGCGACGTTCTGGGCGATCCGCTAAGAAAGAGGTGTCACCTCCAATGCCCAATCCTCTGAGGTGCCCCGGGATGTCAGATGTAATCACAGCGCAACAGCGTCGGGCTACAGTGGCTAATGGTCACGGCCAGGATGCTCCCCTGGTGGCCTCCAACAGCACTCCACAACCAAGGTGATCGATATGATTTATTTTTAGGTAAGTTGCCGATGTGGTTATGCGCAGGCACTGGGTATCAATATGCTTCCAAAAAGCAGTGGATCCGATCCTGTGACGGCTGTTTCCGCTCAAGGATTTTGATTTGAAAATGGTGTCTTTATTGCTTGGTTCCACTAGCAAGGCGGTTCTAGATTAGCAAAATCCACCGCTGTTTGTATATCCTTGACTTCACACAATGGAAACCATGTGTCGCGCCCATATCTCATGTCACCCACGTTAATTGTTGTGACGGAGTTGACAGAGAGTCATGCGAGTACAAAGTGCGCTAATTAGAACCCTTGCTTCAGCCGTCCTCACGCTGATCTGACAGGAGCCTTGTGGGTGGTTAGTGGAAGGGATGATGGAATACGTAAGACCTTTACGCTACCACTGATTTAATCTATATGCCCAGTATGACCCCTTATGACCCTCGGACCCACATCAGCCCTCTGCTGATATCATTTGTTCGATACCCGCGTTGACCCGGCCCCCCATCACCTTTTCCACAATTGGTTTTGATCACTTTCAGGTCAAGGGCTATGTTTTGTGATATCTCCCGCGAACATTCAGTCCAGACACCCGATGGAAAGAGATTCTTTGTCAGATCTCCGACCAGAGATGACTGTCGAAGTCGGGAAAAACTGGGTTTCGACCTTTGATCGCGTGCTATACCTATGAAGACAATTTCCTCCGGCAGTCACTAGTTATTCTGCCATAAAACCACCTCCCAAATCCGACCATACCTCAGAAAATCACCACTCCTTACCTTGCTATCAACTCGTTTTCAGGACGCTATGGTGCAGAACACGTCTTCGACACCATCTGCACCCGAGGAACACTTCGACAAGGCTAAGAAACACCTGTGGTAAGCCATCATCGCGCTCCCCCCTCCATCTAGGACGCGGGCGACGTGACCGTTGCCCGTGTCGACGAAGGAGACCGATACATTGCAATCGTCCGGTGCCCGGACCTTTGCGCTTTCGCTTATCGCCCGCACTTCACATATGCTGACGGCACATGCCACCACTTATGTGGCGCCGACTTGGTTATTTTTTAGGGCAACTGATCCCCTCTTACAAGGTCAATGTACCTCCCAGAGGCTTTCGGAGCCAAGACAGGCGTCGTCAGACATTTCACCACCCGATGACATCGACTGCCACCTCGGTCAAACAGGCACGAGCAGCGATCCACAATCCCCCCGGTCGAAAATGCCTCCAGAGAACTCGGAATGCATTTACAAGACGCTATCTACGTGCGTTGAGTTTCCCTCTTCGCAGCGACCGATTGATCGGGATATGAACGGGGTGCATTTCACTGCGTACAGGAGGAATCAACATGTTCTGCCACCGCTTCCGCGTGAGGAATTCAATTTCAATCAAGACCGTCGCTTACCACTACCACGGTGCTGGAATAACACGGATCACTCCTTTCCACGGGAAAGACCGCCTACCAGGTATATTATTCAGTTTCTCTGGGTATGACAGGCGCACGCTAACCTGGTGGTCAGTTTCTGCACTGCCTCATCTCCATCTTCCTCAACCGACCCGCGGGGCCGAAATGAAGGTCGGCAACAACGACCCTCTTACCCCGTTTCCCTCTCGATCTTCAATTCCCCTACTGCGACCTACATGTGGCCCAGCTTTCAGGCTGCGTCGCAGATGAGACATCCACCTGTCATTTACGTCAACTACGACAGCAAAGACTCCACGCGCTCAGCGTCAACCAGTTCCGTGTCAAGTCTTCATAACTCGCCTACCATCTCGTGCGTGCTTCGTGGTTTCTGTTCATCACGGCACTAAGAGGTCCGTCAGTTCACCAGCAACCTCGCATCCTGACTACCAGGTTACGAATGTCATACCCAGAAAACGCAGCTCTTCGCCCGCTGAGCGGTGGGATAACCCATGCTTTCCCGGCATTTTGCGAATCTAATCGATCTTCTGGACAGCACATCGCCTGACGGAACACCCTCTTTCACGACCCTTGTGAAGCCGCTGAGGTATTTCGTTGTTGGATTTTCAGATTCCCTCGTCCAACGTTGTGAATTCGCAGCCATGTATATCTTGGAGACAAGGACGCCGGTCCAGGGAATTCACAGGGATTACAGCAGAATGGTGGTCGTCCAAGGCTTCCGGGCCATGGACCATCGAATCAAGTGATGTCTCCCAACACCTCATCAAATTCCGCCTCCTCGGATGACGAACGGAGGGCACCGCGCGAGGATAGTCCTCAAGCAAGCGAAGCAAGCGAGCGATCCATAACGGCTGGTCCCGTCATTCGCCGACCTTCTCCAAGGGGCGATGGGGAAACATGGGAGAAGTACGCGAAACCAACTCTCTCTGCAGACGGAACTACACGGAGGTGGCAATGTACTTGGACGGCGACGGAATTGGGCAGGGTAATTGATTGTCAGTACACGTCCAAAAAGCAGCTTGTGAAACGCCACGTCGAAACCACCCATTTGCGGTTCAAGTAAGCGGTCCAGTGACGTCAGTCTATGGCGTCTAGCTGACTCATTTACAGGCCTTTCGTTTGTGAAGTCTGCCAGAAGGGATTCCCGCAAAAGACATCGTTAGATACCCATATGCATGGACAGTACGTATCAAAATTTCCTATTGCATATTTCCCTTGGAAGACACATCCCCTTGTTTTCGGAATTCTATAGCACTGGCTCCACACCTCATGTTTGTCGATATGAATGTGGAATGGCGTTCAAGGACCCGGCACGCAGACACAGACACATGGTAGAAGAACATGGCTACGTCCCGAGACAATCGAAAAAGAAGCATAAGGTTGGGCAGCCTACACAGGAGATAACAGACTTAGAATCCGGGCGCCCATAGAATGCACAGGATACGCAACAGGACTGTGAGCAAGCTGGGCCGGTCGCCACAGAGTGGATCTGATGTATTTTAAGTGGACCTCAGTGAGCGTTGATGGGCGCATTATTATTCGGACAGATCGGACGTATATGTTATGTATATATTTTTCCGTATAATTATGAAGCGGTGTTTCCCTTTACCCGGAACACGGCGGAGGAGACAGCCCCCGAATCTCTATCTCTGGGACGCTGGCTGTAACCTATCAGGGAGTGACTATACTCATGGTACTGAGGATGGTGAGGCGTGGCCATCATAAACGAACTGTAGGATTAGCGCGAAGGTCATTAATAAGGGGAGTGCGGACCGAGGGACGTGATTACCACCGAATATTAGACAGGTCAAGGCTACGCATTGTAACTTGGCTCGAAGTGAAGGGATGAAAAGATTCCATCCGGGGGAAAGGGAAAATAAATAAATAAAATAAGGATCTTGGTCGGCCCTTAGCTGTATGGACACATTTTTTCGATGAAAGAAGCCAACGTCGGGCTAAAAACAACAACCAAACTTGTTGAAAAGACGGGCCCAATGATTTTGCGAAAATTCCGAGTCCTCTCCTAACGCGCCAGTAGCACGACCGCCCCCTTCTTTACTTGGAAATGTAAGCACAGCCACTACCTCTCCCTGCTGATTGACAATTTCGGGATGCCGGCACGGCCCAAGTCCGAAGATGCCTTCTCCTCCACCACTTGGCAGTCTCGCTGTCCAAGCACCCTCTCTCACCCCACAATTGGTGTACGTGTCACCAACAACATGTCACAATCTCAGTCTCTTCAAGGGTGTGCTTATCTCAACTTTTTGCCCCCTACTTCGTGCCATTCATTTCCCGAAGACCTTCTCAGAGAATATCGGAGACTGGACGACACCATTACAATGCGCCTTAACCGTTCAAATGCGCAATTCAGAGATCGAGACCGCATAGGGAGCAATAAGAAGGGGAACGTGCAGGATCTGGCCTGTGAGTACATTTGGAAAGAACTAGTTGGTGCGGTATTCATCTCCCTGCTTTCCTCGAGGTTCTTTGACACATAGATCACGTCAGAGAATTGGAAGCGTAGGACGGAAATTGTGGATTATTGTGTGAATATCGTGGATCAGTCCATGAACGAGAAGCGAAGAGTGCTCGAGGGGCAACAGGGCGATGCCAGGGCTCAGAGGAAAGCGCAAGCTGACCTATTTGCCGAAGAAGTCAAGGTGACAAACGCGTTTCATTACCGTTATTAATGTTGATGTTGATTCGACCTGGAAAACAGAGAAACCAGGTCCACAACGAATTGTCGGTTGAAAGCATTATACGCAAGAGATCACTTGACGGTAGGTTCCGCTGTCGACCCTATCTTCTGCCTCTTGTACATGCTTTTTACATGCAGTCTACAGCCTTTCAGTCACGGTGTCGATACTTCACTCCCCCAATGAATGATGTTGAAGCTAGAAAATGGTGGGATGCTGCCCAATCACAAGAAGCACCATAGGGCATTACTCCTCGTTGTTTTAATTCACTCAGGGCGTAGCATGCCACGAACATGAATATTTCAGTTGAGTTTATCCTCTCTTACCTTGCTGCGAGAGCCTTGATCATCTAGTCTTCCGTCGCGTACTGCACATGAACAGTTTGTGTGGCATCCATATCACTGTTATGTAATCATGACGCCATTTATCCTTGCGGAGCGTAAAGGGCGAGGAAATCCGCGTTCGCTTCTTGTCCTGTACTACCCCTTCATTATACCACTGTGCCCACGATGTTATCTGCCCTCTCATTGTTCTGGGTTGCTGCGTGCGCACAGGTAGCATTACCCCGATCAGCTCCATACAATGGCCCGCAGACGGCGTTTGTCAGTGATGTCAAGGTACCGGTGGTGTTGGGTGTCATGTCTCGTTGCCCAGACGCTTTCCTTTGCGAGTCTGTGTGGGACCGTGTATTGCAAAGAGTTGGTGACAAAGTGGACATTTCCTTGTCCTTCATTGCCAAGTGAGGACACGGCATCAGAATGGGGGTATATCTTACTAACAATGCTCAAGGCCAAACCCATCCGATGAAACCTATGGCGCAACGTGCCTGCATGGCGTGGAAGAGTGTGCTGGAAATGTGCACGAATTATGCGTCGCTAAATACCATCCTACTTCCGAGTGGTGGACGTTTGTTCAATGCGAAAACTACCAGGGCCGTGGGCAGGTGGGTTTACCTGACACAGCTGCCAAGTGTGCAGGGGTTGCGGGGTTCGAGTGGGAAAACGACAGGGCACGGAAGTGTGCCGGAGATAACGGTCATGGCCACGAAGGCGTTCGGCTGCTACAGGAGAGTGTCAAGACAAGCATGCAACTTGGCATCAAGTGAGTGCTGTGGACGGGTTGATGACGAATATTCATGCCTCGATGCAGAAAGAGCTGCACGATCATGATAAATGGGAGGCAAGTCTGTATTCATGACGGCACTTGGTACGAGTGCGAGGTGCGTGGCTTCCATCGACCTACGGACATAACTCTCATATCGAATATAGGGTGGACACACTCCAGCCGACTTCATCAGGCAAATCAACGAGGAATATGAACGACTGAACAATGTAGATTAGGGGTGAGTATGTAGTACACTTGCACTCGTGTCATCCAACCCCTCTGTCGGCGGCCAAGTGCAGAAGCGAGCCCAAATGAAAGACAATCAGCCACCGAGAACCAATTCGTACACGATGACTACTAGATTTAGCCCTATTAGAGGGACTTGTACGCATGCCTGTGTTAGCACCAAGTTTCGTAAATCTCGTTCGAAACACGCTTACTGCGCATGAGGGTCCGCACGGCACTGATGAGGTTTATTATGCGGACTTTTACGCCGACATCCTGCTGGCCGTAACCGTAACCGTTCTGGTCGAATGGTTGCTGGTATCCAACATTGGTACTATGAGGTTGTACGGAGGACCAGCCAACTACAGCTCATTCAGTACAGGAAGTGGGTGGGTGAAAGGGAACGCACTCCGTGCAAGGAAGCGTTCCTCACTCAACACTGCCATGGCATTGATCAAAAGCAGCGCGACGTATATGATAGTGCCTATGGTGAGCATTGTCGTGTTCGATGAGGGGACCTGCGAGTGGGTCTTGTAATTTGTTCAATTTGTTCAACAAAACAGTGTTCTGTTCAATATTACACAACGTGACAATAGACGTGACACATGTGACAGACACGGCTCCGTGACACCTTTTGCGCGTGTCCCACCCGTTCCGTCCAAGGGATGCAGTCCTTGACAAGGAGAGGTGCGCCGGAGATTTGTCCTGACGGCTTAATGTTTTATGAAGCTTGCATGTTACAGCTTGTGTTGGTGTGCAGCGTTTGCAATCGCAGCGGTCTCGGATCGTGCAGTGGGATGGCCGACGTCTGTGAGTCCTCCCACCCGAACGGATGGATTCAGTCGTATCCCTCAACCCTTGACAGTTCTAGCAACTTCAACCCTTTACAATGGATCCAACAGAAATTTGCTCCTTCAGTCCGTAAATCTACTGCGCCAGATGCCCCCAAACAGGAAACTGCCGATCTTGTCCCTGCTCAGCAAGAAGCCTTCACGGAGGCAAAGCTGATCGAGGGGAGCACAAAGCACCAAAAGAAGAAGAAGGTCGCCGAGGCAGCACCAGAAGTGGTCGAGAAGCAGTCTGCTCCTGAGGTTCGGCCACCCACATGTCTCGGAAATTTTGCGTTTGAAAATGACCTTCGGACTTAGCACAAATACTCCACGGCGAACTTCAAAATCTCGCACAGGAAATTGAATATGCTTGGGAGGCAAATATCCGGAAAGCCAATTGATCACGCCATCATGCAGATGCAATTCAGTGAAAAACGCGCAAGTAACCGGATAATGAGCATGCTTGCCACGGCTAAGCTACACGCGACTGTGTACAAGAACATGGACCCATCAAAATTAGTTGTCTGTGAGTGCTTCTTTCCGCCTCTACTGAGCCATCGGAGGCATTAAATTATCACCTTTGGTGCTATGCCGGCTTGTCTCGGATTTGTCCTGGCAGCGGAAGCTTGGGTGACCAAGGGGGAAAACCGACTTAAGCGGCTGGAGCCCCGTGGAAGGGGAAAGTTTGGTATTCGAGTCCATCCTGATTCGCGATTGCATGTAATCCTGCGACCAGGAAAGACCTATGACCAGGTTGTGAAGGAACAGCGAGAACGGCGGCTGAAGAGGATTGTTTCAGCTGGTCTGGTGAGGGAAGATGTCCCTCTGCGTAATCCTGCATCCTTCTGGCAGTGGTAGCCAACATCTCGGAAGACGCTGAGTCTTATCGAATAGTATTTACCCTGTCGCTTAGGGGTTGGGCGGCTATGTACATAGGCTATGTCGTTGCCTACTATAAACAACACTATACATTCTTTGGCTTCAACGTCGGCGGTGCCTGCACGAGCCACCACCAAACATGCTACAGAGCTGGCGAATACTTTGTCTGCTAGTCGCAGGTTCACTCCTACCTTCTCTGTCTCTAGCTGGGCCGTCCTTCGAAAACACAGCTGTTGTGCGCACCATCGAGCTGGGTGGGTCAGTGGTCCACGTCAGCACGACATACGCTATCAAGGCACTCGAAGCTGGCCAGACAGTGTACCACATCGCACTCGCCAAAGATGAGAAAGAAAAGACAAGCTGGATGGAGGCCAAGGTCAAGGGCCAAGCAAACCCTCTCGTCGTAACTGTTCTTGACGAGGATGATGCAGCGTGAGGTTCATCTGCTCATGGTCGCCGCAGCACTGACGTTTATCTTCAAGTGCCTCCAGTTTGATAGCCGTGAATTTGCCAAGGCAATTGTCTGCCAATGGCACTCTCAACCTTGTTTTTGAGTCCGTTCAAACACACGCGACGCGTCCGCATCCCGAGCGCGCAGCCCAGACCGACCCGCAGCTTCTTAACTACGAGACAGGCCTCTTTGTTCTCAGTCCGTACAATACTCTCGTCCAGCGTACTAAAGTCAAGTGCGATCGAATGGCTTCGTCTTAACGCGTTTTTGTTTGTTGATGCCTTTTCAGGTCTCTATCCCCCGACGTTATTTCCTACTCCACTCCGCAAGACGTCGACGAATTCGTCCGAGATGGCGCTGTGGTGACCAAGTCAGGAGCTACCATAACGTATGGTCCTTATCACAACATTCACCCCTCTGCGGACGTGGAGTTCGTTTCCAACCATCAACAAACTATTTCCGTCCACTACAACTTTGACTATCCTGTTTTGGAGGTCAAAAACCTCGAGCGTTCGATTGAAATCAGTCATTGGGGCGCCAATTTGAATGTCGAGGATAAGATCCACCTATACAATGCTGGTCCGGCGTAGGTTTATTTACCTTGATGCGTAATCGGGTAATTCAATGTTACTCCCAGGCTCAAAGGCCAGTTCTCCCGCCTGGAGTACCAAAGCCAGAACTTCTTTGGGCGTTTATCTCCACACACGCTCAATCGCTTGATCCTCCAGCTTCCGCCTGGTGTCACTAATGTGTACTACTATGATTTGAACGGTAATGTATCCACCTCTAATTTACGCGTAGCACCGTCCGTGCCCAAGAATAGCAAGGCGACCCAGAACAGCATCCTTGATATGCGTCCTCGCTATCCTCTTCTTGGCGGATGGAATTATTCCTTCACGCTCGGCTTCGATACTCCCTTGCAGGACTCGGTCAGCTGGGACGCGGCCAACGGCAAGTATATCGTTGCTGTGCCGGTGACAACGCATATCCCTGGTTCCGTTGTGGATGAAGCGATAGTCAAGATTATCATGCCTGAAGGAGCTAGGTAAGATTCCCCGGTATTTGTTCAGATTCCGAATGACCGTCAAATAGCAACATCGAGTTCATCTCACCTTTCCCGGCGCTATCAAGCAGTGCTTCCACTCATATCACATACCTGGATACGATCGGCCGTCCGGCTGTCGCACTCGCATACAAGAAGTTGACTGGAAAGCACACTGGAATGATCTACGTACGAGCGTTGTCTCGACTGTATACTCTTTATATCTAACACACGTTCAGGTTTCGTACAGTCTTCCGTTTTTCGCACACCTTCGGAAGCCACTCGCAGTTGGGACAATGTTCTTTGGCCTGTTTATGCTTGGCTTCACTGCGAAACGTGTAGACTTGAGGCTGCATAGGCGTTGATGTACATTTACATAGACTAGCCTGCTTCTACAGGGGCAATACCAAAAAGGATGATTCATATTATGTCATGAATTCCCCCGCCTATGGAAATTACTTGCGGAGGCAGATGGGCCTTGGAACGTCCAAGATGCTGCAGGGTGCCCAGCATGGTTTGAGAACGTCGTCCTTATCGTCCCACGCAAGTCTACAGCTGTCTCCGTGTCGCTTCACAACCTCTGCGGCAGTGGGTCGTGCCCCTCTAAATCGCCAACCATTACTTTTTCACCGTCCACTGCCCGAGTCAAAACGTAATGATACTTACAAACGTTCCTCCAAACCTGTACCCAGACGGTCTCCAGTCCCTTCTCCCCGTTCGCAGGAGCTGTCCTCCACGCATCCGAAGAGACTCCCCTTGCCGGATATTCGTGTAGATCCCGCTAATTTTGGCCCAGTACGATCTTCCTACACGCATACTCCAACTGCGGGGGACTCGGGGAGACCTCTTCCCCCCACCCGTGAAACGCGTTTCCGTGACGCGCCGTCGATAGTCGCAGGACGGGTATTAGATGAGATCTCCCGCGCAGCAACCTCCGTCGGTGTTCAGAAAGTGTCTTGGGATGAAACTAGTACGTCAACTGATTGTGGGGGCACGGTCAAGGCTATTCGGAATCCGGCTTACATTGAGGCTCCCAAAGGGTCAAAAACTAAGGACGATATCCGCCCTCCAGTGAAGCTGCTTAAACCGTATGACCTCGCATTGGAATTGCAGCAGATGTGTGGTCAAGGCGACATGGACGGTGCTTTTCGACGTCTGCAGAGTACACCAAGAGATGCACAGAACACATCGGTATGGAATACGATGATCTCTTTGTGTACAAATGCTGGACGTTATAAGCGTGCCTATGAAGTCTTCACAGACGTAAGCATACCCTTAAATTGCTCAGAGGTTCCACTGAGCTCTTCACAGATGAAGCGCAGGGGCTTCTCTCCCAATGCTGCCACTTTCTCTACGCTTCTCAAGGGACTTAGCCAGATTGATGATTGGTCGAAGCATTCCAAACAACTTGCCAATGCCCATACCCTCTACGGATACTACATGGATCACGTAAGGTCCGTCAAGTACCACGAACCCGACAACACCAGGGAACTGAACACAGTACCTCTGGTATTCTACTTATCCATACTGGGAGAAGTCGGGGATCGACAGAAGATTTTTGACGTCTTCTTTGCGATGGACGCTGAGGGACTTTTCGCTCCGGACAAGTATCTGTTCTGTTCCATGTTCGATGCTATTACCAAGTGTCAAGAACGACGTTCTGATACCAATGACGAAATATCCGTATCCAACACTGCCAATTCGGACGCGAAGTATATCTGGCTTCAGGTCGAGAAGGCTGTACAGAAGCAAAGAGGCTTTGAGCTGGACTCCCGTGTCATTGGGGCTGCGATCAGGGCATTAACACGCGGTCGGGCGAGTGACCAAACCTTAGCCCTTGACATAGCTACGAAACATCTTGGTTTCGCTATGTTCGGCGAGCGCGCAACGCTTCGTCTCTCCAGGTTTCTCACCCCCTGGACTCTTGACGTGACACTTACTCTTTGCAATACCATGCAGAGGTACAAACTTTGCGTGCACTTCATGCGGCAGGTCATCGAAAGACTCGACTTTGACAAACCTGCACGAGCGTCAAATCGTCGACAGGAGTCACATTCATAAACTCTTACGCGCGCATTCCGCGCTTGCGAGACGTGGATCACCGGACGAATCTCTGCAGGCTTCTGAAGTCGTAGAATGGTGCCTCGAGAACGACGCCGTATACCAGCTTCCAAAGTTACGTCCAGACCGTCAAACCTACCACCTTTTGCTCATGGCGTGCTGGCGTAATGGGGACTGGACCAGGTTGATGCGGGGCTTCGAGCTCATGACGGGCATACGAGCAACCTCTTTCCAGGACTCGAATCGAGAACAGGGACCTCCCAAGCTTCTGGAGCGGTCCGCAAATTCCAACCACCCCCCTGACTTGGAGACCATGTCGTTCATCATGCGCACCGCCCTCGGGACCAAGGCTGTTGATCACTATAAGCATGCCATGTGGCTAGCTGATTGTGTGGATCTTGGTGCAATGCTCCAGAATCCCAAGGCAGATGCTTTCTATCGCACAAGAGTGGCCATGCCTCTGATTCGTATCATCAATTACCTCAGAGGTGAGGTGCCTGCGGAGAAATACCGCACATGGAATCATCTCCTTCAAACGGCTGAAGAGGTGATGGGTGACAACGAGAAGGCCGCCACTGACGAACACAGAAAACCATTGGGACGTGCTTGGAGTTTCAAGGGGGACGACGACGCACTACCAAACGCGAATGATGACGATCCAGATAAATAGAACACATAGCTACTATAATAGGACCTGAGCAATAATCGGATACCGCAGCAGGAAATACGATTAGTTATGTACATCAGAACAAGTGATAGTAGTGTCCGTTAAAAGTCCCATGTATTGGCACCCAAACATCTCATAACTCTATCACGTACAAGACACCTCACGACAGCACTACGCTACTGACTTTGGACGTTCTGAGTATCTTGCTTCCCCTTTGAACGCCGGAGACGGGGGGGCGAAAAGTGTATCTTCTGTCAGAGCCATTGATACAGGCTCGTAAGTATGTGGACCAGCATGCTCTGGCATACCCGAAAATCTGTTCAGGGAGGTGTGACTCAAGGGCATAGGACTGAGGCGGCCTGGTGTCTTTCGTGCTCGAACCTTGTTGCGACGCCTGCACAGCAGGACGAAACCAACAATTGTGAGCACGACGAGAACGAGGGCATTTAATGCCATGACACCGAGGATCGCTGGAAGGTACTGAGACAACTTGGCGATGGTATTAGCAACGTCAGTCGAGAGTGAGACCGTGGTGACGCCGCTGCCAGAATTCGAGACATTGTAAGTGATATTAGTTAGAGGAGTACCACCTCTGACGGCATGGAATTCCGCAGAAGCTTGATTGGGATCAACGAGCGCTAACAACTGGATGTAAGGATTGCCCATGTTGCCCGAAGAATCGAAGTCGCCGAAGTCGTAGAGAGCGTAGACAGAACGCAGGACGTTATCACCAATTAGCCAATCGCTATGGGTATTAATAAACTCGTCAGTAAGCTCATCCGCCGAATGCGCCTAGCCCTAATGACATACAATTGTCCCGCACCGACCGAGTCCGTTTGGGGAAGGAAGGATCCCACACAAGTACTGGAATCGCCCGGGGTTGTTGGTGAGACATCAAGTGGATGGATGGGAAAGATCTGGTTACTGCTAACCGTCAAAATACGCACAGCGAATACCGAGGACAACATACTCGATCTGGAGGGCCATGTCTATTTCGGCGTTACAGGGGACGGTCCATTGTCCAATACTGGAGTCATATTGGGCACCGGCCACACCACCATAAATTGCAGTGCAAACGTCAGTTGGCGCATACCTGCATAAAAAACATGTTATCAAGAACACGAAAGGCGAGTAACCGGCGCACGTGTAAGATGTTCCACTGTCAAGTAACACAACTGCTTTGTTCGATGCCACCCCTGGAACGGTTGAAGATACGTCGTTCGTCTGCGTACCGACAATGAACGAGTCCAATAGTACGGTCCATCTTGTTGGGGAGGAGACCGGCCAGGTAGGAATCTTGTTGGTATTAGTCACGTTAGAATATTGGGGGTCCGTTTCCCCTAGAAGGCGATCGTGAGTCAAATCACAACAAGGAAAGCTTTACCTACCGACAGCAAAACTTCCCTGAATGCCATCATCATCAGTAGAACTCTGGAGAGAGAATGCAATGAAGTTAGGTTCGTTTGGATTATCCTGGAAGAGATTGTAGAGTAGTGTCCGTCCTGTTGAGGCACCGGTCTTATTTATGACGCCGTCAATAACAGAAAGTGAATTGAAACCGAGGCCCATAACACCCGCGGCACCATAAGACAGCGCCGGGTTCTGCGCCGCTGAGACGTTTAGATAAGCTTGTTGGGAAACGGATATCCTAATTGAAGTGTTAGAGGAACAAATTGTGACGAAGCCAGAAAGTACTCACCCTGCAAATTCCGCCTGTGCATACGCAATTTGGCCGTATGCCCAGCCTATGCCATACTAAATTGGCGATAAAGTCATGCAAATAACTACCATTGAGAGTGCCACCAACCGTTAGGTTTTGTGAAATTGACTGTCGCTAGTGAGTAGGGAGTGCAATAGGCGAATTTCCTACTCACAGTGAGTGTGGCATTGGGTAAGGGTGTAGTTGTAGGATGGACCCATAAGTCTAAAACGAAATGTCACCAAAGCACTGGGGGGCAAGATACAACAGGCGAACCTGACGAGCCTGTGTCGAGTTGCACAGGATATTCTGAAACGCGGACTACGTTTTAGGTTGCAAAACTGGCTACGGGCTACTCACCGACACCTCCAATAGTAACCTAACAGTTCACAGTTCGATGAAGCTAAGTTCTGTAGGAAAGCGCAACATTATGCTTACATTAGCGATATAAATGACATCTTGCACGTTACTGCAGTCTACTCAGATTCCTTGGTGGTGAAGGACACAGGTAAGACAAACCTCAGTGACAAGGTAGAATTGGTGGACGAAGAAGCAGCCAAGATCTGACTGTTGACAAGCTTTGAAAAGGGTTTCGGCGCGGAAACCGCAGCACCACCGCTTCGCCGGTCCAGACGCGAGCTCTCGACCTTCTGTATTGGTATTTTGATAGCCATGGAAAAGCCAGCCAAGGCTAACAAGGAAAGAAGGACTGGTTGCATGGAGCTGTAAACGAGTGTCGGTCGGTCAGTAAGGATGGACCAGCAAATGCGCGTTTGGACTGCGGCCAGGGCTAGGCTCATCTGAGAAGGGTCACGTGCTCCCCGCACCCGCTTAATTATATTGTCGCGTGTGGGGAATCCGGCGCTGCGAGTCCGGGTCTCTCAGCATCATTGCAAGTGAGAATGGCACCCGTTGCGACGAGAAGTGCCATATTCCGTCTCATTAACGCAGCCCAGTCGCAGTCTGCTTGTCCGTGTCATGGTTGTCGGTCAGCAGCCCACGCTCATGCCCCCCTGGGACTGCAACAGTTGAGGAAGCTTGCGACGCCTGTGAACGCGGTTCAAAAGGAATATGCATTCGAGGTACTAGGATCATCCACTTATTGTGTGCGTCGATGTCAATGACCCACTACAAGGTTGCTGCATCCAACCTGAGATTTGGGGAAGGCGTTACCCGTGAGGTCGGGATGGATCTTAAGAACATGAAAGCTCGCAAGGTTTGTCCCTTACTGTTTGACCCTGCGTGGAGTCGCCCTCAATATTGTAATCTTAGGTTGGGGTCTTCACTGATCCCGTGGTGGCCAAGCTCAAGCCGCTGCAGACGGTGAGAGCTAGCACTCAGCCTGGTCTGTAGTCAGCTCATCATTCTGCTTTCCGAAGGCCATCGAATCCCTTCAGTCTCAGCAAGACCTTCCATTTGAAGTATATGATGAAGTAGTTTCCGAACCTACGGAGGAGAGCTGGCGTAGAGCCATATCATGGGCCCGTGAACGCGATTTCAGTCACTTCCTGGCGTGAGTGCTCCTTCTCGAGAATATGATCACCAACAGAGTTTGCATAGTGTTGGAGGGGGGAGCGTCATCGACACCGCCAAAACAGCTAATCTGTGAGCCAGTTCTGTAGCGCCCTACCCTGCTGACCCCTGCCAAAGTTTTACCGTGTACAAAGATGCCGATTTAATGGACTTCGTGAATGCTCCCATAGGCAAAGGCCACCCAATCGAGAAGAGTCTCAAACCTCTTATTGCAGGTTAGTGTTCTTTCTGTCGGTGCTGGTGCATTTGCACTCATGCGGCGTAGTCCCGACCACTGCCGGTACTGGATCTGAAACCACTGGGACGGCAATCTTTGACGTAACTTCCCGTGCATTCAAGACTGGTATCGCGAACCGTGCTCTCAAACCAGTACTTGGAATCGTGGATACCGCAAACACGGAGAGCTGTCCTACGGAGGTACACATCAGTGCAGGCCTGGATGTTCTGTTCCATAGTCTGGAAAGCTACACAGCTATCCCGTGCGTTTATTTCCCACTTCATAGTGGTTTCCGGCAGTGACCATTGTAAAGCTACACGGAACGGACACCTCGCCCCGCAAACCCGATTCTGAGGCCTGCGTACCAAGGGAGTAATCCGGTCGCTGACATTTTCTCTATGTGGGCGCTCAAAACTACAGTGAAATACCTGCCTCGCGTTGCCAATGACAGGACCGATCACGAAGCAAGAAGCCAGATGCTGTACGTGTTCGCAGTCGTTCATCAGAACTCCCTTAAATGAATATCGTCCACATAGCCTGGCAGCATCCTTTGCTGGTATCGGGTTTGGCAACGCCGGCGTGCATTTATGTCATGGAATGAGTTATCCTGTAAGATCTTCAGTTTGCAAGCTTTATCCGCTGTATTCATCACGCGGAAGATTTCCGGGTTGAACAAGAAAGGACCGAAATACAAACATCCAGGATACCAAGTTAACCACCCTATCATTCCTCACGGCATAAGGTCAGTACAGTGATTGGTTGCATGTCAGCGTAATTCTCAATCGCAAAAACAAAAGTGTCGCCCTGACAGGGCCCGCAGGTATGGTCGAAAGCTATCTCTCTTTTTGAGGAAGCTGATCGTTTCGTATTCAGTGTTCCAGTTCACGGCCCCTTCGTCACCTGACCGTCACCGTGAAGCATTAGCCATTTTCAATAACACAACCGTCACGGACCCCTCCATAACTAGCATCCCTGATTCCGAAATCGGTGCCCATCTGTATGAGTCGATTGCGCGTTTCCTTGACGGCCTCGGTGTACCTCGTGGGTTAAAGGCGGTCGGCTATACTAAGGAAGACGTGCCAATACTCGTCGATGGCACAATTCCCCAGCGACGCGTGCTGGACCTTGCCCCGAATATTGGCGATGTTGCAGGTGAAGATGGGCGGGAGCATCTGACACGTATCCTGGAGGCATCACTTGAATACTGAGGGGGGTTCGGTTGACACATCGCTTTTTCATTCTCTCTCTCCGCATCGTATGTTTGCGAGGGGGTAGTGTTGTCTTGAAAGTCGCATTTTTGATTTTCGTTGCCTGAAACAAGTACTCGTGATCGACCGTGGCCGGGGTCATTACCGCCGGGAGCAGCGTGGGAGTTGATTATCGTTAAACTGTATAGTTCTGTATCGCGTAAGCCGAACATTATCGCCCGCCACCACAGACAACCTCGTCCGACAGCTTCAAGGTGAGTATCAGCTCGCATCGCTACCGGGACGTGATGGGGGGTCGCTCGTTGGAGTGCTTGAACGCCCCTCCTCTGTTCCTATCCACCATCGCGATCTCGCTGACCGTAGACTGACCACTGCGCTGTCTTCAGCCCAACCTCTCAAGATGCCCGGCAAAGTCAAGGCCTACGAGCTCCAATCCAAGTGAGTTACAAAGAGTCAATCGTATCTACTTTTTTACTGATACTGCTTTTCTTCCGTGAAAACATAGGTCAAAAAATGACTTGACCAAGCAACTTAATGAGCTCAAGGGTGAGCTCCTGAGCCTCCGCGTGCAGAAGATTGTCGGAGGTGCCCCCTCAAAACTTACTAAGATGTACGTCCTCTGGTTTGAAGCTGGCAAGCGCTGTCTAATTCGCCGATAGCAATGTTGTCCGGAAGTCGATTGCACGGGTGCTGACAGTGATGAACCAAAAGGCACGGCAAAACCTGCGGGAATACTACAAAAATAAGAAGTATCTCCCACTCGACCTCCGACCGAAGAAGACGCGTGCAATCCGGAGACGGTTAACTAAGGTATGCAAATGGCACTTGAAGTTGAGGATGGCCTCTGATGTATATGGGTGTATAGCACGAGGCGTCGTTGAAGACAGTGAAGCAGCATAAGAAAGACATTCACTTCCCTATCCGCAAGTATGCAGTGAAGGCATGAGTTGGTGGGGCAGGAGAGTCCACGATTATGCCGATGATTTACTGTTTCCACGTTGATATTCCGTATGCCCTGCACCCGGCCACGATATGCAAAACATCCTTTGCTGGACCTCCGTTTTGAGAGTGCGATGTTTTCAGCAGGCGAAGTCTGCAAGTAGCATTACTATCTTTGGAGTAGCGGGCGCCGCATGGATACAATTTATGTTCAGATCTCAGAAGACGTCACCATCCAAATGACGTTTATCAATCACACTCGTGCTGCCCTCTGTCGTCTTTTCACTGTCTTCCAGCAAAGGTATCGAGCCTGCGTTCGCTACCATACTACTCTCACCCCGACAGACTGTCGTTCGTGAGCAAAACTGAGGACGTCGGTGAGTGGGAGTGTCGTTGGATCTTGTCAAGATCAGGTCAATGGGAAGTATCCCGCAGGACCACGTGTAGGGGAGTACCCTTGTTGGGCATGGACTGGATCATGTCCTCATGCACCCACGGCAGTCTGACCCACCCGATATGTATTCTCAGCTTTGGCTCGTGCTCCCATGTCTCCCCCTGGCAATCGTCTCAGAAAGCCCTCCCGTACTGACATTAACTCTTCCCGACAGCCAAGCATGACATCCTCTCCCCCAGTGTCTCCACGGTTGAGCCCGGATGGAGGAGGTGCGGCCGGTGACCCATACCCTGTTTCCAGCAACGACCCCGCCACTCAATATACCATGCTCGAGAAACTTGGCACCGGCAGCTTTGGCGTCGTTTACAAGGCAATGCACAACGAGACGAAGCAAATTGTTGCCATCAAGCAGATTGGTATGCCCTCGCGATATTTTACGCCCGTCGTCTAGTTACATGGTTATTCCCACCAGACCTCGAAGATTCCGACGATGACATCCTAGAGATCCAACAAGAAATCGCTAGCCTGGCGCAGTGCGATTCGGAATACGTCACCCGTTACTACGGGTCTTTCGTCGTCGCTTATAAGCTCTGGATTGTCATGGAGTACCTCGCGGGTGGCTCCTGTCTTGACCTGCTGAAGGCGGGACCATTCTCCGAAGCTCACATCGCCGTTATCTGCCGTGAACTTCTGCACGGCCTGGATTACTTGCATTCAGAAGGCACCATCCATCGCGACATCAAGGCTGCCAATGTCTTGCTTTCAGCTACTGGCAAAGTCAAACTGGCCGACTTTGGTGTTGCCGCGCAACTGACAAGTACCCTCAGACACACTTTTGTCGGCACCCCCTTCTGGATGGCTCCAGAGGTCATTCGTCAGGCCGGGTACGATGCAAAAGCAGACATGTGGAGTCTAGGTATTACAGCAATCGAGATGGCCAAAGGAGAGCCACCGTTGGCAGAGTACCACCCAATGCGGGTGCTTTTCCTTATACCCAAGGCAAAACCACCGGTGCTCGATGGCAACTTTAGCCCGGCCTTTAAGGAATTTGTTTCTTTGTGTCTCACGAAGGATCCCGCAAAGGTAAGGTGCACGGTGTTGGATTCTATGTGCTACCTCTTACAGTCGCCAGCGCCCTACTGCAAGAGAACTCCTACAGCATAGATTCATCAAGGGAGCGAAGAAAACGTCGTACCTTACTGAGCTCATTGAACGTTATCAGGAATATCGCGTTCAGTCGCGACCGAAAGCACAAGTATACTCACCGACAGTTTGTGGTACCATTAACTGGGAGAACAACGATACTATTCGCAGCGACTGGAACTTCGACACCATTAAATCCACATCTGTGATGGGGACGTTCAGGAGTGCAGCCAAAGACCTTGTGCCTGAAATAGAAATCGACGACTTGACAGTGGACGACCAGTCGGTATATGAAGAAGATCAAGAGTCCTTCGATACCGGAGGCGCAGTCAAAGGAAGCACCATCATAGATCCAAATTCCGTCAGAATAAACTCGCGTGCGACACACTCGACTGTCAGAATCAACGTTGTTCCCCAAGATGGTGATGCCTCAGCGGAGAGCGCCGATCTTGTAACCTCCTTACAAGATAGCCAAACCGAGACCCTTGGCGCACCTCCAGCTTACAGTGGTTCAGTGCGGTCTCCAAGGCGCTCCTCATATGCAGCACGACACAAGACGACTGGTGCTGGTACCGTCATGCGAGAGGCAGACCTAGGCACTGGCCTGGATACCATTCGCCCAATTAAGAAAGTCGACACTACCAGCTCTTTGAAACATTCGGCAGAGTACGTGGGGAGCATACGTAGCAAAGATGATGTTCCTTTGTCCCCTACGTCACCAACATCACCTTCGAAAAACCGAGTACCCCCGAAGCGGAGACCAGGCGAGTCTGAGAAGGCGGGAAGGGCAATGATCAACGATGTTGTCCTTCCTGTTCTTCAAAACGTAAGTCTTTCCGTTTTTGCCTGTGCGGCTACCCCAAGCATTTTGCAGGCCATTTGCGACGACATGGACGCCCGGGAGATCGAGTCGCTAAGCATGATAACCCGAGGGTTTACGGACTTGAGGGACATCAATCCAGCCCTTTCTTACAGCGTTATCCTCGACATCCTATCCGGTATTAACGAGTGGGTTTACCAATGCTCTTTCTGTGCACATTCTGACTCTATTTGAATCAGGAACCCTGTAGTGCGACAGCACGTACAGACCGCTCGTGGTCTTTTCCCCCATAAGCGGATCATCCGCAAAAGTGAGATGACCGCAAAGGGTCTCGTTGTCACCGAAGTTCAAGAAGATGTTTCCGGTCTGCCAGTGGACTCCAGCGCGTCAGCCCCAGGAAAGACAGATGACACTACTCAGATGCGGAAATCACCGATCGCCGAGTTACTTTACATGCGTTGGTTGGAAGGTCTTCGGATCAAGTGGCCAAGCATCCTGTCATCATGATCGCGCATCCAGCTCTCAGTGTTGCAGTTTCCTTGTGAAGTATCTTCCGCTACTATACCTAACTATCGGCTTCGTGTACTTCCGCCCTTGGCTATGTGGTGGATCTCTGCCACGGGACTACGTACGTTGCGCTTCCCGCTTCCAGCGTCGATGTTCTTTCGTCGTGATCACGTTTGTTGTATGGTTCTTCGCTATATGTCTACATCTTTTACACCACACACACGGCCTTCTTTGGCACAAGGACCCTTCGTCCGTTTAGCGTAATGAATCGCGTTGAGCTTGCTTTTCCGATGTATGAAGCAAGTATGCGACGGCTACGACATATCTAACTGGCAGGTGATGTATACGAGACAAGATGTGAAATGTGAATTAATGACGATGTAGGATGACGAATACAAGTATGAAGAATGAAGTGCGACACTGAGGGTAGTAATGAAAATAGTAGGTGTAAAATGTACGTATGTGGTTCGCATGCCGGACGCGTCCAAAAAGAGGGGTGACTGTTCAAGAAAGAACGTAGACTGTCGCTACCACCACCAACCCGGCTATGCCGAGGGTGGCTAATGTCGCGCTGTGATGCGAAGCGGAACTCTTGTTGCCCGCGTGATTAGGTCTACTAGATTTAGCGGGGGCGGATGGCGACGGCATGGCCTTGACTTGAGACCTACAACAGGGGTTGGGCAAGTGAGAAGCACGGGCTACCAGCATGACCTCTTACGTAGTGGATGCAACCGCCTGCACCGGCGGGGGGTGGACCGAAAGGTCAGCGACTTTAGCTTGGGTGACCGGAGAAGTCGCGTTCCAGGAGTTCTGGTACGCGCTGCTACCTCCCATCTGTGCGACGGACGTCGTCTTCCACCCGTTGCTGACGACCAGGTCCCAAGCATCTATGAAGGCCTGCACAGATTGGTTAGAGAGCTCGTGCTCGAGGATGATGAGACCGGGTTTCTTCGGACCTGAAACGATGCGGCTGTCTGAGTTTTATGGTATGATTGATGGTAGGTGGAAACTTACCGGTCAACCACGTGTGCATTTGGGTAGCGATCTTGTCCATACTTGTGATAGGAACCGGATCTGAGAGACTCCAGTCATTGGTACTAAGGGAAGGTGAGGTACGCAGTAAGGTAGGTTAAGGAGTACGATGGCTTACTCCTGGTTCCAAATCACAGTAGTGAGACCCAACACTTCCTTGGCAATTGCACGGACGCGCATATCAGAATCGCCATAGGGCGGCCTCCAGTATTTAGGCACTCGCCCCCCCGTCGAATTATGGATCAGTTGCATCGTCCATCCAAGTTCCGCGAGGACCTCTTCATTCGTCTTCGTGGTCATGTAAGGATGGGTCCACGTGTGAACGGCGATATCATCTTGATTGTCCCACGCCATCTTGAAGCAGTCGGGATGCTGAAGAATGTTGGTGCCGATATAGAAGTGCGTCGCGTGCTGATCTTTCTGCTTGAGGAATTTGTACAGGGTGGGGGACGGCTGCAGAGCTGTAAATCAAAGGCGAAGGGAATCACAGTTCGCGATGACCACTCACCGGCAACGGACCATCATCAAAGCTGAGGCTAAGGTAACCATCGGGTCCGTCCCAGATATCATCCGGGATCCTGCACTGGTAGGTGGCAGAGCATACGTCGGGACTCATTGGATCATAGCCGTCAGGGTATGTTGGATTGGAACCAGGGGGAGTGGTGGTGACGGGGACATCGGGAATCTTGCCAGCCGCGACGGCTTTATTGAGGGCGTCAAGCCAAGCCTGGGGCATGTTTTGCATGGATCCAGGGTCGGCAGGGAAGCCTTTAGACCATTCTAGTGGTGGGTGTATTAGCGGGGCGTGGGGATGAGCAAGACTACTTACCGGGAGACCCTACCGAAGCGTACGCGACGCCGTCGTCCCCGCTGGCCCGCCGGAAAAGGGCATGGACTGGGTGACTGTCGGGTTGGTACCAAGTGCTGGGCGTAAGGCCGTAGGGGTGATATTGGCCAACAATACCAAATGCGTGGACCGCAGGGCCGACAAGAAGAAGGGCAGGAAAAAGAAGGCTTGACATAGCGAGTCGGTAAGGGATCAAAAGGAGAGGGGGGGTTATCTAGGCTGTAAACGTTGGCCGGGTGAAGGGGGGGAGAAAGGAAGGAAGCGGTAAGAGGGAACGACAGCGGCGGCTGGCATTTTGTACTCTCCGTCCTGCAAAGTGAACCAAACGTTAGCCACCACAACATACCAACCAAGTTACTTGGATTTCCTCTTTGAGGTTGTTTCTCGATCAAAAGACAGGGGCTCCGACTTGCGGGCCACGCTTGCAGCTCACCAGGGCAAAGTTTTCATCGTCATATTCTCAGTCTCACCGCAAGAAAGTGTTAACCTGAAAACGACAACGACTTCAGCACGAAAGATGCAACTACACCGAACAGAACGAGTTACCTTACGTAACTGCATCCTCGTACAAAACATACTCCTGTCGTGCTATTCAGTGTGCAAGGTAGAATGTCATTACCGACGGACACTTTGATTGTAGTACAACCAACAACAAGACCCATAGCTGTATGTCAGTCTACGCCGCACCTGTAGGCACCGGTGACCCCGCTGCTGACTCTCCACGCAACACATTCTTCAGGATCAAAATACCACCCTTCAACTGTGCAACCTCCTTCACCATAGCGGTGAACCTCGCCTTCTTAGCCTCGCTCGTCAAGTAGGGCGTAAAGTGCTGGATACAATCCCGCGTCGTTGCATTGGGAGCATTCTGCAACCAATCAATCAACATTTTTTCCTCTAATTCTCCTTCGATTGGAGGTCCAGTCGGCAGTGGCTTCCGTTTCTTGGGTTTCGGTTGTGCATTACCATTGCTCGTTGGAGTCGGTGATGCTACACCACTCAAATCATCTGTCGCTTTACGCTTTTGCGACGTCGCAGCGCTACCTGGAGGTGGAACAACGGGACTCCTGCCGGAACTCGCAGCGGGGCTCGTGGCACGACTTCCGGTAGGGCTCCCAGCACGACTTGATGTCCCACCCAGTGGGCTGTTTCCTCGACTGACACTGGGTTTAGGTGCCTTTGGACTGGTTGCTCGTTTGGCAACAACAGAATGGCCACCCATACCCGTAGCAGGTGCCGGTGAGACAGCCCGTGACCCAACGCCGTTAGCAGCGTTGACGACAGAAGGTTGGGAGGGTTTAGAAGGAGGCTGCTGCGAAGGGGTACGACTCTTGGTCTGCTGCGGTTGTGGCTGAATGGCTGGCTCGTTGGTCACGAGCGGAGGTTCTTCCTCTTCTTCGTTTTCGTCCTGTCCCCGACGTCAAGAACAGGCAAGCGGACAAACGAAACAGAGACTCACCGAGCTCGCGTACGGATCCCGTTCTTCATCACTTTCATATGCCACATTTTTATCCAGTTTACGCACAAGCTTCTTCAGGAATTTACCATCTTTCGTCAGCTGACTGTCACCCTCTTCATCATCAGACTCGTCAACGTAGCCGTCACGCTGTTTGTTGGCTAATTTGTACTCCCGCTTTAATCGTTCCTGGAAAGGGATCAATAGATAGAAACCCTCGGAAATGAAAAACAACTCACCTCAAGCTCCTTGGCCTCTTCATCATCCATGTCCTGAGCTTCATGCTCATCGTCGTCTGCAACATCATCGTCAAATAGCTGCTCATCCAGATGACCCTCGCCATCGTCCTCCTGTTTCACCCGCCGACTATTCCCTTCCTCATCCTCGTCGAGACCTCGCGAACCCCTGTTTACACTCATCAGAGACCGCCCTCCGGGGCCCCGACTCTGGGATACATTATAGACGAGGGGTGCACCACCAACCACAGCATCAGGATCGGCTTTGAACATAGCCGCCGTTGCTGCAGAAGGACCTTGACCATGTCTTCGATGGAGCAACCAACGTTCTGGGTCCTTATTCTTCTGTATCCTAGCCATCTAAGGCATTCAGGAAATGGCAGGTCTGCACAAAACGGGAACACGAAAAAACCCACCAGTGACTCCGCCTCTTGTAGGTCAGGAATATGGTGTTTGGGTTTCTTGTGAAATTTGTACCATCTGTGTGCAGGAACGAACTTGAAAACGTCTTGTTGTGCAGGCATGAGGAGGGCGTGAGTCTCCGCCTTCGAGACTTCCTCTAATTGTCCAATCCAGACTTCATTACGTCGTGCATCTTCCATAACCCATGGGTATCTTTCCTCCCTCTTAAGCTGCCTCACGTCCTCCGGAACCTTGAATACCTGCCGCGTCTTTTTTTGTACCTTCTTCTTTCCGTTAGCAACTCCCTTTCCCTTCTGATCTCTCTCTTTCACGGACTCCTCACCCGTACCACTGTTGATTGGTCTCCCGTCCGCATCTACCATGACGAGTCTGCCATCCGTGCCAATGACAGGCTTCCCGTCGGGGCCTAGCATCGGTCTTACTGGTACCTGCTCCTCCACCGTTTCCTGTCTCCTCAATTCTTTCCTGTTCAACTTGATAGGCGCTTCCCATGTCGATATATCTATTAACTTTCGAGAGTCAAATCGCATTACGTCGTATTTCCAACCGTTGAGTGCGGACGACATGAGTTTGTATTCCGAATATTCGCCCTCTGGGAGTTTTGAGCCATCATCTGCGTCAACGACGGGTTGCAGACGAGAAGGAACAGATTTGCGAGGAGTGCCGGGCGTGGACGTGCCCTGTGATCCACTTGGAGGGGTAGCAGATGGCTCTTTCTTGACAAGTGGCCTCTTCTTGTGGAAGAGTAAAGATTCGGCAGACTTTGGGGCCATGCTAGTAAACAGTCAGACACGAAACACGGGCTTGTTCCCCTCAAAGGGCGAATGTCGCAGGCAACATAGGTTGCACCGCCACAGCGTATGGGTATCTCGTAAGCACAACAAAAACGTTTCTTGGCAAACAAATCCAATTCAATCCAACAAGTACAGAGGAAAAAATAGATGTCCCTTGGATCGTACATAGTCAGATGCTGGTGGTGGGGTAAGTGCAAAGGTTATATACATCAAATCTTGTCAGAGGAAATGATTCACGGAGAAGAAACGAAATGCCCATAATCGACAACAAACACACAAATTCCGACACAACACGAGATGCAGAGGAAAAAAGAAAGAGGAAAAGAAACATAGCATCGACGGGGGCTAAGTAGGAGGGCCTTCCACCCTACTCGTAGGTATACTACTCGTACCGTTTGTGCCAGGAACACCAGCGGCTGGTTGCTGGTGAGGTGGTGGACCGCCACCAGGTTGGTAGCCATTATCCGAGGAAGACGGTCGTGCTTGGGGCTGTGGATGAGGTGGAGGATGGGCGTGGGGAGGCGGGGGATGGGGCATCGTGCCGGGGGGTGGTGGAGGGTACGGTCCCGGTACTGGTCCTTGGCTATAAACAATAGGATGTGGGGTTCCACTGGGTCCAAAGGGCATGCCTTGTCGCACGTTGTCAAGTTCATGTCTTAGCATGTCAATCTCACGGGCCATATCCTGGTGACTCTGCTTGAGGTTGTTTACAAAGTCGATGGCTAGGATGGGGTCAGTCTCGTGTCAGCGAAAGAACTGTTCAATCACCTTTGCTTAAAATTTCCCACTTGCTGGCTTTCATGCCACGGTCAGCGGGCAACTGGTCTCTTAGTTCGTCGAACAATTCTTTCATCTCTTTACGTCTCTTTCTCTCAGCGAGCTTGTGAGATACTCGAAGTTCAGGCGAGCGCGAGTAAGGAGTCGTTCCGGGCTCCTTGGCTGGTTTCAGAGTAGTTGTGGACGACGGCGGAGCCGTGGAAGGCTCTTCCGTCGAGGCTGCGGTACCTGCCTGCGTGGCAGAAGACTGCGCAGGTTCGCGTAACTGGCGAGAGGGTGGGCGTGACCTGGAGCGTACATGTCTGGTTGGGCCCACGGCAGACGTGGCGTTTTCTGGGACAGACATACGTCTGTCCGGAGGGAAGGTCATTGGGTGCATGATGGGCATTGGTAGAGTCTGAGGTTCAAACGGACGAGTATGACTTTGTATATTAGGGTCTGGGTGGCCATCCGGATGTTGTGTTGCAGGCCACACGAAAGTCGCCATGCTACCAGACGTTGTGGGTGCGGACGGTCGTCCATGTGGTTGTTCACCGGAAAACGCCGAGGAATAGCCACTGGATCCATTCGAGAGAATGGCAGGTAACGAGTCTCGTCTGTCAGGCCACCACTGCGTGCCATTGCCTACGGGTCCTCCTCCTGTCACACCGGGACCAGATACCATCGCCCCAGCATGTATCGAATGCCGTCGGTGATCGTATATGCTTAGCTGCGCTACCCTATGGGTGTCTACGGCAGACCCTCTGCGTTTGGGCGCACGGTCCTCAAGATCCACGTTGCTGGAGCTGGGTATCCCGGGACCAACCAGCTGAGAGTCCGTATCGTCGGCTGTAGCCGCTTCTCTGTCTATGGACATCTTGCGTTTTGTGCCGTGTGTGTACTGTGAATCCGAGGAGGTCTAGTCGGGCAATGAGAGAAGAAATGGATACGAGGCAGGTTGTCTCACTGCTATCGATTGCCGCCTTGAGTTATTAAAATCACTATCATCCTGATGCCGAATACTCGTCCGAGGTGACTGCTTGTCGTCGATGTGCATATGGTCCCCTGAGCTCATATTTCCTAGGTAGAGTGGTTCACGGATTGATTAGGGAGGACATGGGAGGACATACTGGAATTTCCGTTCGCGTGGGATGACGCACGGGGGCTCGCGACGCCCTTGCCGTTCACGGAGTGACCGTGATCTCTGTCGGGCGATGGTGACCGCAATATTTTGCGCATCTGTTTGTTCGATGGTTCGGAGTTGATGTTGGAGAGGCTGCTGTCGCCGAACACGTAGTTTGCCGCTGGACGCGGTCCTGTCGGGGCGTGGGTGAGTGACGGGAGACGAGATGATAGGGAGGACATTGATACCATCCAAATGGCGCAGTGTGGAGGGGGCGGTCGATGCCGCATGGAGAGAGGGATCGGTGACGGAGCCCCTTCGTTGTTGCTGGAGGTAATCGAGGGGTGGAAGAGAGATGCCGGGGGAGTGTCTGGACGCATCTTTTTGGGAATGAGAAATGGTGGCCGGGATGTGGTCTGAGGACGGTGATTGCAGCGACCGTTGTTCGTGTCTTATCGTAGTCGCCATTGTCGCCGATGCAGGCATGGACACAGACAGCCCGCGATGGAGGGGGCAGAGTGAGGAGGACGAGCAAGCAGGGATGTGAAAGTCGACGTTATAGAACGACACAGTTTGCCGTTTTCGGCGCTGAGCAACGTGACTTAGCGGGGACACACGTGGCCCAGCCAACTCTACCAAATCAGGTTACATTCAAGCCAAGCTGTCCCCCTTCTCTATACAACCTGTAAACAACCGTCTAGCTGCGTCCTCATCAGCACTCCCTGCTGTCTCTCATCCAGCTCGATATTTCGGATATGTCTCGTCTTCATACTGTTCCTTGTCAACCTCCCGGATTTTGCCCTTGCCACTTCATCTCGTGCCATCTGTTCGAGATTGTCATCAACCACGACCATGTATCTCACCCACGGTATGTAATCCAGGAACACGCTGCTCTGAGGCATCAGAGGTGCTGGCGGTTGGATGATATGCTGCAACGCGCCCGCGATCTCAGATTGATATGCCACGCGAGATCGGAAGATTTCCGCCTCCTCAGTCGTTAGCCTAGCCGCGGGGTTGATCGACGCCGCCGTCGGATCCGTGTTCAGTTCCTCGTGTATACCACGTGAAAGCAGGATGGCATCTTGCGCAATGAGCTCATCATAGTGGTAGAACGCTAACCCTTCCCTTCCGTTGGAAACGCAACCGTCCATGAATAGTATATTGTGTCCTAGCTCATCATCAAGCGTGGGCTCGGTCATACTCAAACTCAAGGCCTGCACAACTGCAATCAGTCACAACGGCGAAACGGAGCTCCTCGCGAAAACATCACCTCCGGCGTGTGCAACGGTGCCCTGCACAGGTTGCTGTTTACAAACGAGAGAAGGTCCGCGTGCTTGCTCATTCGCCGCCACCGTTCACATTCAGTTGATGGCAAACGAGTGGCATTGGACTCAACGGAAATTGGTCGACCTGATCGCCGAACGTGTCCTCCAGCCTCACGAGTTCCTTGAAGCATGTTTGATGCTGATCCACGAGCTGCACTCAAGCAGAGCATTTGCAATTGAGTGATCGTGCGCCTGAGATCGGGAGAAGGCAGTGGCTCAGTTCTGGGATATAGGGGTGGTTCTGGCACGTCTATCCCGTCTATGGTAGGCGTTGTTTCATATAGTGCCATCAGGCGTTCGCGTGGAACAGGGCAACCTTGGGCAACCATCACAGACTGGAGGTAGCTAACCGCCAGTGGAGACGGACAAGACTCGAAAACGAGGATAGTCTGCAATGGCAAGCTTGTAATTGGAACTAGCCGCAGATCTTGGCAAAGCACCCATCAGCACAGACCCTTGCGCCATTCCTTCAGGGGAAGCTCACCATTACATGTCATTACAACCGGCCTTTTGCAGTCCCGTATGATGTCGACCACAGCAGGCCAGAAGCCGGCGTCATCTTTGAACAGAATATCGACCTCTTCCAGAAGCACAAGTGATTGTCGAACAGTAGGCTCAGCCTCGGCAACGGTTGGCTTCGGGGAGCGAGGACCCACAATTTTACTCGATTTTTCGGACACACAGTTCGTCGCGCCAATAGCATCAGGGATTTCGACCCTTATGCCAATGGGATCATCCATCGACCCCTCTTTCGTTCTACGTACAACGGATTCTTGGTTGCCCCTACCAAACAAGGTTGACAGAGTTGCTGGTGACCCTTGCTCCCCTTGTCGCCTGGAGGAACGACTCTGCGATACTTGAATGATGTGGTTTTTCCCCACGTTACCAACAAGATAGTCTAGATTTGCGGAAGTACGCCGACCTATACCCGGGTATACCTCGAAGACGTCCCACCCCAGTTCCTCTGCACATGCATAGACCGCAGCGGTCTTACCGCACCCTGGCGGGCCAGCAATAAGCAGTGTGTTGGACAGAGTGTCAGAAAAAGTAGGCTCCGCAAGCGCTTCGTTCGCATCACTTATTGCACGGTTGCTACTACCCGACAGCTGGGCAGGATCAATAGGAGGGGTACTACTTGGTTGTGAGCGCAAGCTATCCTGCCGATGGAGTCTGGATAAAGTTTGCTGGCAGAACGCGAACTCGTCCTCTGATTCTTCAGAGGCAGGAACATCGGAGATATCGTCACCGTCACTGCAAACAAAATCATTCAACTCGTCGTCTGAGCCAAATCTTCGTTTCTTTCGACCTCGCCGTTTGGTGATCGCACGGACGACGCGGGGGCGCTTCTCGCCTCGTGGTTGTGATCCTGCAGGTTCACACTTACTGCGTTGCCTGTTAGTGGTGTCCGTTTGCCCATGGTTTGCTGTCCGTTGAACATGCGAACGCAGCTCTAACGCTCGGAGCCAACTTCGCAAATAAACCGCGCGTTGCTCGTTGCCTAGCACCTCTTTCGCACGTTTCGGACGAAAGCAATAGGTCCACATGTCACCGGTCGCATTGGAAGTGTGGAGGTCAGGCAGAGTACGAGAGATGGCAGGGTGAGCAGTAGCATGATCCTCAGTCGTCTCCAGCAAGAGATCCTCTTGGTCATTATGGGACGAGTGCTGCCACCACAATTGTACTTGATGATCGTAATATGGAGCGATCCCGTCATGCGTTTGCTTGGTAAGGAAGCTCAAAGACCAGTCATCACGGCGCGTTTTAGAAGTAGAGCATGATCTACCTCCCAGCGGGGATCCCGAAGCGGAAAAAGAACACCATGTACCACGAACATGCTGAGACTCTCGATCAGGGAAAGGTGCTACGGCCCCAGAGCCCCATGGGACGCGTGAATTAGATCGTACTGGTTTCTTGTTAGGATTGTGACACCCCGAGGATGTACTTTTGAGTGATTTAGCTTGGCTGGCTGAGAGGGGACTGGGAGAACGGGCACGAAGGCTTGACACAGAAGAAAGGGGAGAAGAGGCGCGGGAGCTTAGGTTTGCGCGACTGAAGTCCGAGTGGAGGGAGCCCTGTGACAATGGAGGCAACTCGGCCTCGGTAGTTGCACATTCCGAAGAGGTGCAAGCTTCATCATCATCGACATCGATGATTTGAGTGGGATGCTTCTCTCGGTAAGGTCTGACAAACAGTGGATATAACTTGTTGGAAGTATGCCCTACATTTCAAGGGTGGTGAAGTTCGCCCAAGCCCAAAGATGAACGCACCTTGTTTGGCTGCTACCGTACGAGAGGACGTGGGATCTACTACTGGGCGCTCTTCGTCACTTGTCTCTGTATCGACGTGAATGATATCCACGGATTTCTTGGTTTGGCTTCCCACTGGAGCCACAGAGTCTTGGAGAGAATGAGCATTTCTCTGGAAATGCTCCCGGAGGGTTTTCTGGACGGTAGCCTGCAATAAGTTTCGATACCCCCAGCTCAGAGCACTAGCAACAGGCTGATTTACCGATGGTGGGTTAGCGCTACGCGTTGCCCTGCCTCTGCGTTTGTCTGGCATGGTTAAAGTTACTCGGTCCGGGCGCGAGTCGACGCGTGACGAAAAATATCCCACGCTGCAGACCAAGTCGCGATAGAACTCATCTGGGATATGTATTTGCCTTTGAACAAAGACACCATCACCCACCTCATCGGGGCATATTAGGCATGGACTCCCCTTCGCCAAAGAAATCGAAAAAAGACAAGAAGGAAAAAGAAAAGGACGAAATCATCATCCCGCTGGAAGACCTTTCCCCCATCGCCAGTCCACTGGCGCAGAAAAAACTGGTGAAAAAGCTGCACAAGACGGTTAAGAAAGGTGGGCTCGCTGCACCAACGTGTGTGTCTATATGTCGATGGCAACTCCCCCTCCACAGCCTCCAAGGCCAGGCAGGTGAAACGCGGCGTAAAGGAGGTGGTTAAGGGTATACGCAAGGGAGAAAGAGGGTTGGTAGACACCACTGGCAGTTACCACATCTGTGCAACTGACCTGCATGTTCCTCCGTACAGCTTGCTCATTCTCGCCGCTGACATCAACCCAATTGATATTATTTCGCATCTACCCGTGCTCGCGGAGGAAGCACAAATACCCTACGTGTTTGTACCATCGAAGGAGGAACTCGGACACGCGAGCTCGACTAAACGACCGACGAGTTGCGTCATGGTATGTCCAGATCAGAAGCGCAAAGTTCAGAAGGATGCAGAGGGTGGTAATGAAGACGACTACCGGGAAGTGTACGAAGAGTGTAGACGGGAAGTAGCAAAGCTTGACACCAAAGTCATTATCTGAGCTTAATATACGCCCAGTACAAAACGCATCTTCGTTCAGTACGCTTAACGTTTGGCACTTGGCAATGCCCCGGGCTTTTTGTGTTGACCGAACCGGTGCCAGACTAGGTCGAAATCCGTGGGAAAAGATTTCCACACCTGAACTCGCTCCTCATCTTCCGCCTTCTAAAAAAGCCACGAATAAAATTTTCACACGGACCTGTAGTTTGCTTTCGTTACCCTCCAGGTCTTTCCCACTACTGACTATGGCGCCGACGCAAAAACAGAAGTCTGGGTCTACAAACACCAACGGTCGCACAGCACCTGGCAAGAGCGACGAGGCCAGCAGAGTCCCATCTTCACCCTCCCCCAAAGCTGCTGCTGCGGGAGTAACGGAGCGGACTCCTTCCTCCTCCACGAAGCCAGACAAGGCTGCGTTCGAGGCCGAAAAAGCCAGAATTCAGTCAGAGATCGATGTAATACAGGCTAAAGTTGTGCGTCATTTTTTCTCCATGCAAGTACTTGTTGCAGTAGCCTGACACGTCATGCGCAGAATGCTGTTCGCGCCAAATTGTCAAATGTACATAAACCGGACGGTCCCAGTGATAGGGTTACTACCCTTCGCGCAGAGCTGGAAACCATACGAGGACAACAGTCTGGCAATAAGATGAGCCGAGGTAAGATCATGGAGCGGATCAAGGCCTTGCAGGACAACATACAAAATCAGGTATTGATCGTCAACACTCCCCTTTACTGCTGGACTCTGATGGAATCATCGTGTCGCAGAACAAGGAATTGCAGGCTGCCAGGGCAAAGGCGTCCTTCCGAACGGTCGCCGACGTCGACGCTCAAATCCAGTTCGTAGTCGCAAATATTACTTTGGCCCCCGTTAACAACTCTCGCTTTTTTTAGGAACCTGAGAAATCAAGTCGACTCAGGAAAGATGAAACTCGCGGATGAAAAGCGCGCCCTTCAAGAAATATCACAACTTTCACGGTCACGCAAGACTGTAGAGAGCTTCCAAAGCAAGCAGGATGCCATCGAAGCAGACCGTCATGCCGTGGACGAACTGCGCAACCAACTGGACGACCCCGAGGCAATGGCTCTGTCTAACCGTTACGAAACCATCAAAGCGGAACTGGACGGGCTCAAGAAGGAGTCTGACGACATCTATGTTGGTCGCTCCAAGCTCATCAAGGAGCGCGACGAACTTCAAGCCCAACTGAACGACCTGTACAACAAGAAGCGAGAGATCTCACAAGAGTTCCGTGATGCTTCGGATCGCTTTTGGACCAAGATACAGGAAGACCGCGCTCGTAGGCTTGAGAGAACTCGCGCCCAAAAGGCCGAAGAGGAAGCTAGACAGAAACTCGAGGTAGTAGAACGCTTGCGCGAGGAGGCAGCCTTGCCAGCTTATCAAACGCAAATAGAAGATTGTCAGATTCTCATCGACGCCTTATCGGGGAAGACCACCTCTACCGCAGCACTTTCTTCTGCGTCGTCATCCGTAAAGGCTGATCTGGCCGGAGTACCAAAACTCGAACCAAGAAAAGTCGAAGATGTCGACCAGGGCCTGGTAGTGCGGAAGAAGAAGGGTGAGGAAGAGGCATACTTTGTGGGGAAGCAGAAGAAAGGAAAGAAAGACAAACCGACCAAGTCTGGCAACCTCAACCTTTCATTACCCATGCTGAAAGCTCTACTCTCTCTCTCGATACCTGCTCCGACTGGTCCAGACGATGTCCCGCGTGTCATTGAAGACATCAAAACCAAGCAAGCGTGGTTTGTGGCCAATCAAAAACGTGGCACAGCGGAGAACATGGCGAAAGCAGAGATGGAGATACAGCGTCTCACCAGCGGGATCAAGCTAGACACGACGCCATCTCGTATAGAGTCGCCACCAGAGGACCCTAATGGAGAAGTAGAGTCGGGAACGCTAGATAACAGCCCAGTGCTCGAATCTACGGTGTCCACCGACGACGCAGTCTTGGAGGTTGGGGCAGAACAGTAATTTGCAGGGGCAACGGGTTGGACCGCCTGATACCGTATCTTACAATCGCGTACACTTACTAGAATCATACCAGAAGGCAAAGCCGCATAGTCCGGAGAGAATGGAAATAATTATTCAGGTTAGAATCAAGACACATACAATACGAAGGAAATGACTGAAAGCAAGTCAATACAGATATACGCGCAATGGCTGACGAATAAATGACAGGGGGAGAGTGATATCGACATATGTAATAACCAGCAGAAATTATGTCTTCTGCGAAGAGCCCGAAAAACCCGATTGGTATATAGTTTTTAGTGAGAAATTGGCTATACATTTAGGAGGCAGTCTCCACTTTAATCGGTTCAGCCTCGCGATCTGGTTCGGTGGTATTGCCAGGCGCCAAGCTCAAGTCTTGGGGGGTGAAGGACGCAACATCAAACGTGTTGGTTGTAGCGTAATCGGAAAAAGAAAGACCAGCTTGGTGAACAGAAGATATTGAGTCGTCGGGAGGAACCGAGGCATCCATGTAGTTCAAGCTGCCGTACGCATCAGAACCGAATCCGGGAGCTGACGTATCCAGCGCGCCAGGGGGGAATGGGTCCTGTTGCAATGCAGCGAGCATGCTCGACGTAGTCGGTGCACGATGGATTGCGTGCTGTTGGGATCGAGCTTCCAACCCACTAAAGCTTTCTTGGCCGGCCATAGGTGAAAGAGAGAAAAATTGTTGTATCACAGGCTCCACTGAAGCCGCCACAGATGTGGTGGACAACGCGACACTCCTCAAAATATTAACCGCTATCCAATCGCTGTGTCTCATCAGTAACAATGTTCAAAGTGGTTCCGTGTACACACGCACTCGAGGAACAGCTTCAGGATCTGGAAAGCCCCGAATGCGGGGTCACTTCTAATAGTCTAGGTGTGGAGTCAGAACGTAGCAGCGGACGATAACATGACGAAACAAGCTTACAAGGTCCCGCATGACCTGACTAGTTACATATCCCCATCGAATAAGGATACTGCGCGAGCTCAAGGCGCCTCTTTCGTCGCTCGTGCCTATGCGCTGCTCCATAAGCCTTTCAGTACATTTGTCAGCCCATGCCATCACTTCTCTGACGGGCTCGTTGCTCTTCGAGAGAGAATCCAGCATGGCCACAAACTCTACTTCCAAGAGTTGCACGAGATCCTCATGGCGGCAGTTGCACACTAATGCTGACTGATTCCGAACAGCCTCGAAATCCAGCTTTTGCCAGGAACGTCGCATCTCCGCAAGTTGCTTTTGATTCGTAAGGACTGTGTTGAGAGCCTGGGTCACCTGATAAATGTCTAGGAATCTCACTGGAAAAGTGTCAGGGAGGCGGGAAAGGTTGTAAGACACCCAATGATACGCACACACAAGGTGTCCAAAGCGCGCCCCCAGCTCTACTTTTGGTTCCATAAAGGTACTCCCGTAGCCTTCAAGAGCAAGAAGTAAAATTTTCTCCATTTTTCCGGCAAACTGCCGGAGGCTGGCAATGGAAGTTGAAGATATGGGAGACAGCATTTGTGAGCGGAGGAACTCCAGAATTTCCTGGATCAAAAGTCAGAGAATCGCGACCGCGCAACTTATCAACGGCTTACATCATAGACTATCGCGTCGGCCTTAGCCATTAGGCCTGCAATAGCTGGTGCATGCACGATCTCGCGGTGGCTGCCAGACAGAGTTGACCAAAAATTGCGCAGGTTTATTTCAAACTGATCAAATCGGAAAGCGCGGGCACAGTCTAAGACTGCGTCGAGATGATCCTGGAACCAGTTCCAGACTTCCCTGGCGGCAATGCTATGCGGGGAAGCGGAGTTGGTTCCAACGGCTTCCTCGATGGACGGAAAGTGAGGCATAAGGCGGACGGAGTGATATTGTTTGGGGTGTACAAATGAACCATTTGCGCCTAGTGATAGCGTTGGTTGCGGTGCGAGACTGGGGTCAGGTTGGCTTGTGTGACGGCGGATTGAAGCGTGACTAGGATAGGCGTTGTTTCTCACAGACGCTTGAGCCTGAGAAAGGAGACTACCGGTGGTGGGTGTTTTGTCGCTTAACTCGTCGTACGGAAGGCTGCCTTTGAGATCTCCGGAGAGAGCGAGAGAGTTCCGCTTAGAGGCGCTGGATCCTTCTGAATCCTCGTCTTCGTCTTCATCTGACCGCTCCTCACCCTTGTTTGCATTCTCTGTGGATTCCTGCGCGGCACGAGCAGCATTAATAGACGACTGCCCCGCGTTGTTGTTGGACTTGCGAATGTAATCCTGAAGGAACTCCGCTTCTGTTGAGGTAGCTGGTCGAATGCCGCAATCTTATTGTTTCAGTCACCCAATGAGAGGGATCCATCATCAGTCTTGCTCCGATCAAGACATCATGAATTACAACGGGCACGCTTACAGTGATATTTGCTATTTCCGCGTACACCGAGACGGCGTGTCTTGATGTTTGGGAAACACAGCCTGATCGCTTTACCAAGCGTAGCAGTGTTTATATGAGGGATCCCGTACTGGTCGCAGACGCGACGATAGGAAAAATAGAGACCCTGACGGGGTACATTGCCGTCGGGGTAGGGTGCATAATTGGCAGTCAACCTAATGTGTCCGAAGGGTCAACAAAAAGGTGTGAAAGGAAAAGGAGGCTTACCAAGCCTGCACGAAAATCTGCTTTGCCCTGTCGGACGCACTGGTTGTAGTGGCGGTGCGGACGTTCATAGCCAATTTTTCGAGAGCGTGGTCTGGACTGATTGACATCCTCCCAAAAGTGCCTCCTGCGGTGTGCATGGTATCTTGATGACTGGTGGGCATGGGATGGCCATGCCCGTACATGGGAGGGTAATCAGAAGAATTGCCGAGGTACATGGAGATATCGTCTGCTTCGCTTGAGGATGAGTGTACGCTCTCTGTGTCGCGAGGATATGGAGATGTGGCGGCACGGGCTCTGAGATGAGTCTGTCTGATGTGACCTTTGAGGGCGGGGTTTGCAAGATTGCTGTTTGGGGGTGATTGGCCTGGTGAGAGGTCAGTATGGGAGAGAGAATAAGCGGGGGTGTGGCGGATATGATCTGTGCCTATGTAAGAGAGACGGTAAGGGTCCTCAGCAGGGGTGGACATCCCAGATGGGAACCGGGAGAGGAGACCGTGCGAGGACTGAGGACGAGAACTGGAAGAAGCGAAAGAGTTTGCACGAGAAGGAGGGTGGTTGGGTGGCAAGTAGTCCAGAGGGACACTGACGGCCGTCATACGCGCCCGGGAACAAAGAGAAGGGGAAATGAAGGTGGAGTGCCGACGACGATACCGACTCGGCGCAACAGGGCGGACCAGCCGACTGAGACGGGGGGAATGAGCGTTCGAGGGTCGAGCGAGGATAATAAAGAGGAGAAAGAAGAAAAGAAAAGGAAGAGGAAAGGAAAGGGGGAGGAGGAGCGGATCGCTGCTTGGCTGGGGACCAGTGGTGTCTTGGAGAAACAAGAGAAGGGGGGAGCGTGTCAGTCAAGTAGTACAGGGATATGATGACGGGTCGTCGGTCGTACGTGGTCAAGGCAACCGACGGTAATAAGATATCTTTTTCCTTCTTTCTTTTTCTTCTTCCTTTTTTTGGCCCCGAAGTTGCCTATTCAGACTTGCAGTTCCCTTTATCGCCTCACTCTGCTTCACTGGCAGTGTCAATATATCTTCCCACAGCCGAGCCTTCAATCACACACACAGGCCAGCAGTGCCCGCCACTGCGATATTACAATCTATGGCTCATCCGTCCCCCCAACGTACATGTACTTTCGGAACCGTTTGCGAAGCTTCCCGCCCTCTTTCCCGATCTTCCTCGCCAATTCCACCCACGACGGTATCGTAAGGTCCTCCATCTCATATGGCGCGTACTTCGACTTCTTTACCTCAGCATCCCGCAGCTCCTCCGGCAGGCTCTCCAACGGAATGAGGGGCTGTGTATTTGATGTCCGCCCTGCCACTCCCCCTGTGTGCAATCTTAATAACGAGAACGTCAGATACTCCAGCTCATACTCCGGCGTATCCCTCGCATCGTATTTCTCCACCTTCGGCATCCAATACTATACACCATGTCTTCAACACTTCACCGCTCCCCTTCAAACAGAATCGCTCACCTGTGCATAGCCAAGCGGCGTCCACAGCACATTCCGCCGCGAAGGCGACCCAACATGAACCTTGCAATCAAAATCAACGCCGCATCCTCCTAATTCATCTCTCTCGGGTCCTCCTTCGCACTTCACCGCTCTGTTTCCAGACTTTCTTTGACAATCGGGGGACCCTCTAAACCCGACCCCGCCGTAGTGTCCACTCATACCCACTTCCCGCACCCCAATGTCCGTCAAACCTGTTACGTTGTACACGTACGCCCTGAATGTCGGAACGTAAGGATTCGGTACCACAGACGGATTGACGTTAACAACTGCATAGTCCCCATAGTCTATCTCGTCCTTGGGACCCGGCAGCCGCAAAAAGTCCGCGATCAACATATCGAATAATGAAGCTGCATGCTTTGTGAGTTCGGGCGTCTCTTCTGCGTCCGCATCCGTATCCCCCTCCACGTGGACGTCGTCCGCCTTCATAAAGTAAAACTGTGGTTGATATAATTTAGCCATATAGCGGTTCCTCGGGAAAATAATCGTACGTGATCGGTATTAAGGTGCTGTGGGCCAAAATTAGGCCTGTATACGGCGGATATGATTCGCACACTTACACCGAAAAGATGTCCGAGAATCGTGTCTTGGAATCGTAGGCTCAATTCCACGTAGCGACCGTACTGATGAGTCGATCAGCCAGATAACCAAGTCCGCCCCGCGACAACTCACACATCGCGAATAATAATGTTCATCTGTCGGCGGAACATGGCCTGAACACCGTAAGCCGCGATTCTTCCACGCAAATAAACGAAACACACCCGTCACCCACACCTGTTCGTAATTCAAGATCGATGCTTGCGTGGATCTGATGCAACCAGTATTAACATACTCACCTGCAACTGACGGGAACGGAACGTTGTCAACTGATCCTCAAACCATGCGAATTGCTGGTTTCCCGGGTCATCATCGTCACCTGTTGGGCAACCATTTACACCTACGGGAGATGGCATTGATGACGATTTCAGACGACATTAGTATTGGCCTGTACGTGCCTTCGTTGGAAGAGTAGAAATACATCGTGTTGAGGCTGACAACAGCAAGTGCACCAGGCACCACTTCTACGGAAAAATAACCGCCCCGAAGGAAAGATACTTGGGAATCCGGGGGTATGAAACTGCCCCACATCCTGTGGAATCATAAGACTCGTGTCTCCATAGTGCTGGACAACCTACGAAGAGTATGTTCTGGTGATGTCATTGGGACCTGTGGTGTACGTTGGGCGTCAACCGACCATGTTTTGGCACAACCTGAAACTAACTGGCCTGGAAGAAGGGTATTCTGATCACCGTGTCAGCTTACGCTAAAGTCGAGGTAGTAAACGGTCTTACGTGTGCTAAAGCCGAAAGTGCCGCGGGCGTCAGACAAGAAGGAACAAAACAAAAACAAGAGCACCCACGCCAGACGTCGTTGTTCCCTGGGCAAGAGTATGACTGCCATCGACGCCACAAGGAAGACAGGACACCTTACCTATAGTTGGTACCACTGGAATGCCTTTACTTGAAAAGACCTGTTTCATCTTTTCGGCTACGGCTCCATTGAGTTCGTAGACCTCACTGAGAGGTCGTGGGATCTTGTCGTCATTGTCATGCCTTGTGAGAACGATGTCAAGTCGATGGCAGTCAGACAGGACCCAGCATCGTACCTGGCACTGTCCCCAGTCCCTGGTTTTGGAGCATCCGAGACCTATACAGGTGGACAATGTTGCAAAGAGACTCACATATTACGAAGTCTATTTCATCGCTCCAGCGCTCTTCTAGGTAATCGAGCGTGAAGTTCGTCAGCGCAAGTGGAGAGTCGCACTCCCTACGCCAAGCGGGTCACGTAAATGACGGAGAAACAGCAAGATGGGAGACATACTTGTAGGCCGTTCCGTAGTACCCGGCACGGCGTTTCTTCTTGGGCTTTTTTCTGTGGCAAGCAGTGGAAGGGTGGGCACCGCGTTTGTAGTAGGGGTCGGGGTGTAGATCAGTTATATGCAAGAACCTACCATGGAAGCGACGATCTGCAAGAGATCAGATCAATGTAGCACACGATGGATAATCCTGATCAACATACCCTCCTGTGATGAGCGAAGCCGCGGCGCATCGAGCACCACCTGGGTGGGCAAACTCGTGGCTGGCGAGCAGAGGCCTAGCACCAACCAAATGAGCAACATGTGAAGGAAACCTTACGGGTACAGCAATTGCACGCACCACCCTATTATAAGCGGAGGGGGCTGACAGGGAGAACCCACGGAAAAGCGACCCGTCGTCCCACGTTCGTACTGGTGCAAGGTCCAAGCTCTCCAATTCCGTCACCGTCTCAGATACTGTAACCTACCACCATCCACTGAGAAGAATGTCTGAGGAAACTCCCTTGTACGTCCCGCCAGATCCCAAGGCTACTCGGTATTTTTCGTTCCTCGATAAGATAAATGAGAAGTACCATGCCTCGCTCGAAACATACTCTGATCTGCACACCTGGTCGACAAAACACATCGATCTGTTCTGGAACCTCGTATGGGATGACGTCGGTATCATCGGCAGAAAGGGCAGCCATGTCGTCGACAATCAAGCAGTCCCCGCCTCCAACCCACCGTGGTTTCAGGGGGCAAGACTGAACTGGGCGGAGAACATGCTCAGCTGTCGCTCCGAGCACAAGATCGCTCTCATACAAGCAAGTACGTCTTTCTCTCCGTGTTTCATTAATGCTAGATCGACTACATGTGAATGTAGCTGAACCAACACCTAACTGTCCAAGCCTCTACAGATAGGCATGTTACGTACGCGCAGTTGTATGATATCGTGGCGAATCTCGTCTCTGCACTCCATCAGCTGGAGCTTAAACCAGGCGATCGAGTAGCGTCCTATTGTTCCAATTGCATCGTACGTCATTCTGATGCGCAGTGTTCCGTGCTCAGGCGCTCATCAGTTGCACAGGAAAATGTTGCGGCGTGTCTGGCAGCCACAGCGATCGGTACCAATCTCTTTCAGCGTCACTCGCAGAGTGCCCCCTGACTCCGCCTCTCACATCAGGCTGCATTTGGGTCAGCGCTGCTGCGGATTTCGGTGCAGAAGGCGTACTAGAGCGGTAACGAATTCCTTCACATCAAACAGATCCAGATCCCTCAACAGGTGCACAGTTTCGAGCAAGTCCGGCCTCGCGTCATCTTCGCTGTGGACGCTGTGGTGTAGGCTATACTTGACTGATGGAAAGGACTCGGCGGTTAACGTATTGACAGTTACAACGCTAAAGTGCACCAGCACCTGCCAAAATTGCAGGCTTTGCTGTCCGGTCTCCACGAGCGCTGCGCTTTGGAGCCTAAAGTAGTCATCATCGAAACGGGTAAGCGGGACCCTTCCATTCTGATTGGAGGATGGGAGCTCTGGGACAACTTTATTGCCGAGGGGAAGGCAAAGGCCCTTGGACGCAAGAATGGAGAAATTGAATGGAGTCGCCAGAGCTTCGACTGGCCCCTGTGGATTCTTTTCAGCTCCGGAACCACGGGTACGTCGAATTGTACCCGCTAAACTCGTCATCAACTCTGCTGGGATTTCATTGCAGGTCGTCCCAAGTATGCATTTAGTACTCCAACTTCGCCGAGCCGAGCTGATGCACCTCTCTCTAGACCCATTGTTCACCGTGCTGGAGGAATGCTATTGCAGTCGAAGAAAGAATTCGTGATATGTGCAGATCTACGCCCAGAAGACGTTTTCTTTTATTATACCACAACGTGAGTGTACTTCTTCCCCGGAAGTTCGGAATGATCAAACTGCGCCTACATTTCCAGTGGATGGATGATGTGGAATTTTCTTGTGAGTGGCCTGAGCCTGGGTTGTACCCTCGTTCTCTACGATGGAAGTCCTTTGAGGGATCCTGCCTATCTTTGGCGTCTTGTGGATAGCTTGCGAATCACAATCTTCGGAACAAGTGCCAAGTACCTCGATCAACTTTCCGTATGGCGCTCCGTCTTTACCTCGTACGTTGTAACTAACGTGGAGCCAATAGAAAGTTTACAAACCCCGAGAACATCATGATTTGTCGACTTTGCGACATATCTATTCCACGGGTTCCCCTTTGGCACCCGCACTGTTTGACTATGTTTACGAGGATATCCATCCAAACGTTCTGCTTGCCTCGATAACAGGTGAGGTCTGTGCTTGCAGTGCACGATTATATTTATATTAGTATATAGGGGGAACGGATATATGCTCCCTGTTCGCTGGTATGTGCACGGCTCTGCCCGTTTATCGGGGCGAGATACAGTGCCGCATGCTCGGGATGGCAGTGGAAACGTACTCCCAGGAGGGGGTCAAGTCAGAAGAGGGTCAGGCTGGCGAGCTAGTCTGCGTGCGACCCTTCCCTTGCATGCCCCTCGGTTTTTGGCCCCTTTCCGGATTTGATGCACCCGACGAGGCCGTTAGAGCGGCATCGGAACGATTTTACCAAGCCTATTTTGCAGAATACAAACACGTGTGGCGTGAGTGCGACCGCCTCGTGTTTTGGGGGGTGGCATAACTAACATGTTCTCTGTAATGATCAGATCATGGCGACCATGTGTTGCTTACGCGATCACGCGGCGGAAATGGAGGGGGGCTCATCATGTTGGGCAGGAGTGACGGTGTCTTGTGCGTCCATATCTTGTTCGATTGGGAACATCGGCGTGACAATCGGCCCGTAGAAACCCAGGAGGAGTTCGTTTTGGGTCATCGGAGATATACGATGTACTCGATGTGTGCTTCTCTGTTTCCGGACACAGTACAGCTACTAGTACGATTGAGGACGCGCTAGTAGTTGGACAGGCCATTGGAGGGGGTTTAGATGAGCGTGTGATTCTATTCGTGAAACTTCCCGTGGGCAGGACACTAGGTACAGATATGGAGAGTATGATCAAGACGGAGATCAGGGTGAGGAGGACAGCTCGCCATGTTCCTGCCCGAGTAAGTTTACCCTCCCATCATCGTGTCTTCCCCAATGTGTCTGCTAACGAAATCCCCTGTTGGCCGTTCCCAGATAGTTCAAGTAGAAGATATCCCATATACTCTAAACGGGAAAAGGGTAGAAGTGCTGGTGAAGAAAGTAGGTGGATGTTTCGTTTCGGACTTGTTTCGGATGAGGAGGGTGATTTATCCAGATTATCAACGGCGCTCCACTATCCAGTATCAATCCGGCTACGCTACGGAATCCCGAATGCCTTGTCGAGTATGTGCGGGTCAGCGAGCAGCTCCGAGCAGAGGTGGGATCGAAATGATCGTGTACTGTAAAGAGATTGGTTATTTGCCTGACTACTGCGTTGTGGGAACTAAATACTACGCTTCGTCGAAGGACTTTCCATTTTTGTGCACTGCCACGATGCATGCCGCCTCCAAGCCGGACCTCAATGCCTCAAGGCCTCATGTGCAGCTTCCCCGGGGTTTTTTTTTTCTTCGCCCTGTTTCTGTGTCAGGGGCACTCAGAAATTTTCAGGCATGTGGGACGGGCAGGCTGGGGTTCGGCCGGTCCTTTTCAGTGGACCAACAACTCGTGGTTGTGAACACTACCCCCCATCAGAGTCCTGCACGCCGCCTACCCCAACACACACCATACCACGCCGCTTCAGCTACGACGTACCAATACGACCCGAATCCTCGTGTTCGCCCTTGCTTAACCGTTTAATATGAGGCCTGCACCACGTCCACTCCCCCTAAATTGCCAGTATCAGTCATCGGCAACACGCCATCGTCCCCTACTCCCCTCCCCTCAGCGTCACAACCAACATCTCCGGGAACGCCAGACGTCCCGTCGAAAGCGCCTCTCAAGGCTTTCCCTCTCTACGTTCTCTGTCGCGTCCGTCTTTACACGTCCTGCGATGCCTTCCAAGTTCAACATCGCCCGTGCTAGTATTTATGGCAAGTCAATCCACAACGATGCGTTAGGAGAGTGCCATCTCATACCGATTCAACTTTAGGCGTCATTCTGCTCTGGACGGTGATCTGCCTGGCTATTGCAGCACACTTCCAGAGTCTGCTTGTCATCAATGATCTCAGTAGGCCTTCCCTCCACTCTTGCCTAGATCGCGAGTTCATCTCCTCCTCGCTTAGCTCGTTTCGTGCCCTTTGCCATTTTCGTCTGCAGCGCGAGCATGTTGGTTTTACTCACCCTGTGAGTGTCGGTCCGCAGAGCGTTACCCGCTACCCTTACACGTCGTGGTTAGCCTTGGATGCAGTGTGCTGCGTACAGGCAACCCTATATCTACCCGCATCGAACTCGGATGTCTCGGGTTACTGGGCACTTTTTGGCTTGGTCAGAGGTTCCATATCATCTATGCTTCCAGAATGCTAAGCTCGGTACAGCCCTTGGTGCATATCTGGCAAGTTCTGATTCCGAAAATGCCAACGTAGAATGCTTCTCGTCCGCAGACGAAACAACGCTCGTTGATGTAGCTGGATGTACGCTATCAGCGCGTTCACTTCATTTTCCCGCGCTCATCTCCAACAGTCTCTACGGATACTTATCAAGCCCAGTACCGTGTGCTCGAGGCGTTTTCGTTATTTAACGTGATTCTTGGTGAGTGACCGGTTCGCGATGTTTCAAGATGTGCGCTAACCCTTGGTATCCAGTATGGGGGTTCCTTCTCTTCCTGCTCACTATGGCCGTGAAACACCATTACCGAGTGAACCGAAACGTGTGGTTCATCTCCGTTACATCATATCCATGGTTCGGATCCAACGCGAAATCAGCAACACTTCCCGCCCCAGTGGTCAGTCGTTCCCGATCAAGAGGCAGAGCCTTCGAGAAGGAAGACCCTGAATTGTGGCGGAAGGGCTCTGGATCATCGCGCCGTGGTGATTCACGCTATCCAGAGTACAAAGCCCCACCCCGTGCTTATACTGTTGACAAGTATATGAGGAATGCTTCGCCCAGGAGGTGATGCAAGTATCTGTGATACTCTCTTTAGCCTACATCTGGGGACTGTGGGGTCTTTGCTGTTGGATATAGAAGCTGTAACCTTATCATATGTACTTGTAGAGTTGGACTTGGAATATGCGATGCTTTTGCTCAGGGGTTTCTTTCCTCCACGTGACTCGCTTCATGTCGAAGTTCGAATGTCAATGTTATTGTCCGTCCCCTTGCCTCACGGCTTCGAGACGACTGCCATATACCCACAAAGCACGCTCATACGAACTTCGCCATGACTGTCTTGTTTACGAACTTACGCATAGCCGCGTATGGTGCGTCCAGAGACCCATTCAGTGTATCATGACTAGCTAATTTGCCGCAGTGTATGTCTTCGCCCTCTCTGCAACTGTCCTCGGGGTGGCAAGCAATTTCGCTAAACTGTTCCTTCCACATGTTCAGCGTGAGTCAGTAGCAGGATTAAGGAGTTCATCGGAGCTAACACGTTGCCTCGCCAGATGACTATACCATCTTCTCGCTCGTCACTCCCTCTGTGACGATATTCGCGCTCCTCTGTATGTGAGTGAGCCCGTCGCACGCACACGAAAGAAGAATGCTAACTGTATGTGCAGACTACAATTTGCACAACCCGTGATTGAAGTGATCGCCCATGCAATACTCGGGATCTTATGGCTGAGTGGGTCCAATTGTGATACACGGGTTTGATATGCTTATTGGTACCACCAAGCTATGGCTGCCTGGACATCGTAAGTTATCAGCTATATGCCCCGAAAATGGTAACGAATGACCTGCTGCAGCGACATTATCGGTCCCATACAGTGCTACGATTTGGGAGGCATTAGCACACCAACGAATAGCGGCTCGAGTGAGTTTCTTGATGGTCGATGTAGAAGTGGGTCGATGATTTTGTGACAGTGTCCGCACGCTCGTACTGCTATCAAATGAAAGTTATGCAGGCCTTCTCGTGGGCTATCTTCATTTCATGTATGTACTCTCTGTTCCGCGGCTCGCCAGGAGCAGGGTCTCACTCGAGCGATGCAAACAGTGCTGGGCTTCATCGTCATCGTAGTCTGCCTCACCTCGCGGGCAATTGCCTTCGGCCGGTGCGTGCATGTTCCATCCCGTTATGTTTGAGAAGCATTAACTCCCTGTCTCAAAGGCGTTTTGCATGGACCGAACATATCTCGCAGCTCGGTTGGTTCGGCGAGCTACCGGGTTACCCGACGGAGGCAGTTTACCCCCGTCCATACTACTCTCCATACCCGTACTACCCTTACCAGGGGGCAGCCAGTCCTTACGTCCAGCAAATGCCCGGTCACTCCGTGGTTATCCAACCTGGCGCCAACGGTCTCCCGATGGTCACGCAAATGCCCGGCCCGGTCCCTTAAATGTTCAAGAGATGAGAATCACAAAATGTCTTGTCGGCTACAAGCTGCTACAGACCCCGTGGATTGACCGTTCAGGCCTATTATTACTGACATGACTGTATGACCATTATAACCGCGATACCCACTCAGCGAGGTAGGATATCATATGTGTACCCACGAAAATGCTTGCCTGTATATAAGTACATACTGATAGTTTCGGAGTAAATGTTGTGGGGCACCAGTTGTGCCTCGTGGGCGTGGTGCGCCCGCCTCGTGGCAGGTTCGGTCTCACGAACCTAAACTTCGGTTCCCATCAAACACCCTTTCTGTACCACTTGTTACGCTTTTGACGATCCTTTCGACGATACAGACATGGCACTGTTTATGGACCATCCGTTCAGAAATGTATTGAAAGGTAACTCAGGTTTCGTTGGGAATATTCGTATGGGCGCTTACCGCACGAACAACCAGGATTTTTGGCTCTGGTAATGGCGCATGTCATCATGAAGTTCTTGCCCCAATCTATCCGTAAGACCACATCATTTTCACCTCACAAGTGGCGAACTGGATCTATTTGCCAGATGTTATTCACTTGACACAGACGTCGGTGACGATACTGGTGATTGTAGCTCTAATATTCTTGTGAGTGATGGATGTTGGTACTTGTGGGACTGTACTCAGCCTCTATGTACAGTGTGGTGCGCCATCACTCTGAACAGGGACGGGTCATGTCACGGGGCCAAGAAGAGCTAATTGTCATCGCTGCACTCGGGGCATTCTGGCTCGGTAAGCCGTCGTTGAAGTGCATATTTATGATCTGATCGACTGAACTGTTGCAGCGGTCCTTCTTGCGATGAGGGCGTACAATCAAAGCAGCGTCGACGTTGACCTCGCGCACCCCCGTCATTTGTTCTCCCCTAGCACTGGGAATGCGGAGACCAATGTTGTTGGCGCGGGTGGCCGTAGGGCACCTGCTGGGGGGTACTCCACTCGTGATCGTTATGATGACCGTCCAAGGACAGGATACCGAAAGGAATACCCGTGCAATCCCAATGATGTGTACTGCGTGACGGAAGAGTGGGCTTTCTATTGAACACGAACAGATTAACCAATGTGGCGCTAATCAAAAAAAACGCCATATATGATGATCTCGACTATTTCTTCATTTCGACGCGCTTTATATACGAAGATGTTGTCTGTATTTTATCTTCCTCGTGTCGTTGTAGAGTGTTTTCTTGTCGTGGATTATATACCTGTTGTTTTTTCTTATCTACCGGCCGGCATTGTTCTGAATGGCAATTGTCCGGCAATCTGCCGCTGGTGACCAAATACATAGCCTAATCAGTAGAAGCCCCGCATCGTATTAATCGTATCCCTCGCACAAGCGTCGACACCGTGCAAAGCGTCCAACTATGATGAGTACCATTCATTGTCGTCTTTCTGACCGGTCCAGGCTGACCTTAGTTCCTATAACACTCATCTTCCTCCTCTACCAAGCGTCGTATCGAAACAGATGTCATGAAACTGTACGTGCCGAGTGTCCACCCAATTACTTTCCTGAGGTGACGATCTAGGTTGATGTCCGACTACGAAGTCACCCTCGTCAACGACAGCATGCGCGAATTTTACGTGCGATTCTACGGGCCAGCAGAGAGTCCGTCGTTTTGCTCTGCACCCGCCTCGTCCCTTTGTCTTACGGACAGCCCTACAGCACCATTTGCAGGTGGCATTTGGAAGATACATGTGGAGCTGCAAGCCGACTACCCATACAAGTCTCCAAGTATTGGTTTTATGAACAAGATCTTCCACCCTAACATTGACGAATTGTGAGTGCCTGGAGACCGCTAATAAGATTTGTCCTTAATGAATGCAGGAGTGGTTCTGTCTGCCTGGATGTTATCAATCAAACGTGGTCACCCATGTTCGGTATGTGGCTCTGCGCCGGGATGTGATCGATCTTTTACAATCCATCAATGTAGATATGATCAACATCTTCGAGGTGTTTTTGCCGCAATTATTGCGGTATCCAAACCCTAATGATCCTTTGAACGGCGAAGCCGCTGCGCTTTTGATGCGACATCCGAAAGAATATGAAGCCAAGGTCAAAGGTACGCTACTTCACCATTCGTCGACTCTCCGCGGTGGTTCATAGATCCACTTCAGAGTACGTGCAAAGATTCGCAACGAAGGAAGTGGTCGATGCAACGAACGGTCCCGACGACAAAGAGGAGGAGGACGCAGAAATGAGCGACATTGGCAGCATCAGCGAAGACGACTCTTGATGACCGTACGCTCCGAGCTTAACTCAGTTAATCTTCCTTGGCGCTGTCACACTTCCTTTTAACATTTTTCTTTCACAAGTACTATGCTCATTCACGTCGAATACCCGATGCTTTCCCCCCTACCGTAGAATTCGCGCCACGCCGACCATACATTCGGACTCTCATCGGATGCCATTTTTTCTTTCCCATTTGTTGTACCTGTACCTAGGAAGTTCCGTGTCGACCTGCTTGTTCTAGTAGGTAATGATCAGGATTGCGTATATCATGGAAAGGCAGATCTCCCAAAGTAAGCTAGCCAGGAGCAGAAGTTGGGTCGGCCGATGGTGGTAATGGGGGAACCAATTCGTCGACCCTTCTTTGAATCTCTGTCGCAGTCTGATAAGATAAAGAAGCCGTGTGAAAATGTCAAACGGATTGCAAGAAAGCGGCGGACCTTCATAAGAGCATCAATTTGGGACTTGACGCTATCTACCGTTGTAGACTTGACTTTACTCTGTTTGAGGAGTTCCTCCTTAAGCAAGACGAGTTCTTTCCGTTTGAGATCGAGCCTAGATCGAAGTAAATTATGTTTTTTTTTTTTTTTTTTTAATGATGCGCTGGCAACGGAACGGCGGTGCCAACCTCTGACGTTCGGCGAGTTCGAAGCTGAGGCGGTTCAGCATCAACTGATGAGGGTTGTCTAGGACGTCCTCCGTTCGCGCTTCTGGCGGTGCAATCTGCTGGAACTCTTCAAGCGAATGTAGGGGAACGTCCTGATAAATGGACCTAAGTGAAGGGGCAACGAGTCACAATGTAGCGGTGTGATTGACAGAATTGAAAGGCGTACGCAAACTGACGACACTTTTCGATCTCACGTTCGAGGTGGCGCTTTTCATAAAGCAAGTTTTGTAGGCCAAGATGGGTCTGGTCCATTTCCTGTCTTGCCTCAGTCGTGGCCTGCTTGTGAGCACGGGTTGCAGCATTGGCGTTGCGGTTGAGAGCCTTGAGACGAGCGACGAGGGCGGTGGCCTGGACTCGCACTGTAGTCGGATCTACACTGGCATTGGATGGGGCGACGAGTTGTCTGAGCTTGTCGATGGCAGGGTCGTCGTTGGCTGCCATTGGGTGGCCTGTGCGCGGGTATTTTAATGTGACTCTCATTACTAAGTATCAGTGAAGCAAGTCACGTGCGAGGTGGATATGATGAATGATGTGATGGCACAGGGCAGTTACATATGTCCAGCTTATGAGCAGGCGATAACCTCAACGATTCGGCCGCATCACCAAGCACTGTGATAGCTCCCTCTATCTGTAGTGGTCGAGCGCCGTCTCACACTCACGGTTCAAACGTTCACCGTCCTGAGCTTCTACTATAAGATCACACACCCCTTTGTCACCGCGTCTTCTCTTTCCCCTCAAGTGCGTCCCTAGTATCATCTACTTGCTAGAAATGGCCCGCCCAGTGCAACGTCCCCGTTCGGGCACCATACCCTCCATGGAGGTCGCTACCAACGCCATCAGAGATAGCGCCACCTTCATCGGTAAGTCTCTCCTGTCTGTGTCTTCCCCTCCGTTGTTCCAAATAGCATCTTCAGTCTTCGGTGCCTCCGGAGATCTCGCAAAGAAGAAGGTGTGTTGGCGGCGCTCTGTTATCTGCTGGCATCATTAACTTTAAGCCTAGACATTTCCTGCTTTGTTCGCCCTCTATCGCAAGGACTATCTTCCCCGCGATGTCCATATCGTCGGGTATGCTCGCACGAAGATGAACACTGAAGATTACCACAGGCGAATCTCGAGCTACATAAAAAGGGACAACGATCCCAACTTTGACACCAAACTTGAGGAGTTCAAGAATCTGTCCTTCGTATGTTTCTGGCGGATATGAAGACAGCGAGTCTTTCTGCAGGTTGAACGCCCATCTCGTAGAAATCGAAAAGAGTTACAGAACCAGCAACCGCATCTTCTATCTTGCTCTTCCTCCCTCCGTGTTTATTCCTGTCGCAAAGCATGCCAGGGAAGAGTGTTACTCCAGAGGGGTAAATCGCATCATCGTCGAAAAGCCGTTTGGAAAGGATCTCCAGTCATGCAGAGAGCTCCTGAACGAATTGAAGAAGTATTGGAAGGAAGAGGAGACGTACCGCATCGATCACTATTTGGGCAAGGAGATGGTGAAGAACCTTCTCGTACTCCGCTTCGCCAACATTACGATGGGTGCGGGGTGGGATAAGAACTCGATTAGCAACGTGCAAATTACCTTCAAGGAGCCATTCGGCACAGAGGGCCGTGGTGGCTACTTTGACGAATTCGGTATCATCCGTGACGTTCTGCAGAACCGTAAGTGATCTGAATGTGTATGAGAACCGATTGACTTCAGTGGACACGTGTGTTTTTGTAGATATGTTGCAAGTGTTAAGTATCTTGACGATGGAAAGGCCGGTGTCATTCTCACCGGAAGACATTCGAGACGAGAAGGTACATGTAGCAAGGGAACAGATGTCGGGACTGTTCTCACGTTTCTGAACGTTCATAGGTCAAAGTGCTGCGTGCCATTCCTCCCGTGGAGCGCAAAGACACGCTGCTTGGGCAGTATGTAGCGGCTGATGACAAGCCAGGCTACCTCGACGACGACACGGTACCCAAGGATTCCGTATGTCCCACGTTTGCCGCTACGGTCCTCTGGATCCACAACCCGAGGTGGGAAGGGGTCCCATTTATCATGAAGGCTGGAAAAGGTTAGTTTTCCGGAAATTATAAAAACGAATGTTGGCTCTGATGGATGGCGTATGCAGCGTTGAACCAAGCCAAAGTAGAAGTCCGGATCCAATTCAAGGATGTGACACAGGGCATCTTTGCTGAAATCTCACGGAATGAGTTGGTGGTGCGAATTCAACCCCAAGAGGCGGTTTATTTGAAGCTGAACACGAAATCACCGGGATACGCCTTCCGTGCGATACCTACTGAGATGGATCTAACTTACAATAGACGGTTTACGGAGGCGACGATTCCGGAGGCGTACGAGGTTCTGATATTGGATGCATTGAGGGGAGACCAGTCGAACTTTGTCAGGGACGACGAGCTGGATGTTGCGTGGAAGGTGAGGGTTGCTCGCAGGTGGGAGACTGGAGTTCTGATGGGCCTACTCATAGATCTTCACACCGATTCTTCACTGGATTGATGGGAAGGAAGGTGAAAAACCTAAGCCTGAGCCATATCCATATGGATCACGGGGTCCGGCAACACTAGATGCGTTCGTTGAAAGTTATGGATACAAACGAACCGAAGAGGCATAGTGAGTGGAAGAATAACCACATTTGTCGGAAGTGGACACATGTTTATGGACTCCACAGCAACTGGCCTACGACGAACTTGTCGAATCTGTGAAGGCGTAGTGGTTATGTTTGATGCTGGGCTACTCCTTGTTGTCATGATATTGCTAGTGTGTACGAATGACATCAGTTTGCACGTGACCCATCCGATGTGTGGGCTGAATCGTGATGGCAAGACGGTAAATTGTCAGTACTTCAACCTGAGAGAGGGAGAGAGGAAAAGGAACTGAAACCGCGAGGTCATTGCCGCCTGTCATCAATCGTCAGCTCAACGTTCCACGCCTAGTGCTCCGAGCGTCCCTTCCGCAGTTGTCGCTGGTGATTTCATTGATGTAATTCCACAAATTTGCTCACCGCTGTGTCAGTCTGAGAACCCCGCGGGAGTCTAGGAAGTGCTATACTATCGACTCTGAGATCCAGCCCCTTCGCTGTGGGCGCATATCCGCTAATCCGCGTAGTGTGCCAGTATAATAGATATCCTCACTCGTCCTGTTCTCCTACCATCTGTTCACTTCCCATGTCCTACCCCTCCGAACTCTTCTCTCTGTTCTTCTGCCCCCTCTGCACCCCTCCCGGGTTCCTCGTAGCACCGACAACTCTTCGCTGTGGTCATACCGTATGCTCTGCTCATATCTCATCGTCCGCTTGCCCCATCCCGACCTGTTCCACCGCCCAGCATCAAGAGTTTACGCCAAACATACCGTCTTCATCGCGCGTCGCGTTCTTCGCTGCACCTCACCCTCCCGAAGATGACTCGTCCGCACTCCACACCCATCCCAGACTTGATGTTCGTATAAACAATATCATACAACTCCTCCGCCACAGCAGTTTGGGTGGGCAGGATGCCTCGTCCTGCTCGGATGACGAATCCGACCGGGACGACGACTCCGGCGCGCCGGACGCTTGGCCGTCTTCCCCCCAGTCACAAGCTCCGACTCCACGGAGCAACGCACGGACGCTGGCCCAGGCCCCCTCCACTCTCGATCCCCCTCCCTCTTCTCGTCCCATCGACACTCTTGCTGAATTTAGCAAAGCCCTCACCGCAGAGCTCACATGCGAAATCTGTCTCATGCTCCTTTATCAACCCGTCACGACCCCCTGCGAACACGTATGTTTACTTGCTCTCCCTCACCCCTCGCTTCGTGCCATTCATCATCACCCCAGACATTCTGCTCAAAGTGCCTACAGAAATCACTAGATCACAGCATGCTCTGTCCACTCTGTCGGGAGGACCTCCCTGGATTTGCCTATTTTCAAGAACATCCTCATAATAAGGTCCTACTCTCCCTTCGTACGCGTTCATTACGCCACTTTTCCATCCCGCGGGTCTCTCATGATGCATTAACCCTAGCAGTCCTCAAGGCGTATGCTGATGACTATGCAAGTCGTGGCGAGGCCATAGAGAACGCAGAGAGACATGCGCGTCTCGACACGCCTATATTCGTCTGCCAGCTTTCATTTCCCGGCATGCCCACTCTTCTTCACTTTTTCGAGCCGCGTTACCGATTGATGCTGCGTCGGTGCCTCGAGAGCCCCTTCCCCGCATTTGGAATGATCATGCCACCCCGTGCTGCTCCGCTATCGGGGCACGGTACAACTGCGGGGTCGGATTTTGGTACCATGCATGAAATACGAAGCGTGCAGATGTTAGCCGATGGTCGAAGTATGGTGCAAACTTGGGGCATTCACCGGTTTAGAAGTCCTCGAACGCGACTCGCTGGACGGGTACATGGTCGGCAGAGTGGAGAGGATTGACGATTATGACGATGACCTAGGCGAGTGGGCAGCCGAAGAGGTTCAGTCACCTATCCCCTCATCTTCTCGTGTTCCGTCATTTGTGTCACGTCCGCCGTCTCCCATATTGCACACACGCGTAATGCCCACGCGTTCTCTACGAAGTGCCACGCGCTGGTCAAGATCTTCGCCTTCGAACTTGAGTCAACGGTGTCTGTCGACCGAGGCATTGATGACAGCGTGCCATGCGTTCCTGTCGCAGTTGTGCGAGGGAACAGCGCCGTGGGTGGTGCAACGGCTGAACCACACATACGGTCCACAGCCACCGGATAACAATCCAGGAGCTTTCTCCTTCTGGATGGGAATGGTTTTACCCATCGACGAGCACGAGAAAGCGAAATTGTTACCGGTCAAGAGCGCGCGGTTGAGGCTGAGGATGGTGGTTGGTTGGATCGAGCAGCTAAACAGTAATTGGTGGGTTTGGCGATATGGTATGTGAAATGTAGATCTTGAACTGATCATGGTTGCAGGTGGTTTTCCAGTGGCTGTATTGTCCTTATGACGCCATCCTTGGTTCGACCATCTGCATGCATTTTTCTCACATGTATTCCACACATTCCCATTCTACACAACCAGACTATGCCATATTACCTTTCAATGTATCTCATTTGCATCTGACCTCAGTCATGTAACCCTTCCGCACTGCACCACTACCATCTGACTGCAAGCGCTCACACTTGGTTTTTGTTCTGGGTTTTTGGTTGTTTTGGATATTCACAGTAGCTCGTTACTCAGTAACACGTAGACATTTACAACTTCGAGGGGGATGGGACTCCTTTTTGAGCCTCAAACGCTGATCGATGATCCCCTCCATCGGTAATAATCACGTGCATGAGTGACTTGGAGAGACCCTTTTAGGGCAATGCTTCTTTCTCTCGCCTTGTCTGCCATGGCGAGCACGGCGACGGCAGAGGTGGACAAGCAGCTGCGTCTGCTCATGCCGACGGTTAGAATACCCAACTCTACTAACATACATAGCGTGTTACCACCCTCTCCCGCCAATGTACCGACGCGTTCACCTCGCTCGAAACAACCCTCCGGCAAACTTATACGTTCCCGGTCCGGCTCAGCGGCGGCGACGATGGAAAAGGGTGCCATGGCTGTAGACGTAGAGGGCGATGGAGAACGTTGGATTGGCCTCAAGTCCCGCTTTGAGATCGTCGTGGAGCGCATGGAGTTGACGGGTTACCAAGTCTACGCAGTCGAGAAATGGTGCAACTCGATCACGTTTCGTTTGTGTGTGTCTCACAGTTCTGCTTGGACAGGGTCGTCGAACGCAACCGACCTGTGACGCTGTTGGCCGTGTACACTGGCGACCCTTCTCACAAGGCACGTGCAGCTGGATACCCCTTCTCCATCCGTGCATCTCTTTGATGCCGCAGGGGCTATTATACAGATCGTCGTCACCGCACTGAGTCCGATGGCGGAGTTGTCATATTTAGAGGCGGTGGACGAATTCACCGCCGCGGTTCAGCATCTCCGAAAGCAGGTCGGCGGGCGGCCAAAGCAGGCAAGTTGCTTATCCTTGGGGGTCTGTTCTAGTTTCAGTCAGTTAACCGTAGGATTAGATCCAACAAGGAACCCTCATGGTCACTTCTCTGGCTCACTTTCGCTCGGACTACACCATAGTCCATATACCTGACGGGGATTTCCTTGCCGTTCAAGACAGATTATATTCAAATATAAATCTCCTTCGTATGGGATGTAGTGGTCGAGGTGCAGTCACGCTCGATGAACCAAGGTCTGAGATTGTCGTGCATTATATGGACATCTTTTTGTTACTCACGGCGTGGTAGCGAAACGACCAAGGAGCGTTTCAAGTCCATGTATCTCTTCTCGGATGCACCCCCTCCGGCGAGTGCGTACAGGTCGATGACGCATTCTCGCACCCACTCCCGCGCATATTCGCATCCAGTGACGTCGCTTTCCCTCTCGACAGCTGCTGCGGAGGGACCGCATTTCCCCGTCAGTTCTAATCAACCCAGCGTCGTCAGTCTCCATCACTCCAATGCATCCCAAACGAGCGCGCTGATGACGAACTACTTCATCGCGGAATCCATATTTCGTCTTGTACGTGCTCGAGCTGGTCAAGCTCGTTCAGGCTGCACTCGCTATTTGTGGACTGTTCCCATTGCCGTCTCCGCCTATACTTAGGCCCATGTTTGATGGCTTGCTGTGTGATGTAACTGTAGAGGGAATAAGAAGATGGGGAGCCGAGATCGGCGAGAAAGTCCCTGGGTTTGAGGTGAGCTTGTTATTTATCCTGTCTAATTGACGCATGACCAAACGATTCGTCTTAGGCAACGGAACGAATAGCAGATCCCAATATGATTTCATTACTGCTTTCTTTCGTGCTATCTGCCCGAAACAAACTTTGTACCCTAGTACAAGGCGTTCCAAAGGATCCCTTCCTGCATCCTCACGAGTTCCTCGTTGCCCTCGCTTCATATGCGCAATCACAATCCTTAGGTGGGTACTCAAGTGCGACCCAGCTCACGGGTCCTGCGCTCGTCCCTGCCGCACCATTGCCTTCTGCCACGGCTTTCAGCTTGTCCAATAGTGTGGGTTCGTCCGGGTCTTCCACAGACGCCAGTGCCAGCCTGAACCCATACGGCTCCAGTGCGGCCAAAGTGTACCTTACGTTTCTTCTCCACACCACGATGCTCTCCGCACACGAGAAGCTCCGGCACGCAGATTCACGGCGCGTGCACAGGGTGCTCTTATCAAAGCTGGATGTCGGCCCGACGTCGGAGGAGGACGCAACGGATGAGGAGAAGAAGGGGTTAGGAGGAAGAGTGATGGGCCTTGTCTCGCGCACGAGTGTGGGTGCTGGAGGTATTATTAGTCCCATCGCAGATCTGGGGTCACTGATAAGGATCGTACTGAGCGGACGGGACCGAGACAGAGAGCGCGAGAAGGACAGGGGGAGCAGAGATACGGAGAGCTGGAAGGAGCATATGGATGTCATGGACGAGAAGGAAAAGGTAGCGGGGAGTGTGAGAGCACTATGGGGTGGGAAGGTGGAGGCGCTAGTGAGGATGCGAGAGCGAGCTGAAGGAAAGTGGGCGCGTCTAGTGCGCAATGAACGGGAAAGGGAACGCGATGCAAACTGGAAGGATAAGGACAGGCCGACACTGAGCGATATCGAGGATCCTGCGGTGAAGAGCAACGGGGAGGACGAGTTGGCGTTTGGAGGGGCGTGGTCCGGAAAGGTGCAGAAGAAATTGGAAATGTGGGCAGGGTTGGTAAACTGCAGTTTCGTTATCTCTTTTGTTCACCTCGTGGGCGTGCAGGATAAACCGGTCGAAGCGCTCGGTAGACTTGCCTGGACTAGGGAAGTTCTCGGGTCGTGCGTCGTCCGTTGCGATCCCATTGTCTGCACAATCTTCCTCATCCGGACACGTCTACCCTGCGTCTGAAGTAAAAGGTTTGGGCATCTCTACGCACGCCCTCCCGCAGTAAGCACCTCATCCGGTACTGACGTTATTAATTCGCATTTATTGTCAGAGACGGTGGGGCAAATGATGAAGATGAGCTGCCCAGTAGCGGACAGGTGTCACCTATATGTTCGTCTCCATGTCTTGCTCACGGTTTAAATCTTATGCTACTCCACTAGCCATCTCACGCTCACATCATCCGTTCATGCTAGCGGAGTCTGCAGATGTAAGCTCTGCGAACCTCGCTGGGATGGGCATGCCGAAGCAATCTAGTGGCGAACATGCACAGGAGCCTAGAGGAACCGGCAGTGCGCAAGCACCAAGTGTAAGAGGAGAGCCCTGGTTGGGACCTGGCAATTGCAGATTGCCGGTCCGGGAGAGACAGGAGTTGGATCGAGGGATTAAGAAGAGGTGCGGAAGGGTCCTTGAAGAAGAGATTCGGAAGCATGGGAGAAGGCTCTGCCGGTTAGTCGTCGTTTCGTTTCGTGAACATGCTGAGATGTGGCTCTCTGTAGGCGACACACTTTCCATGATCTGGACTCTGTCAGACATACTCCTGTGTTGCGTGTGGAGTGGATGCAAATAGACGTGGAGTTGTGTGGTCAAATTCTTGTCATGCGGAGACGGGAGGCCCATTTAGAAGGAGTGATGAAATGTCTCGAGGTAAGATAACCGTTGCCGAATTCCCTTGACCAGTCCTTCACTCGATTTCCACATAGTATTTTACAAACACGCTCTCGCACACTAATGCTTCCCTCCGGACGGCATACGAAAATCACGATTCTATCATCAAAACGCTCACGAGGACAGTCGCTACCCAAGGTGCTTTATCATCACAAAGCGCTTATACAAGCACGTCGACGACAGCCCCTCCGAGGTCGCTTGCTGCGATCCTGCAGATGTTCCCCCCTCTCCCCCCCGTCGCGGCACTTCAGTACGAGACGGCGCAGTTGCGTGTGGGAGAGATGTGGGCAAGTACACGTGCACTGCGGGCGAAGGTTTGGGAGTTGCGTGCGAAGGTATTCGGTGATGGGACTACAACCTCGGCTAATACGGGAATCGGTGCCATTAGTGCACCGAGTCGACTGCGACGGAGATCGAGCAGGATCAGAGACCGGGATAGAAGACTTGTACAGTGGACGCTGGATGGGAACAAGCGGCTTGTGGACGCGAGCGGGAGGACAGAACAGGATGTAGAAGAGGATAGGCGTGCTGGAGGTTCTGATACCGACAACGAGTCGTTCTATGAAGGTGAGCGGACGGAGACGGAGAGCGAAGGCGGGCACGACGATGTCTCTGGTCGCGCGGAGGATGAGGAAGAGGAGGAAGAGGAGCGCCAATGGGTGATGCCGATGTGGTTATTAAGAGTGTTGACGAGTTGGGGATCGCGACTTGGGTTTTCGCGACGCATAGGACCAGGAGCGCAGGCCAGCGTGGTCAGTGTTGGGGATATGCCCGGCGACTCGGCAGAGAGCTAAATAGTTGTAGCGTGGGACACCCAGCGAACTTTTAGTGAAGACTATCGGTTAATCACGAAGTGTCTACTACATCTGGGAAACACCTACGCGACGCGGCTGTTAACAACTCTTCCGCACTTGAGCGAGCTCTCTCATTGGCCAACAAGTGTCTTAGCGAGTCTTACGACAAGTCACTTCCAAACGGAGGCAGGTATAACCTGCTCACTCCCTCGGGTAGTTTTGCAGATGTACCATCTGTACCCGAACTTAGTATCAGCCAATCAATTCCGTCCCGTTTCATCATTTCATGTTTTTTTTTTTCGTCTTCTCACCATTGGCGCAATAATAATCGCTAAAGCGGAGAGTACACGACATGTGCAAACAAATTACGCAATTCAATGGGGGGCATCGGCGAGGGCTGAGCATGCCGAGACTCTGAAGTGACGGACAGATTGCATGTACTTCCTAATTCACAGGATTGCACGAACCCGGCAGACGCTCAAACTTTGCGGACGAGCTTTCCCTGCGATTTCTTGAGGGCACGTTTCCGTTCTCGCTCCAAAGCCTAGACAATATTCAGAAGGAGACGCGGTAAGCCGAGAAATATGCTACCTTCTTCTGGTCTGCCGCGCTGAGCTTCGCGAATCTTTCTTCTTCAGCCTTGCGTTTTGCGGAACGCCTGTCCTCCAGCACTTCTTCTCTCTTCTCCTTTTCTTCTTCTTCTTTGACAGCTTTTTCGACGTCTTCACGGATCTTCCGGATTTTGGCACGTGTTTCAGGGCGGAAAGTAACTCTGCCTGTGGCGAGAAGGTCTACAAGTGCGAAAGTACCCTCCAAAAGTGGTAAGATACGGTTGACACCTTGGGCGTCGTCTGGCAAGTCGAAGGTGAGAATGACACGTTTCGATTTGGTGGCAAGAGCAGATACAGATGGACGCTCCTCTGGCTGATCCGTGATGGAGAAGACACGGAGGTAGGGCAATGCAGAGGAGATGAGGGTAAGAAGTGGTGTAGAGTTCCTAGACGGAGCGAGTTTCACAAGCGTTTCTGTCACGTCTGCGAACTCGGACATAACGGAGAGGGTGGAGTCGAGGCCTGGGTGGTTGGCCGTGCGAGTAAATGTCTGCTGTGTGGAGGGCGTCAAAGAAGTGCGAACGAAATTGAACGGATGCGTACCAAGTCCCAGCGTTGATCACGGATGACTGTGAGTTCCGACTTGCGCATGACAGCCCAAATAAAATCGGGCGTTGCTGCAGCTGCATCGCTATCGAGGGTGAAGTCGAAAGTGAGGGCATCAAAAGGCTCATAGCACAGGTCATATGCAGACCAGAGGTACTGCCAGATGAACTGTAGTAGGTCATGACGCGGCCGAAGGGCGAGAACGGTGTGGAGGGAAGAGATGGCGCGTCGACCGGTCGAGAAGACGAAAAAGTCCGAGGGACCGTCTGATACGAGCCCGGACGTTGGTTTAGAAAACTGCTGAGAGAAGAGTGGAAGCACAACAGAATAAAATCTGTTGGCCTTGCGCGCGTTGGCGGTCTTTCCGTAGAGGGAGAGTCCGGCGTAGACCAGGAGTGCGAGAAGAAGACATGCCTGGACACGTAAGGCTAACTCACCGTGTTGAGATGACAGGCAAGGAAAGACAGTGAGAAGGGGACATACTGGCTGGTTTGAACACGAGGAACTTCCAGGACAACTGCCAGCCGTCGTAATGGTCTGGCAAGGAATACGGAGGGGGGACGAGCAGGGAGGCCATGGGGGAATGGCGGCCGAGGCTTGACGCTTGAATCCCGGGGAATCCGGAGAGTATCTTTCGGGGAATGCCGGCGGAGCGGATGGCCCGAATGTACCAGAGATCGAGTCGCTTACCACCCCTTGGTAGCACTGGTAAAAGACCAGCAGGGCGTTTCGAAATTCAGGCAAGTCTGTCCACCCACTTTCATGGAGCATCATCAACCCATCCTACTCAATCCGATTCACTTTGAATTAGACATGCCGGTCAGTAGCTCACAACCCACCAGCCCCCCACTTCACTCACCCGGGATCCCTCCCGTAGCCTACTGACTACGCGCAATTCGTAGTGGACGTGATCGCCCGCATGACCCGCGAGTCAGGAACGATCGACCAGTCCATCCTCAGACGCGCGATCGGGCTTGCGTCCTCCTATCTCCTAACAGACACATCCACAAACTCTGAGGGTGGCATCGTCACCTGGCAAACCGGATTCAACCAACTCGCAGATGTTGTTGTCGTATTGCATCACAGAGACGAGCTCGAACTCGAGACCTTCAACGAGGCCTCGAAAGCATGCTCAGAGTGTTGGAGCGTCGCAGGCACTTGGAGAGGCATGGAGGATTGTCGGCATGGCGTCAAAGAAGTCGCTGGTAAGCTCAAAAAGCTCTTGGACGAGCCAAACAGGAGGACGTACAAGGGTCATAAAGTGTATACACCCAACAGTGCATGACGACATTACTGCAGCCCCTGTAAATACTCTGTACATTTAGCGACATTATCGCACAGCCACAGTCATTTCCCTCTACTCCATGTCCTCCTCGTCACGGCCTGCCCGTCCAACCCGCCCGGTGCCAGCAACGCCAGAAACCAAGAAAGACGTCGTTCAGGAAGACGGACCCACCACCCTTACGCCCATCCGGGCCCACTACCTCAAGAAATCCCTCATCCAACTCCAGCTACGCAAGGAACTCGATGACATCACCAATGCACCAGCCGACAACGCGTCCACCCTCGCCTACCTCGGTCCACCCTTTTCGCCGCCGCAAAAGTCTGTTCAGAAACTCGATCTTCCGTTCCTCAGATACATATTCAGACATTTCGTGCTCACATTCCCGTTCATGGCCGCGGCACCCAAGGATTTTTACTCTGATAAACTACAGCCATTCGTAGCTAGCGTTTTTGCTAGAAATCTTTCTCCAACTATTCTCATCGAAGACGCAGACGATGACGAGACCATCGAGGCCACCCGCCTCAAGATCCTAGCGAAGGTCGAGCGCAACCTTGCCATGTTGTTCAGCTCAGGCACCAAACTCGTAGAGCCGGAGCAAGTCGTCAGACTATCACAGTCGGACCTGGACAGAATAGAAAGCCTCATGAAGAACAGACGAAAGAAACGAAGGGATGTCTTCGACGTCAACATTGTCTGCATTCGCACCGTCACCGACAAGGGCCGGGTTAGGAATCGTGTGCACGAAGTCCGTGTCATCCCTCATTCCCCCGCCACAGCAGTCCCTTATCATTTTTCAGGAATTCATCATCCGCACTCGTCTGTCCAAAGACAGAGAGGTCTGCGTCTCCCGCCGATACGGTGACTTCAAGACGCTTGCAGATGAGGTGCGTATTACTCGAGTTACCAGAGTACTAGTCGACTCTTATCCACTATCAGTTGTGCAAAGCTCACCAAGACGAACTCGTCCCGCCTCCTCCGGCTAAAGACCGTACTGCCGTCGACGTATCCTCCCCGACGCTGGCCCAGTCACCCTCTCAGAGTACATTCAACCTCTCTCAAGACTCTTTCTCGCAGCCGTCTCATATACCTGGCGCTCACTACAGTAACTCAAGGCAATACGGCCCGTTTCAATCGCAACCTCCTGAGCGTCTTTCACGCGAGAAGAATCGCCTTACCCTCCGTGGCTATCTCCACACTCTGCTCGCCAACCCTACCTTTGCCTCCTCGCCCGTCCTCCGCTCGTTCCTTCTCAGCGGTCCCACCAGACTCACGCCGGCAGAACAGGAGGACGCGCGACGCCGCGAAGACGCCGACCATGTCAGAGACGAAGGCCGCAGACGTTTCGCACACGAGATAAGTGTCCGCATCGATGGTTTGCGTGAATCTGTCCGCAGCGTCAAGGGAGAGATCATCGGAAAGGATGGCCTCATGCAGGTCTTTGCCATCATCAAGGTTACCCCAAGTATCGAGCAGTTGCCCAAAAACTATCAGGCTGTAATTGAGTGGGCTAGGATATCGTGCGTTTGACCAGGTGGCTCAGAGCGCGTCGTGCTCACAATTTCTCGGGGCGTAGCCTTGCTTCAACGTTATTTCAGACATACGTGGCATCCGACAACTCTTCCGAGACGTTTGCGAGTCTCAAGCGCACACATGGTCTCATGCCCTACTTCGTCCTCAAGGCAGCCTTAAAGATCAGCAACCCTGTCGGGATGATACGGAGTACGTTATACTAATTAGGATGTAAGTCACGCTCACACGAGGGCAGCTGTCTTGGATATTTTCCTCGCCCAACCTTTTGGCGGTCGAAGTCTGCTGCAACGGTAGTGCACTCCCTTTCCCCTACCCACCACATCCACTTAGCAACCTGTAGGCTATTTACTTCCTCCCTTTCCGAAGAAGTCAAATCCCTCTCGACCTACATCCAACACGTGTCTGAGAAGGTTGGCGACCCCGTATTATGCAACAAGGTTCGTGCGTTCGTCTACGCGCCTCGTGAGGTACAGGATTTCTATCGCGCCTCGGCGGTCGCCGATAACGTCCATCTCTTGCGTGCCATTATGCATGGAAGAGAGGAGCCTATGTTGAGTCGCGTGCAACTCGCGCGGATTGGGCAGGCTGGACGCAAGTGGGAGGCATGGGAACGAGAGAGGAAGAAGAGGGGCGAGGATAGCGATGACGAGGGTCCATCGGACGAGGAGGTGTGGTTATTTGAGGACCTGAAGACGCTGGTGAGATTATATTCGAGGCTCAGAGATCGGGAGCAGTTGATCGCGCTCATTTTCGAGGTAAGGGTGTCGTGCGTCTGTTGCGTCCACACGCTGATGAGGTTGTCAGGGCGTGACGGCGGACTTGCTGAAAGATATCATCACCATCTTCTATGCGCCGCTTGCACAGGTTTATCGGGCGGCCAGCATTGCTGATTCATTGGGGGATCTCCAGAACTTCATTAATGACCTCATCCGGACAGTAGAACAAACCGAAGATCGTAAGTTTCTTGATCTGGCTTCCCGCTAAGATTCTTCAGTCTTGACCACGGCGTCGTTCAGTTTCCCAAACGGACCCAACACAAACCGTTCAAGCCTTTGTCGACCTCGTGAACAGACATGAACAAGCTTTCTACACCTTCGTACACAATGTACACTCCAAAGGCGCAGGACTTTTTGACGGCCTCATGCGTTGGATCGAGCGGTTCCTTACCGTCGCACGGGATGGTGTGGGTTCGGGCACGGAAATCGAAGGGGCGGCACATAAGATTTCATTGGAGACATTGTTACCTGCAAGAGACGAAGAGAGAGCCGCAATACTAGAAGAGGTGGATAGGGTGGCACGATATCACTACGCGCTGAAAGTGGTACACGAGGAACGTGTGCGCAGACAGTTTTGGCGCTCGCGGGCTGGAGGTGAGAGGGGTAGTGGTGACGACGCCGATGCTGCCACTGCTAAGGAGGCGGAGGCCTTTGTGCATAGTGTTGCCAGGGAGATTGGTATCGGTGAGTTCACAAGAGGAAACGAGAACGAGCTCTTCGCGGAGGCGGATGGAGAGGACGACGGTGAAGATGATGAAGAGGACGAGGATGATGAGTCAGAAGACGTAACAGACGACGAGGATAGCAGTGATTTCGGAACAGACAGCGAAGAGGATGAAGAAGCATCAGAGGAGTTGCTCCCCTCCAAGCAGTCCTTTCCTGATCCAATTGCTCCTTCCAAAGCGCTCGCTCATCCAGGGTGCTCATGGCCGGTAAATGTTTCACCCATGCACGCCAGGAAGAATACCCAACCGTTTGCGTCTCACGCGCCCTCGCCTCAGGAAGTTCGCCAACGTACTTTTTCACTTCGGAACGCAAGGTCGATGAGCTTCGTTAGGGATAAAGATCGAGGTTCGCGGAGCTCCAAGGAAAGCAGCGCACTCCCACCGGTCCCGCCGCTGCCCCCACAGTTTGACAAACCACTGCCGCCGCGTCCGCCGGGCCCCCTGGCGCCTTCTTCGCCTAGTCCGCCTATACCCAGGAGACGATCGTCATCACAGCTATCGGTCAACGGGCGTACATCATCTGTACGCCAGGCCACATTGGCATCTCGATTGCATGGGCAGTCGGGCTCGAATTCGCCTGCTCCCCAGAAGGCCAAAAAAAATGCTCCTGGTGGATTGCAGCCTCCAGAACTGAAACGTATTCCCCTTCTATTACCTGTTTTTGTGGAAATGGTGAGATCTCGTCATTCTCAGGATTCTCTTTGACCTAGGTCATACTTTCTCTAGGTGCGTCCTTTACTCCGCCCCCAGCAATGACGCAGCACGCTGTCACTCCGATTGAGGGCGTTATATCAAGACTAGATCAATACAAAGAGCTGCCTGTATATCTATTTTAGCCTCATGGAGATATCGTGCACTAAACTTGTTAATACGTTAGGGTATAGCTTAGTCAAATGTATCTCTACAGTGTATTTCCTGACAATTTTCGGGAATCTTGCGAAAGGACTCTGAGTACTATTTCTGGTCAATATGGTCGCAGGTTTGCTAGGCTAGTCCGCCAAATGTTTCGTCAAATTCTTCCTGCGTGGTCTCACCCCTCCTTACTTTCTTTGCCATCCTCTCCTCTTTCATAATCTCATCCCAATCATCCTGGTCCACATCGCTTTCAGCTTCATGACCGTTCTCTCCTGTTTGAGCAGTGCTCGTTCCGGCAGCCTGCGCTTTCAGCCACTGCCGCTTTCTGTCCTTCTTGAGCCTCCTCTTCTCCTTCTTCTCTTTCACCTCCGCTTGTTGGCTCCAGGCCGTGTTGCGCTTTCGTTTAACCGCACGAGCCTCGGCGGCTTCTCGTTCTTTCTCGTTGGCGTGGTCTTTCTTGGATACTGTTTGGAGGCGTTTCGCTTCTTGGGCCTTGTCAGCATAGGCGTAGGCGTCCCACTGTTAACATGTTCGCCATCGGCAGCCGTTAAGGGTGCATCGCGGGTGGAGAACGGACTACTCACGTCGACTTGTGCATCCTCCCATCCCTCCATGTTGACACCCTTCAGTTCAGGCATGCGCGGTAGTCGGAGGAGACCAAATGCTTTGGTGACACCAACCAAATCGAGAGCTTTGAGTCGGAATATGTAAGACGCTTCATGTTTTGAGTAAGCGCGCACGAAGGAGACGAAAGCTTTCATCGCCTACGCAGATGGAAAATGAATAGGTAGGTCGCGGTAACAACACAGGTCAAACTCGAACCGAAGCAAGCTCTTACCTTGTCATTCAGCGCACGGTCTGTGAGGACGACCTGTCGGATTTTAGAGAGGTACTCTGGAACAACGGGATCTTCTTCGGACGGCTTATGCATCTCGTCGCTCGCAAGCCCTCCGCCGACTCCGATGTACGGGTGTCGGACAACCGGGATCTTGCGCACCGCCAAGAAATCTGCGGAGAAGACCGTTTGGATTTGGTTCTACTGGCGAAGGGAACGCTTACCGATATACTCCGTTTCTTTACTTGTAAGAAATACGTAAGCACGTCCGCTCTTCCCCGCGCGCGCAGTCCGGCCGCATCGATGAGAGAATGCCTTGGGGTCGGATGGTGGATCAAATTGAATCACGACATCCACATTGGGAAGATCAAGGCCGCGGGCGGCTACATCCGTGGCAAGTAATATCGAGGGGGTGTTTGGAGTCGATACAGAGGAAGAGAAGGACGACAAAGCGCGCGTTCTAGCTGTGGGTGAAAGGTGACCATGAATGGAATACAGGTTCGCATTGGGCGGCAGGATGGCAGGAAGAACCTTTCTTCTCCCTAAAGAGACCTGAACACTTGAGACGGATATAATGAGACTACGTACTCGGTAGAAATAATCCACGCATGCGCAAGTTGCAAAGTAGACAATGAAGTGGGATGATTGGTACGTCGCAAGGTCGTGCTGGATGACCCGCACTAACTGTATAAGCTTCTCCGAGGTTAAGCAACTGATATAGAAGTTTTGAAGACTGGAATTTGTCTAAATTGTGAGGCTGGAACGCTGTGCACAAACACCCACCCTGCTGGAGTTCGCCTTTCTTCGATGACCTCTCCCTTCGATTCCTTACTGCCCCCACCCATTTTCTTCGACTTCTTTGACTGCACCTTGACGATGATACGTGCCGGATTTCGCAATCCCACGCGCACGAGATCGGAGAGTGCATCAGCATCCGTCATTGTCGCACTGAATAGCCCAGTACGCCTTTGCTTTGGAAGGTGAGTGATGATACGCGTAAGTACCTCCTTGAAACCTAAGTCAAGCAACCTGGGAGTAAAATGAGCCGGATATCCCTGGAACGCCATAGTTCAAGTCACCTGTCTGCTTCATCAAGCACCAGGACCTCTAATTCTTTTACACTGACCACCATCTTACCCTTACCCATAAGGAATTCGTCCGCCCGACCTGGCGTGCCTATCACTATATCAGCGCCCGTGTCTAGAAACCTTTGTATGTCCTGCGCTGGGGAGGACTGGTCTGATGAAACGAGGAGAAGTGGAGGAGAGAAATGATTGTCCGACTGGTGTATATGATGGTTCGCCCTCATCTGCCGCAGCTGACGGTTGTGAATCCGGTTGGGAAGACAAAAATAGCGAAAAGACGGAATGTATCTGAGTGGCGAGTTCCCTATACCGAACACACGGGTAATTAGAGAGAACTTAACCAACACGCAAATGTCATACCTGGTCGGACTGATGACCAAGGCACCAATTTCATTCCTCCTGAGCTTGGATTCCCTCCTGATCAAGCGCTCGAGTATTGGGATCACAAAAGCCAGCGTTTTACCGGAGCCGGTGACGGCCTCGACGACTACATCCTTGTGTTGCATAAAGAGGGGTATCGTGGACGCCTGCACGGGCGTCATTTGGGTATAACCCATTGAATTTGCGACATCTAGGCTGGAGACTAGAAAGTCCGGATAAGACGGGGGCGGGTGTAGGTTGACTTACATCCATGGCGTCAGTGACGTCGGAAGCGATGTCCATAGTCCAGCAAATGCATTCGACTGCGACATTTTGAAACTTTTGTGACTTCAGCTTGTGCCAGAGAGCAGTTCAAAAGCCCTCGATGTAAACTTTTAATTATGATACCAATCACCTAAAAGGCCACTACTTTTGTACAAATATTTTGGTCCCCCACAAACAAGTCTAATTTCGCTCCGACAAAAACACCAAAAGGAACATATATCAGAGCAAATTTCAATTACTGTCGATTTCAGGCAGGTTGGCCACGTGACTTTTTATGTAAGAAAAAAAAGCACCCAACTTCCGTCAACCATATCTCCTCAACGCATCATCGGAATTCAATGAAAGAAATACCATTTGACTCGGAAAAGATGACGGAACTTGATTTCAGATGACCGAAGTCTAAAAAATGTGGTTGGAAATTTCCGGTATTTAGTGACCTTGGGATATGAGTCTCGAGCTATGTACGACATGTAGACAACCATTTGGCACTAATATCAGTGGGGTAGCTATTCGGCGCATGCTCGATAACATTCTTTGACACTTTGAGGCTGTGGTTGACGTCGAAAGAAAGGACGCGAGGCACAAAAATTTGTGCAAGGACATTGATAATGACAAGGCACAATTGACAGCAGTAGACATGTGGGATGATAGACATACTGCAACCTAAGCATGGGCTCCTGACCTCACAGCATTCCAATCCTCCTCTGCATACTGCATAATCAGAATAGCTGTCCCAACCTCGATCCTGAGCCACACCTGCAAGTCTTGGAGCTTGACAAATGTGGGAGTTAGCTGTGATATACAAACAAAACCCTTCTTTGCCAGCATGTGCCCAAATGGTGCAAAAGTCACACCATCAGCATTCCATTGCTCATTGAGATCAAGAGATGAAAACCAGGAAATGATGTCAGTGGGTGGGAGTGGGGGTGAAGACAATGTGCTGGGAGATGATGTTGGTGTTGAATCACAAGGGTGGGTCTGAGAGGGCTGATTGGGATTGTAGTACTGTCCAAAATTACTGATTGGGTTCTTGATATTGCACAGAGGACAAGTATGGTATGAAGAGCAATGACAAGAGCACTTGCCTTTACTTGAGATTGATGGTAGATTTGAAGTTAAACTTGTATGGGGCTTGTTGTCTTGTAAGACAAAAGAACAGTAGATTGTTTGATAGGGAGTAAGGCAGAAACTCCCAAGTTTATATACATGTAGCAGTATGCACAGACCAGTAGCATAAAAGGAAGGTGCTACAATGTAACTACTAAGTATAGTAAGGAATAGCAGAGAATGCTATGGAATATGATGCAATAAGTGATGTCATTCTGATGTCACTGTGGAGCTGATCACCAAGCATGTCATGTGATATTACACATGTATTTAAACGTGTAAGTCTAGACAGTCAGAACTATTATGATATTTCCAACACTCCCCCTCACTCTAAAATGGGAGATTTACAAGTCCCATTGACAAGTGATTAGTTTCAAATTTTTGCCATGTCAAAGATTTTGTAAGACCATCAGCTTTTTGTTTATCAGTTTGAACATATTCAATACTGAATAAACCGTCTTGTACACATTTGCATACAAAGTGCCATTGGATGTCAATGTGTTTTGATCATCCATCTGAGACAGGGTTTTCAGCAATAAAGCAAGCACCCATATTGTCACAGTATAATATGGTCTTTTTGGTCTTTAGTTTTAATTCATCAAATAGCATATGAAGCCATTTGATTTGACATGCAGCATCACAGAGAGCCATATACTCAGCTTCTGTGGAAGAGAGTGTGATCATCTTCTGTTTTTGTGATTGCCAAGAAATAAGGGATGTTCCAAGGAACATTGCATAACTGGTTGTTGAATGATGAGTATCTTTATTTGACGCCCAATCGGAATCAGCAAAACCAAATATCTGCAATTCAAGTCCAGAATAGTATAAGGCCAATTTTGGAGTAGATGCAATATAGTGAACTATATGCAAGGCCTTGTTGCGATGATCCTCAGTGGGATTCACCATATATTGAGACATGCAGATAACTGCATATGCAATGTCTGGATGAGTACCAAGGGCCATATAAAGTAAGGACCCAATAATAGACTGGTACTGGGAATGGAGTGATGAGGTTGCTTGATAATTGGAAGGGGCTTTTTCCAGTTGATATCCTGATGGTAATGGAGTGCAAACATTTCAAGCAGTCTCCATATTAAACCATTTTATGACCTTTCTGACATATGGGATCTGATCAAGATAGAGTTCTTTCCTTGATTGATCATGATGAATTTGAATGCCAAGGTATTCCTTGACTTCAACAAGGTCACAGGATTCCCATTTCTTCATGAATTCATCTTTCTTGGCTTTGAGAAGACATTTGTCTGATCCTAAAAATAATCTGTCATTGACATAGATGAGGAATATGTCAATGCTGGCTTTGGAAGAATGGATATAGATACCAGCATCCACTTTTGAGTGTATGTAGCCCATGCATAGTAGTGAGGCATGTAGGGCTTTATTCCATGCTAGTGCCACTTGCTTAAGGCCATAGAGGGCCCAAAGCAGCCAATATACCTTGTGCTCTTGACCCTTAACTCAAAAACCTTCTGGTTGCTCCATATAAATTTCTTCATTGAGGTTGCCATATAAAAAGGCAGTTTTTATGTCCAGGGCTTCCATTTCCCAATTTTTCTGGGCAATGAATGTGAGTAGGATTCACACAGTTTCAAAACGAGCCACTGGAGAGAAGGTATCTTTGAAGTTGGTTCCAAATTCTTGTGTGAAGCCTTTAGCCACAAGACGAGCTTTGTAACAACCATCGCTTTTGATAGTGAAAACCCATCGACACTTTACTGGTTTCTGATCTCTAGGAGGATCCACCAAAGTCCATACTTGTCTTTCTTCAATAGACTTTAATTTGTCTTTCATAGCATCAAACCATTTCTTTTGCAAATCAGGAGATAATTTTAGAACATCTTTATAATGTTCTGGGGATTCTTTGATCTGAGCAGCAAGAGCAAATTCAAAAGGATGCATCTCAGCTTGTTGATCCGGCATTCCCTTTGGAGATTCTGGAAGCAGAGTTAAAGGAGATAATGGAGATGGAGGAGTGGTATTTTGAGGATGTTCAGTCCACTGGCAAGGAACCTGAGGAGGAACCATAGCTGGAGGTAAGACTGGTGAAGGTGGTCTTCTTTCCTCTTCATATCTCTTCATATCTTCTCTGGATTGTTGTGCATGTCTTTCAGCATTACAAATCCATTCTTGAGCTTGATCTCGATTTTGTTAAATATCCCTCTCAATTTGAATTGGAGGTCTATCTCCATAAATGTTTCCAGGACAGGAAACTGGGATAAAACTGATACTTAGGACAAGGTTCTCAGTTTTCAGCTTGTTCTGGTTGAGCTCTCCAAACATTTTGGGAGTCTCCAGGAACAGAATAAGGTTGGTGAGGATGCCAAATGACTTGAGGGTTGACTGGTGGTTCAGGCAGCAGGTGCTCTTCTTTGTGGTGGTTGAGCTCTAGGCTGGTCTGTAGCTCTATTCTGCTGTGGGTTTGGTTGTGGTGGAGTTAATGGACAAGGTGGTTGCCAGTGGATGAGGTGGTGGTTGGATCTGATCAGGATCTGGAAATGAATGTAGGCTTTCTGAGTCAGAAGAAGATGATTGGTCATCTTCAGAATTGGGGTCAAAGGTTTCAGTCTTTTTATCCGAGCAGAAAGGAAAAGAGTCTTCTACAAATTTAGCTGTATGAGATAAAATGATCTTTTGACCATTTAGGAATCTGTAACCTTTGGTATTAGGCTTGTAGCCTAAGAATACCATCTTGATAGCATGAGGTTCCAACTTGTCTTTTTGTTGTTCTTTAGGAACCCATACAAAGGCTTTGCAGCCAAAGGTGTGGAAGTAGGATATATCAGGAACTTTTCCTAAGAATAGTTCCACAGGTGTTTTGAAAAGAATCTGCTTGAGCAGAGTTCTATTGTACACATGAAGTGCACAATCAAAGGTGAAGTTCCAGAAGCATTTTGGAACACAAGCATGATGCCTAATGGCACCTGCTTTCTCAGAAATGGTGCAATTAAATTGCTCAGCTCAACCATTTTGTTGAGGTTGATTGGCAATTGATAATTGATGAGTTATTCCACATGTAGAGAGGAGCATTTTAAAAGTGGAACCCATAAATTCTCCCCCTTGATCCAAACAGAGCACAAGAAGATGGTGACCAGTCTGGTTCTGAGCAGACACCATCCAATTGGCAAAAGCAGAATAAGTGTCAGACTTGTTTTGGAGGTAGAGACAAAAGCTGAATGACTGAGTAGTCATCAAGAAGAGTAAGAACATATTTGGATTGAAAATAAGATTTGACTGGCAGTTCAAGAAGGTCAGCATGAACCAATTCCAGAGGTTTAGTAGCATGTTTCCAAGAAGGCTTGAAAGCTTTAGGAAGATAACTTGCCCTGTGTGCATCCTTTACAAGAGGAAGTCTCCCCCTGTATTTGTATTTCAGGAAGACCCAATCAGCAAAGATGTTGAAGAATAGTCTGAGCTGGATGACAAAGCCAATTATGCCAGAGTAACTCCAGTGAAGTCCTAACCAGAGGGCAAAGGACCACAAAAGCATTGGTAGGTGGTAGCAGTATGCCCACAAACCAGTGTAGTGGTGAAGGTAGGTGAGGCTAATTTAGCCTCAAGTACAATCCAGCCATCTGGTGCTTGGATTACTTCACTATTAAGTGTCACAGTGCTCCTATACCCATTATGTAGGAGTGCATTTCTTGAGCAAAGCCTCTTTGAAAATAAAGGGCTATAAATGACATTATGTAGCAGCAGGTTATGCCCATTTTCTAGGTGAATAACCACTGTTCCTTCACCATGTAATTGAACTTGACTTAACCCAGCAGTAGATGCAAGGGAAGGAGTTTTAAATTCTCAAAAGGTGAGGAAATCAGTTTTAAATGGAGTCACATGATGTGAAGCTCCTGAATCCAACATCCATATTGACTCACCTTTTGGTAGGTTCTGAAATGATGCATGCACACCCAAGGGGTAGCAGTCA